ATAATTGGACTATATGTGTTCGAGTTTACTCTCAAGATGATGTATTAGTTATGATAGTCCATGCGAATAATGTTTCCAAAGGCGTTTGATTATACATAAATGGATAGTTACGGGAAAGGAATAAAACTTATTTGATTAAAAAGTGAAACCAAAACTCAATTATTATTAAAGTGTATTTGGTTTCAAAATGTGAACGATGGGGATTTCTACCATTCACCGAAATTATTTAGAACTTTTTCGAACTTTACTAACTTAACATTGAACTGATGACGCCTTAAAATATTCCTTTGGCTTTGACAACAGATGGTTTTTGTTTATTTTGGTCACCTATATTCTCACAATATCCGAAATCTGCAAAGAATATTTCAATTCGATCCAATTTTCATGAAATATTCACTTACAGTAACAATGTGTCACAATAAGCGCGAGACGGAAAAAAACATTGTATGGATGGAATGAATAGAAATTCAACATTTCTTCAGTGTTTTTCGACAGAGCCATGATTTACGATTCCAGCATACATTTTTTTGTTTCTTTTTAAAATTGTGTCACTTGTAATTTAGGCCTTCCAAAGTTTGTTGTTGATGTCATAATTAATTGTTTAACAACACAATATGAATCGTACCGATCATCGTCGCAGCCGTTATTTAACCGTTTTCATTCCTATTATAATGGTTGATTCCAAGGCTTTGATTCTGAAAAAAAGAAGAAAAAAAGAGAGCGATAATAGGATAGGTGTGCGCAAGATCATGATTCGACATGCATTTCGAATCAAGTCGAATGTGTTTTCTGTTCAAAATTCGCTTCCCCAAAGTTATGTTCAACATTCAATCGAATGACAAACAAACGAACAACAATGTAGTTGTTTCGGGAGTTGTGCCCATTGTTATTGTGAATAATGCATATCTTCCAAAATTGAACTTCGAATTGTAACTATTATCACGTTATGTGCCGTTGCTGCGCTACGAAAGTTTTGAAAGTAAAAGATTGAAAAATGAATTTTCGGAAGAGACACACTTTGTCGTCGTCGTCGTCGCCGCCGAAGTCGTCATCGTTTGTGATAAAAATCAGTCAATCTTGTTATATGGAATTACTTATTCATTTTTACGGTCGGTGCGTTTAGCAAGCAAAAAGAATGAAAATCCGTTGAGCTCTTTTCAAAGTGTATGAAAGAGAGCATTGATGATTTGCGGTACTCCCGGCTTGTTGTTTTTACTTTCAGTGATTCAGACATGTTTATGCCATGAATTTTGGTGCTCACAGCCAGGCGGATGTTTGACTAGTTCAAGATTTCGAGCTATGCATTCGATTGCGAATCTACGGCGAGCGTGTGTGTGCGCGCTCAGCATTATGTGTGTTTAATAAGCTGAAATAATAACGGTTAAATATGCTCGGTATATTTCTCAATGATGCACATGTTTACTCAATGTAGTTTCTGGCGTTGTTTTTTTTTCTATTCATTGTTCGTTCAGTCTGTCGCCTGTGTGCGTGAACATAACAGCCGCAATCATATATTATGACATTGCCGTTGTATGATCGTTTAACTAAAGAAATTTTGGGGAGGAAAACAAAGTCACGAATTGAAAAAACAACAACACAAAAAAAAACAACAAATGGGGAACTGATTAGAGAGCAAGCAGAAAAAAAAGGTTTCAGTAATTTGGAGGAAAAATGCGGTTGCTGCAATACATATTTTCTTTTGTTCAAATTCTTCTGCCTGTGACAACAGTTTCTTATAAATTCATTGTGATCGGTGGTATTTTGTATCATTCATTCGTTGTTCATCATAGAAGCATCGCAAAAAGCGACCAAAAATTCGCGACAACATTTTGTGAAAAGTTTAAAAAAAAAATCAGTGAAAATAACAAACAAAAATGGATAACATTTTCAAATTCTGTGGATTTATTGGAGTCTTTGCACTTCTCATCAGCACCTGTGCGGCTATTCCAAAATACGAAACGGCCAGCAAAAGGTAAACGTTTAACATAGTTACTTATAGTTTTAAGTTAGTGAATCCGAATTGAATGAAAATCTCACCAATGGACACATTTGGCTTCTTAATGGATCACTGCTTGGATTCAATTTTTGTTCAAAATTCTAGTTTTTGGCCATTTCACATATTTTCTTCCTTTTTTTGAAAATTGGTGAAGAAAAAACTTGAAATAATTTTCAAAAATTTATTTTGAAGCTACACAATGGCCGATAAACATGCTCCACCTCAATGGGATCGTTCATACAAGGAAAACGATACATACGCTGCCCCCACGTCTGATCGTGTCGAACGATTGGGTTATTCAACGGGCTATGGATCTGTAAACGTAATTTTACCATCAATTTTATACAATTTTACCATTCGTAATGTTTGATACGGTACCATTCGATATGTTTCCCTTTTTCAAGTCATATCCACATTCTGGCGTTGGCTATGGATACAGTCCGATGAAAATTGATTTGGGTGGCGTGGTTCTCGGTGCAATTATTGGCGTTGGTGCTTTGTTGATCATTCCGAAAATTGTTGGCAGTTTGAATGGTGGTTATAGTGGATACGGTGGATATAGTGGTAATTATCGCAGTGTTGATGGTGGTGATCCAACCGGTTTCTCCGAAATGCTCGCCAAATTGGATGACATTTTGGGCAAAGATAATATTGATTCAACAAATTGCATGCAACGTGCTGTTTGCACCTATGTTCGTCAATCGGTTTACCACCATAAAATGGGCACCGCCGATCAAACCGATCAAATTGTCAACGCATTGTCCGAGTAAGTATTGAACGCCATCCCAAATTCAAGTTCAAGCAAAACACTTGGAAATAATGAAAAATGTCCCTTGAACATTTCAGCAATGCACTCATTGACTACATGCTCAACGGAACGGCAGTAAAAGAAGCATTGGAAAATGGTAAAAACCTCGATGCAGACCCATGTGAAAAAATATACAACAGTTGCCCATTGAACAAGGATCAGACGTTGCAAATACTTTCAAAATTGATGCCAGGTGCGGGAGCAGCTAGCACTTAATACAATCCATATATTTAAACGACTTTGACAATTGCCTTTATTCACAAACAATATCCAAAAAAACCAAAACAATTTGTATAGATGATAAGACATTTCGTTCAAATAAACAATTTATTTTCCGTTTTGATTAACAATAAAAAAAAACTTTTAAATTATTTGTCACATTTATTGCCCAGTAGTGAAGAGTTCATCAATTGTCATCTTGAGGTATTTTTGTATTGAAAATATGATAATTACTAAATGTGATATATCCATTGTTAGCGGATTTTTGAAGTTCAATCAGAATTAGCAAATTGTTTCGTCGCCGTAATAGTTGTTTTGGTAGGTATAATGTAATTTGAGGTCCAACCAGTGGCCAATACCGGCCCAAATTGAAGCCATTGATAAATATTATTCCCTAAATTGGTGAAAAACAAGAAAAAAATGAAAAAGGGTATTAAATTTAACAAATGTATAAAATTCACACCTTTCCCCATCCAGATGGATTTATATATGTGTCATGAATTTCAGCTGCATCAATATTGAATGTTGCATGAAAAATTCTAGGGCCATTTTTCATAATATCTGTACTGAAATCTGCCGTCGATCGGCCCGAATTTTCAAGGATATCGTTTTCGATGCGTTCGGAAATTAAATCTTCAATTTGTTCAACATCTTCTAACGGAAAACCGGTCATTGTCCAATTTAACAAAGGCATATTATTCACTTGAACGTTGCCGATTATCCCTTTGAAATCATTCATTACATTGTAATTGATACGACCCTGGCTCTCAACCAACACTTGGACTGTTTTTCCTGAAAATCCCGCATTCAAACCTACTGCATTTACGAGATTTTCTCGTGATAGATAACCAACGACCATCTTGTTTAGAAGAAGGAAAAAAATAAATGAATATAACTGATTAGATTTACTTGCTTGATTGCTGCTTAAATAGAGTAATCGCTTACATCATCAATAAGTACGATAGCTCGATCGTTTAGTTTTGGTATGGCAAAAATGGATGGATCGAAATTAAGTGGCGGCAAAACGGCTTCGTACAGCACAAAACCAGAATTTTGATCGATTTGTTCAAAGGTTAATGGAATACGTGATCGGATTGATGGTTGACCGAATTTTTGTCGTGCAATTGGCGATAAAAGTGTCATTTTTGGTATTAATCGCACGGGAGGTAGTGTCATTTTTGGTGCACGTGCTGGCACCGAAATATTTGGCAATGGTAAATAATCCTTTATGGCATCTCGAATTAGCATATATTTTGGCGTTGGATCACCCGCTTCATCCATCGGAGCATCATAATCATACGATGTTAAATCGGCTTGATATTTTCCAGGACCACCTATTTCAATAAATACAACTCGTGAGCTAAAACAATTTGCTTAAAACATACAAAATCATTACCATCATTTGCACCAGCTGTAAATCCAAAATTTGTTCCACCGAAAAACATATAGAAATTAACACTGGCACCTACATCCAACATGAATCTGTAAAAACCCACATATTTTCATATTTGCGTACTGTTCCGTACAATCAATGTTTCTTACCTAAGCGAATCAACTACAGGCTGTGATTCAACCCTTGACAACGGCTCTTGCCAATGTGTCAACCAGCCTGAATTTCGAAGAAAATGTAAACAATAATTACTTCAACTTAAAAAAATATTGTGAGTCATTTTGGAATTGACATTTTTGAGTGACGCATAGTCTAATGATTAATAAATATATTTTTTTATCAACTAGCCTGGGTAATATTCAGCATTTACAAGCGGTCCTTTTGGTTGAAACTCACGTAGTCTTCTCCAAGTTTGATCGATACTATTGCGCGATGCTGAAACGAATTGCGAATAAAAGTATCAAATAAATGTTATACTTCTTCAAAAAACTTAATGGTCAAAAAGAAAAACTAACCAGATCCAAAGTCTAAGGTAGCTAATACGTTATCAATTTTTCCACAAGGCAATTGTGACGGTCCGTCATTAGTAAAAAGAACCGCTTTGTCACCAACAAACGATAACGTCTCATCTCGTAACCAGAGTGAATAGTTTCTATCACAGGCAAACGATCCATACTCATTCTCCACTTGTACCATTATAATTGGACCTCCATTTCCATACTATAAGAAAAAATCAAAAACAAAAAAAAATACTGTGTCATTTTATCAATTTTAATCTTTAAAAATAAATGTAACTCACCAAATAACGAGTTATTCTTGGAAAAAGTGAATTATACCAAATGCGAACTTCCTTTAGATAATCTGCGAATCAAGAATCATTAAATATTCTCGGTGTGTCTATGTTTTTAATGTGTTTGACATTATTTCAGCTCGTTTTTAATTACCCGTATCATATGTCCGCATTTTAATTCCTGGATAACGTCTCAAAAGCCAATATGGGAAACCACCCTATCATATCAAAATGTGTGTGTGTTTTTTGTTTTTAAATGTCATCATAATTTAAATTCATTAGTTTTTGTTTTGTTTTGTTCATACCATATCTCTTTCGGCACAGATATACGGTCCGGGTCGAAGAATAACTAATAAATCTTCTTCGGCAGCTAATCGTATAAATTGTTCAATGTCACCCATTCCATTCCAAATGAATGTATCCGGTTTTGGATTGTGCAGTGACCATTCAACATACGTTGTGACTGCATTCAAACCGGCTGCCCTCATTGTGCGCAATTTTTGGCGCCAAGTATCTGGTAACGCTCGAAAATAATGAAACGAACCAGCAACAAAACGAAACGGCTGTCCATCTTTTAAAAAACAATCGTTTTCGTAATCAATGCGAAAACTTCGATGCTACAATTGGATTTGGATCATTTTGTTTTAAATTCGTCTTTAATTTACAATCTTATGATCAATAACATGAAATCAAAGTTAGTCACTAAAACTCACCACTGTATTTGAATGGCTTCTAGTTTGTAGTATAAACAGTGCCGAAACAATCAAAAGGTTGGTTTGTAATCGCATTTTTTCACAGCATACGATCGATTTCTCAATTACAATTGTAACAACGTTTTTAAAGTGATAGGTCAATATGTGATTAACTAGAAAAACAGAAATTGATTGTTATAAAACAAGTGACATTTCCACTGATTATATTTGTTCAAACAAAAATAATGTACACGTCCTCTCGAAAGACATTTTTCCAAAAACTTCTAAATACATTATAAACATTGTTGCACTGTCGCTTGAAAACCGGTAAATTAATACACGAAAGTAGAAAATAATGATCATCATTAGAAATTAAAAGCATCTTAACATGATAATGGCACTTGCCTTCAATTGAATTTAAAAAAAAAGAATATGAATCCAAATAAAATACTTTCTCTTATCAATTTCAAAGTTAAGCGAAAAAAAGAAATCCGCGCTACTGGACTCGGTCTACGCAAATGAACCGAAAAATATCAAAGTTGTATTTTTATACAACGCAAAAGTGATAAACGTCAGAAACGAAAAATTTCGGGGAATTGAATGAAAAATAAAATATACAATGTGAAGATTTGTTCTATTAGAAGTACAAACCTCGCTTAAACTGAATTCCATAAACAGCAACGGTTTGTTATGAGTGATTGTGTGTGTGTGTTTTTAAATTCAATAGTTTATGCGAAACGTATAATTTAAATACTGAATAGAATCATTGGTTAAACTATTTTAACAATTGTTTTTATTCTCTCGTTCGCTTTGCTCTTTTTGCAATGCGTATTTTTGTTTGTACTAAATGTGGTAAATAATTGTAAACACACGTACGCATAAACAATGCGCGCAAAACATTAGCTATCAGAGCATAAAATAAAATGACCAAATTTTAGACTATATTGAATATTATCTCCAGGCACAATTAAAAGTTCAATGACGTTTTCGATGGATATTGTTTGTTTGTTTTTTTGGAATTTTTGTGGTTTGCCTGTTTTTACCTGATATATTGCACGTTGCATCAGTCGCTTCGGGGCTCTGTGTGTTACAATGTTAAACGGTCGAATGTTAAACATTGACCAAAATTCAAATCTAATCTGTACACGAACAAAGTTTAATTTTTGGTGTTATCATGAATGATTCAATTGTAAATTATCACAAATGTTTGAAAAAATACTCAAGTAGTTCAAGCTTACGAAAAAATAATTGAGCAACCGTTATGAAACTGATTTCTGATAGACTGTATTTTTTTAAATATTTGGTATAGAAAGACGCTTTCAAAAGAATATGATTTATACAGAATCAATTTAATCGCGATAAAAAAAATGTACGACTCAATTAAATAAATTTTCAAATTTTTCGGTTTTTTGTATCTTACTTTGAACAGTTTTAAATCTAAACAAAAAAATTCATTGACATTGAAGTAAAAAAAAGTCAACAGCACCACACTTGATCAATTTGATTTAATGATTTAATTTTAAAACTTAATTAAAGAAAGAAAAGTCGTGTTTTTCAACACCAAATTTTTTTTTTTTTTAATTAAATCGGCAGAACGCAACATTCGGCGGCCAATCAAGAACGATTCCACAAACTGTACTATCAGTTTGAAATCGTTTACATCGAACCTCTTGCAAAATCTCTATCTATCTCACAGGCTAAAGCAGAAAGAAAGACGAGAAAAGAGCCGAGAATAAGATTATGTGAATTATGGACTATATCGCAATACGTTATTGCAATAGAATATTGCCGATTTACGGTGTGTTTTTGTTCAAAACAGAAAATACTCGTTTGAAACGGCATACCAATACAGTTACATGCCTAAGGTGACAGAGGAACAACAAAAATAAGGAGACCGCAGCAGAAAAGTAGAGAGAAAGAGAAATGCTTGTTTGCGCGTCGAAGAAGTGAATGAACAAGACGTCGAAAAATCGACAAAATATGCAAAGCATAAAGGAAGCGTATGGCACATTTTGTTTGTGTACGATTTGCTCCAATACATAAATGCGTGTACCGTGTACACAAATGCAACTGCGTGTCGATCGGTCGTTACAAGCAATAGATGTTACTTGCTTCATATTTTTCTCATCATCATTCATTTGAAAAGTGAAATGACTAAAAATAGTGGTTTTGTCGTTGTATTTGCTAACCGCTGCGTGCATGTATACAACAAGATTTGTTTTAAATGTTGTTTTGTCTTCATATTTCAATCCATCATAAATCAGATGTACAGTATGCTTGTGAGAGAGGCTAAAAATAAAGGCAAACCAACTACCTATTGGTATATGCAAACAACAACGTCTATGACAAGAGAATAAAAACCACAAATACAGACGATTTCCACAAGATGTCGATAGTTGTATGGCTTTTATTGACATCAATACTATATCAATGCCGTCTGACTATATACAAACACCAACACATTTGCAAATGAAATCGTCGTGGTATTTCGTTGCTTGTACATATAAATGTGTAATCAGTTGTATAGTTGGTTGCATAGTTTCCTTATAGTCAATGAGACCATTCAAGAGTTATACACCCGTCGACCTACACATAGCGCATACACATTCATTTCATTCCAACACAACTGTTCATACGCATACGACACCACATACACATATGCAATGTGAACAAATTACACTGAAACAAATCCAAAGATCGACTATGTGAAAATAGTTCATCAGTAGCATTAACCGTGTTCTGGGCACTTTTATATATATATAAATTTATGATTTTTTTTTCTTCTTTCGTTCGTTTGTGTCCCGAAAACTTGTGTGATTTATTCGATTTTTTTGTCAATTAATTTGTTGAATTTTCATTGAAATTTGTTGACAACTGTGTGTTGCATTGCGTAAAAATTGCGTTACAATTGTTGTGAACATCGGTTGGTTGCTGCGTTCAGTGTGATTTTCGGAGAAACACGACAACGACCACGACGACAACAACAACGGATTGTTTAAAGATCCGAATATCTAGTGAAAATGTGTGAATTTTTTTGTTAAAACATACGAAAAAAAAAATATTTTCAATTTCAAATGCATTCAAGAATATTACTGATTGCAGTGTGTTGTTTACGGCCTGTTTGGTATATGTAAAAAAAAAAAATCTCGTTTCGAGTGAAAAACGAAAAAAAATATAGAGAGAAAAAATAGTCAACAGTCATAAAATTGTTGTGACCAAAAAAAGGTGCCTCTCTCAAAAAGAATAATAAGTTATAACAAATTTAAATGTGAGTGTACCATTACATACAACGATATAAATACGAAGCTGATTACGGTAAAATATACAACGCATTGCGCATTAGATTTATCATCATCACGAATTAATAACGAATAACAAAAGCGAAAAAAAAGCAGCGAAAAATGATTCACGTCGGTGACAATACATGGAATTTGCGGATTTTTATCACCGACCTCCAAGTCGAGAAAACACTACGGGTTCGTGGTGATCTTCACATTGGTGGTTTAATGCTGAAATTAGTGGATCCAGGTTTGTTGTTTACATTTTTGTCATTTTTATTATTTTTTTTACGTAATGACATCAAAGAAAAAAATAAAAGTTTTTTTTCTTTCCTTGTCGCCATAGTGTTGTTGTATGTTTATATATACATTTGAGCTAGATATAAAGTCACGGCGACATCATTCTGTTTGCCTTGAAACATTATACATTTTCGATCGAGTTGTTTTTTCTCTTTCTTGCGTTTCTGCAACTCCAATGGATCCATAGTTGGATTGTGAGAGAGCCAGAGAGCCAGAGAAAAGGATATAGCGTTTCGACTGAATGAGATTTTGCATATGTTGGCGCACAGAGGGAATCGAGCGAATCGTAATGAAATACTTTCGTTGTATGTACGCAAAAAAAGTGATCCACATAATTAAAATCCAAGCGCAAAATAAAAAGAAGAATAAAATAAATAGAGAAAAAGAAATGGATGCACAAATACATTCCAATGGTAGAAACGGCTGACTCCAATCCGCATCTCTCTTTTTTTTTAAATGTCGATTCTTGATGATCATCATGATCATTTCCCTCCTTATGCATATACAATGACGATTTCAACGAATTTCTCATTCAACAACTTCAATTGACCAAAAAGAAAGAAAGAAAAAAATGATGTAGAAAAATACGATCGGCAACGACAACAACAATCACGAAGAAGAAGAAGAAAAAAAAGTGTTGGTGTTGAAGACCGCTTCACAGAAATGTTTGTCATTGACATTATTTTGAGATGGATTTTCGCTCACAAATACACACGCATACCGTGCGCACATGGATAAATTTTGATGAAAATCTCATCGTGTGCATCGATAAAAATGCCGATACGATGCATTTTTGAAATTGCACCAAGAGAAAACATCCAGACATTCCAAATCAATTGAATCAGAGAAAAATCTGAAAATCAATTATTCTGTTGGTCTTTTTACGGTATTTGTACGCATATGTTTCCGTTACGCACACACAATCTTTATTCTCTCTCGTTTTGTTTCTCGTTGAGTGTTTTTCTTTCCTTCTCTTCTCTCTTTCAGTAATAATATATTAATATAAGTGAATAATCCAACACACATGTATATGCGATTTTATTCAGTTTTGCTTCGATCTTTTTTCCTACACAAATGTACGACGACGTATACAGACAGTCAGTCAGAGCGATACATAGTCTTCTGGCTCTCTGGGTATAGTATATATTTTTAGGTCTTATACACTATTTTTTTTTTAATTTCTGACGCAATCAAACAACACTCAATGTCACTGCTGGGCAGGGGAATCAGCCATACATTTATTTTCTCAATTGTTTTTCTTTTTTTTGTTCTTCACGTTGTTTCATTAGTTCTTTGAGCAAATTGACATATGTGAATCGCACATACATCGACGCACACGCATATAGCTTGTGGTGTGACAAATGGAGCGATTTCTTTTTCGTCGTAATGCGATCAAATTCCTACCGAATCGATTTGAATGCACCATTCAGTTTGGTTTTGCTCACAGTTGTTGGTGTTTTCTCGCTCTATCAACCATCACGCTCGTTCGCTCTATCTCACATTTTATTTCTTCCAGCCGTTCGCATTTATAACGAATTCCCAACACTGATTAAGTATTTATTTACTCGCCGCCATATACCATCGTTTGTTCGCTCACTCATTTACTTGGTCGGGTGTTTGCCGCTCTCGTGTGCTCACACTCACATCAGACACAGTCAGACATGGATTTCAATATATGGCTTATTCCCATTTAAAATACATTAAAAATGTTGGTGTTTACTTGGACCTAATGCAAACGAACAAGCACGAGCGCGCGCGTCCGCTCACTCACTCATATCGCATTAGTCGTGTCTGTCGTATAAATATGTGTTTGTTAAACATCTAAGTTATACAGACACCGCCCGATTAAACATATTTACAATATTTTATGAAAAACGATGATACAAACCAAAATGAAGAAGAATAAATGAAAGAAACAACAACAACAACAAAAAATACGACATCATGCTTTGGTATTTACATTTATACACATTGGCTCTCTATTATTGTTTATGCCTTAATTTATAAATTTTGTGCTGATATTTTCATTTTTCGCTTACAGTAAAAACAAAACGAAAAACAATAATAATAATAATAATAATAATCATCGTCAATGTAATTATGATACTACGTCACACACACAAATCAAAGTATGTGTGGGTTCGAAATGTTTTCGCTCTAGCGCGCGCTCTTTCTCTCTCTCTTTTCTCGTTTTCAATCAAAATATGTGCGAGAGCGTGTACGATTTGTGTATTTGGCGAAATGACTTACCATGATCTCTATGCTCGGCTTTGTCCATTCAAGTGAAATGATTGAATAAACTCAATTATATTATACATGATTCTATCATCGATAGAGTCGATGCGTGCACTATTTTACTCGCCCGTCCACACGTTCGATTTCTGATGATCGATCGGAATTTCGAGATTTTCAATACTTGATTCATTCGAGCGTTACACATATTGTTGATTATTAAAAATAGCCGCGGAATTTCGAGGAAATTGATCGAGGCCGAGGGTTGGTATGCACAGCAAAAAATATTTCCATTAACAATTGTTTACTTCATTTGTTCGCTCAATTTACGTGTTTTATTCAAAAACAACGAGTGAACAAAAAAAAATTGTAGGTATGTGACCCACTGCCGCCATCTTCTCCTCCGCCATCACTGCCGCAATTCAATTTGCATATATGATTGAAATATGGCATTTATGGGCTGTGAGAAAAGTGCAATATGTGCATTTTTCGTGAATGCCCGTTGAAGAGAAAAAAAAAGAGAATTATGATCATTTTACAATTTTTCAAAACATGTGCAAATCATAGAGAGTGAGACATAGAGAAACACAGATTGTATTGCAATTCTCAGACCCACACATGCATTTAAAATTAATTTCTCGCTCCTCCGGAGAATATAAATTGCGACTATTTTGTAATTTGCATTGCAAAAGAAATATATAAAGCAGAAAATGAATTGCAATCACTTTGCTATGCACAATAAGATGCAAATAGAAATGCATGTTTTTATTCATTCACATTCGTTGAGACAATTGAATCAAATGATCATGTGATCATTGCATTCGTAAATATATTGAATGATAAGAAAGTGATATAACCGGACAAAGAAATAAATTAAAAAAAAAAAACAACAACAACTAGAAATAATGTATGCGTGATAGCCATGGCTCGAAGCGGTTTTAGTTGCTTTTATTTCGCTCGATGTAATTGAGACTCGTTAAAAATGACTAAAAATACATATGTTGTATCAATAGTGTTTTTAATATTGAAGCAAAATAAAAAAAAGCAAGAAGAAAATAAAACATTTCAAGTGATTTACTATGTTCACTTGGCCCCAGCGAAACAAAAATTATTTTGTTCTCGGCTGGCGAAACGATCTATAAATTTGAATCGATGAAGATGCTCTAAATAAAAGTAAAACAGCACATGAGTGAGAGGAAAAAAAGTAGTGGCGGGCAGCCATAGCTCTACAAACACTCTGCAGAAAAGCGATCATGTGCAAGACATAATTTAAAAGAAATTACGCCGCACGTTCTCTTTATCGTGCGCCCGCGCGCACGCTCTCAACAATATGCTAGCGTATACATACATATATATATCACTAAAAATAGAAGTAGACGAAACGGTACATCTGACACACAGCATTCTTGCACGCTCATTAAAAAACCATTTGCTCGTCGTTTCCCTTTCAGTGAAAGAGAGAGACATCGTTGTGCATTGTGCATTATTTTTTTTCCTTCGACGATATTCAATTTATTTTACGGTATGCGATCTGCATGAAGAATGTTTTTTTTTCCATTTTGAAACGCGGAACAAAAACGAAAAAACAAAACAATGTTAAAATGTTTTTTTTTTCTAAATTTATTTGATAACATGTTATCGGCCAGAAGATTTATATATTGCTTGTCGGTATAATTCTCTCCGTTTTTTTGTTTATTTTTAGAAAATCCAAAAGATTGGTCGGATCATGCACTTTGGTGGCCATCAAAAAATGCATGGCTTTTACGCACACGATCGACACTCGATCAGTGTGGCGTTCATGCCGATGCCTTGTTACACTTCACACCAATGCATAAAGTCTTAAGAGTTCAAGTAAGTCACTAATCCACCGCTTTTAAAAGCGGCAATAAATTTTGAAATGGTTTTAGTCCTCTCTCAAATTTATTTGTTTCGTATTTATGAAAATAGAAATCCTAAACAACAACAAAAAAAATGTTTATAATCTTTTTAGCTTCCCGATTTACGTAATCTTGATTGTCGTGTTGACTTTTCGACAAATACATTCAGAGCGGTGGTGAATTTGTGCAAAGATCTTGGAATTCGACATCCCGAAGAGTTATCGTTCTGCAAACAATTGGAATCACAGCATTTAAAAAAGAATTATTCATCGTTTCCAAAGGCAAAATTTCAAGCAAATGAATACGATTATGGACGCGATTACATATCGCCGGCGCCCGACACAAATTCATTTATACCAACTCATTCGACACTATTGACCAGCAGCAATGGCAGTTTGGATTCACCGCACGGACCATTCTCGTGCGCACCATATCAGCACAATACGTATCAACCACCGCGTCAAACCAATCCGATCAGCTCACCAACTGGCGTATGTTGATTTTTTTTCTCTTCTCTGCTCATTTGCATGATAAATATTGAATTTTAATTATATATATATAACTATAAATCATTGTTAATAATCAAGAATTTGAATAACATTATTGTAATTGATTTGGTATTTCATTTGTTTCTTTTTCGTTTTCGAAACAAATTCTAGACATGGAAGCACAACAGTTCGAATGGCTATACAACATTCAATGATTCAACATCATCGTTGAGTGATTTACATGAGAATTTGGCTGCCAGTCCCCGTGCACCTAGTCCAGACATTCGATCACGTTTGGTGAAACCAAAATCGCTGATCGAACGTGCTCGTATGAATGTTGCATGGCTTGATTCATCACTTTCGATAATGGAACAAGGCATTCGCGAGTATGACACATTGTGTCTTCGTTTCAAGTATTATACGTTCTTTGATTTGAATCCAAAATACGATCAAGTTCGCATTAATCAATTGTATGAACAAGCTAAATGGCAACTACTTAACGAAGAAATCGATTGTACCGAAGAAGAAATGCTAATGTTTGCTGCGTTACAGGTACAAATACATTTCATTCAACGATATAAACTATTGATAAAACAAAAAGCAAATCAAATCAATTTAAAATGTTCCATTTTCTTTTTCGCATTTGCATAGCTTCAAGTCAATTTACAAAATGACATTCAACAGCCAGACTCGGGCATTGATACATCCAGTTTGGATAATGCGGCCGATGATGACATAGATGCAGCTCTAAGTGAACTTCAGCTCACATTGGTCGGATCAAATGGTCATTCGAAAACTAGCGACATTACACATATTCCAGAGTTGACAGATTTTTTGAGATTCTTAAAGTAAGTACATTATAATATCGCAAAATGTGCAATTCATTTCAACAACACATTCTCTTTCTACAATTTACAGACCGAAAAAATTCACTCTCAAAGGATACAAACGCTATTGGTTTGCATACAAAGATTTATATTTGTATCTGTATAAGTCAAAGGATCATTTCCGTAACAATCAAACACCAACCATTGTTATTAATCTACGCGGTTGTGAAGTTACGCCTGAAGTTACCTTAGCCCAAGGAAAATTCAATATCAAATTGGAAGTGCCACCGGAGGAGGGTTACGGTGCAAATAATGAAATGTGGATTCGATGCGATAATGTAAGTGTGATTATTGTATTTTTAGAAACAGACAGTAGCCTAAACATGTAAATTATTTACCATTACAGGAAGATCAATATGCAAAATGGATGGCTGCATGCCGTTTAGCATCAAAAGGTCGTTCGTTGGCTGATAGTTCATATGATTCAGAGGTGGCAAGCATAAAATCATTCTTAAGCATGCAAAAGCCAGCTCATGGGCCTGTAGTCAGCATAAATCCGGATTCGATTGATGCAAGTGTTTTCTTATCACCGCGTACTTACAAAAAACTTAAAGGAAAGGTCAGTACCATGTAAAACTTATGAACTTTTCTAATGGAGAAAAAAAATGTTCTACAAAGGAGTAGACATATGTAACAAAAATTAAATTTATTTTCCTCTGCTTTCTTATTTCAAAATAGGCAACACCACGAATTCTCGAAGCACATTCAAATGTGAAAGATTTGTCGTTGATCGATGCAAAGCTTAAATTTATTTCGGCATGGCAAAGTTTACCGGAATTTGGTGTCACATTGTTTGTTATCAAATTTGACGGCCATAAAAAGGAAGAATTGCTTGGTGTAGCGCACAATCGCATCATGCGAATGGACATAAATAATGGCGATCATTTGAAAACATGGAGATATAACACAATGAAGGTACATATAACAATATCAAAAACAGTTTTGAAGATTCCTTTCAATTTTCTGATCACGATCAATGTGTCAACTAATACAATTCATTCTGTCTCTTTTGCAGGCATGGAACGTCAATTGGGAAATCAAATGTATGATGATTCAATTTGAAGATGAGAGTATAGTGTTCTCGTGTCTGTCGTCCGATTGTAAAGTCGTGCATGAATTTATCGGTGGTTATATTTTTATGTCGATGCGTTCAAAAGAATCAAATCAAACGCTAAACGAAGAAATGTTCCACAAATTGACCGGCGGTTGGGTTTGAATGAATGGTTTCAACACAAATGCACATTGTTGTCTATATGCATATTTTAGAAAATGATTTGAATTAGTTCTAATTCTAGAACAAAAACAAACGCAAACACTGGATAATAATCATTTTCAACTATATATATATATTTTTCTTTTGCAATTTTTAACTTCTTCATTAATAATTATAAGCGATTTACGTAAACAACAACAAAAATCAAATTGTAACTTACACACAGACACAAACACCCACACTTGTTGCCTTGAATGATGAAATATTATATTTTTTAATAGAAAATGATAACGATTAATTTAAATGGTTAGAAAATAATTTATAGAGAATCGAATGTTTTCATATATACTTAAATTGATGTAATTTTCAAACGAATTCAGTATGCTAGGGATTTTTTTTTTCTTTCTGTTTATTTTTTAACGAATTTATGCCAAACTAAACACTTCAATTAATTAAAAAGTGAAAACAGAAATTGAGGCCTATACTTATTCGCATGTAGCACGCAAATAATATTAGTGTCATAGATGAACATTTTTTTCTTCTTCGTCAATTAAACTATTTTGAGTCATTCGTTATTTACACAAAAGAAAAGGAAAAAAAAAATTGAAAGAAATTTTGTTGAACGAAAACTTTTATCGAAAAATTCACAGACACAATTGGTACTAAAAAAATATATATACTATATTTTAGAAAAGAAAATGCCTTAAAACAATCTACTTAACTTAAATTTAGTTGAATTAATACATTATATGTGAAAGTTATACAAAACATTACATTTGTAACGTGTTTTTTTCGTTTTTGCGACAAGGCTAAACTTGGATAGAAAATTGGCACCGACTATTATATAAAAAGTGTAACCAATTGTTATTGTACTTGTTTTTTTTTTCTTAACCGAAAATCGTGCCAAATGAAGTCAGATGATGGCACCTTTCTTTTTAAATTTTGTTCTTCAATGGAATTTTGGGTGTGAAATCTTTGAACTTCCGTTTCAATAACAACATAAACTTCCAAATGGAATTTTTTTAAATCGAAAATTGACAATTTTGTATTCAAAAGTCAATGAACCATTTCTATTGCGCCAAAATGAAATTTACAGCCAAAAGCCAAATAAAACTTTACGATGTGAATTTGATTTCGTACTACATATGATGTAGGTATATCCAGCGATAAACTATCGAACCAATCACAACCAAGTCATTCAAACAAATATTAGTCATAGATTCTTGTGGATGCGTTAGTTTTGAAACGCTTCGAAGATTGCTGATGAACATTGTTTGAAGCAAAAATTGACCAAACCGTCCACATGATAAGGAATTTCTATGATGAAAGTCGTTAAAGCTAAATCAAATTTGCATATATGCAGATTGTGTATTGCACCATTTTATTTATGTTTTATTTGTTCGCTGGACCATCACACGCAAAACCGAAAGTTTATCGTCTGCTTTCGATTTTTATAATCGCATACGAATCAATATATATATTCAAATGGCTGGAGCCGTTTGGGTATATTTTTTATGCCTTGAATCGGTTTTTATTTTTCAAGATCAATAACATTTACACATTTCATTTGTAAAATAAAACGATTTTTGTATAAATAAATTTTATTAAAATAAATGTATTTACTAAAATTATTTACTCTTGTTTCTTTTATAAATGTTTATCCTGTTGCTTCATTTAAATGAACTTAGGTCAAGTGAATTTAATTATTGATTTCTTTGTTTTTTTTTTTTTTTTGTACGATACTTAAACGAACACGTTAATACAACATTTTATTTTTAAAGTTATTCCTTAAAAGCTATGCGAATGGCATGAACAATGTTTTATATTTTTTTTGTTGCCTGGATGGTGTACTGTTTTGCATCACTTTTTGCGATTGTTTTGTGAAAATATGTTCAGGTATTTGCCTCTGGTCATTTCACGCGCTTCTTCCACTCCCAATTGATAGGCTTGGTCATACAGTTTTTTTATTTCTGAAATCAGACCAGCCTGTGACAGTGCTCCCAATTCTATAATAGGTCAATACAAAACGAATCCGCATTAACAACATTGAAATGAATGAATTTTAATTCAAAAAACACTTACGGTGCATGGAATTGATGTCTTCTTGTGAAAGTCCCTGAGTCCATGATGGTACTTCATCTCGACTCGTGATCGAATTCAGTTTGGCATATTCGTTGACACCTGGAACTGTACAAAACCAAAGTAAAATGAATGAAATGATGAATATTAAAATGATGAAAAAAATTTGGTACTTTTTTCCGGCCATGTTTCTGGCGAGCCGGGATCTAGTTTTTCCATACTGATCAAATTGCAGTTTTCATTTACTTCTACAAAAGAAACAATTATTCATGTACATCACGTTAATGAAACGATTGAATACGCACACAAAATTAAAACAATTTCACTTACCCTCCTTGATTGGAACGTTGGTAATGGTTTTATCATTATCGTTTTCACTCACACTCATTATTATCGTCGTTTGTTTTCAATTTAATTAATGAAATTATTTTAAAAATAAAATTCGAATGGAATAAAAATCCGTTTGGGTCTTGTACAATTGACTTTTTTCTCTTTCAATAACAAGCCGCCATCATATATTTACGGAATATATTTGACGTTTTGTCAAACACACTCACACATAAAGCCATACAAAACTTTGAAAATGTTTCATACAAATCGATATTGCAGCATGTGGTAACATCACTGCAATGTGAATTTGTTCAATTTGGTTTCACATGAGGACGCTGCTCACGGCTAATCGTTCATCATAACAGCTTTGCAGATAGGCTTTATTTTATGGGAAATAAACACATACAGTTATTTTTTTTGCATAACTTTTAAAATCAATAAATACTTTTTTTTATTTTCGTGAAATTCATTATATTTTCCATACAGAAAATCATAATTTGTTGTTATAAATGAAGGTTTGAATTTCTCTTTGTCATACACTGAAAATGATCCAAAAAACGCCCATCGTTGATTTCTTTTACGGATATTTATTCATTTTTCCTTGCATAACATTCTAATTTGACGTACGTTCAAACGTTTGATCATCTATAATCGTGTAGTTGAAATCTCTATAATTATTTGGAAATTGAACTCGTAATTCGTTACAATCATCATAGATCTTCAATAGAACTTCTGGCATTTGAATCATTTGCCCGATCTTGGAGATATCACGCAAGTAACTATTCTGAAATTGTGAGATAAGCGATTTATTTTATTAAGTCAGTGATGCTATGTATTTAAAAATAACAAATATTATAACAATTAACAAATTATCAGCGATTTACATACGTCCTCAGCAGGGGTCCGAGGGGTCCGATTACCCCCCCCCCCTGACGAAGTGTTACCCCTTGAAAATTTTCAAAGAATTCTTTCAATTTGCTAGGGATTTTGGCCAAAAAAGTGAAGACCTTTTTTAGAAATGGAAGAAAATCTTTGAAATTGCTAGGTTTTTTCGCAAAAAATTCTTCCGATTTGCTAGGGATTTTCGCCAAAAAAGTGAAGAGCAAAAAAAAAAAAAACGAAAAAGTACACTTTTCACAAAACACACTTCACTTTTTTGCTTACCCCTCACGATTTTTTTCAATTACCCCCCCTTAAATTTTTCCCTTGAGGACGTATGGCGACTTATCAAAGTACGTCAATCAATTAACTTATGAATCATCGAACTGTGAAAAGTCTCATATGTTTTATGTGAGTGAATAACTCTGTCGATAGAATCGAACTGATTGCGTTAGAATCGTTTGGTTTGAATTCATTCACTTTGTGATTAGACTTGGAAAACAGCAATTATTCAATAAATATCCTATTTATAAATCACGTTTAAGTATTAATCATTACCAAGAAGTGATTTATACTTATATATTGAATTAGTTGCGAATATAGTACGATTTCGATTATCCGTCGAGCATGGGAAACCCCAAATTTCCTTATTTCTTACTTGATCAACGCCCAACAAATGCGTTTGACGATTGTTTCCAGTTTCTTTTCTTCGTTTTCTTTCAGCCTCAAAATCTTCAAGCATTTCTGCCTTTGTTGGAATTATAATCTCATTATTCCAGAATTTTAAGCACAAGCGCGCCTTGAATGACAATTTTTAAAAAGATATTTCTCAATTTATTATGCTTTCAACTTTTTTGAAAAATTGAATTTACACTGGTACCTGTAAATCATACATATATGAATATGCGCAAATTTGTAAACCGACAATTGCCATGGTTGTGCAATTTATGTTGATTAAATGTTTATACAATGGTGTAACTTCAAATTTATTTTCGACGCTAAGCCCGCAATCCACCGACAGAAATGGAAATGAAAACGTGTATCCTGTATTTAAGAAAAAAATTTCGTCAAAAGAGCAAAAAATAAAAATAACATCAAAATGCCAACCTGTACAAAAAAGCACACAAGATATCTGCTGTTCAACTTCGCCAACAAATTGAACGGTTTTCTCTGTGAAACGTTCAACATCACCGACTTGTATGACATTTAAAGGTAAGATATGACGGCTTGTATCACGATTATGACTGAAAATCACTTTTTTTGCTTTGGATGCTACTTCATACAAAATATCTTTTCCAGATGGTCCACAGCCAATAATCAATACCGTTTCATCTTTATATCGGTCGGGTCGTCGATATTCATGACTGTGACATATATGACCTTTAAATTTGTCTAATCCATCAAAATGCGGAATGTTTGGTGCACTGTAATGACCATTGCAAATAAAAATTGCATCAAAAATGTTCGCTTCATAAGTTTTGGTTCGAAGATCTCTACTTAAGACCTTAATAATTAAAAAAATCTTTATGAAAAAATTCAGGTATATTTTCAAATTAAACAAATTTACCTCCCATCGATTACTTTGCACTGGTTTCACATTAACCACATGATTCTGAAACTTGACGACTCTCTCTAAGTTGTAATGGTTGGCATATGATTGATAAAATGCCAGCACTTCTTCGTGCGCAAGGAATGATAAAGGACTTTTAAATGGAAATTCAAGATATCCCATACATTCAACTGGTATATTTGTCCTGAAATGGTTCCAAATTATTATTTTTATGTTTAAATGTCAAGAATTGATCAATCTTACACAACTCCGCTGTACATTAGGGTGTTTCTCATATCTGAAAATAAAAAAATGGTAGTCGTTAATTAAAAGTGCAAAAAATTCTAAGACAAATCATGACATTTACACAAAGCATCGACTGATGGTCACGCTTCCCGAAGCAAAAAACTGTTTTCAAAATTGAATGTTACTTACAAAGAAAAAACGCCCCATTTGTACTCCTGCGCAGTCAACAACAACCAAATGGGGTGTCAACCTTTTGCTACGCTACTATCCCACATGGTCGGGATAGCCTTAATAACTAATGTTACAATTGTTTTTTTTTTTGTTTGCGTTGTGCTGATTAGACAGCATGATCAGCTGGCTGCTGGTCGTACTCGAACATTTCTACATCATTATCTACGTTGGCGGCAGCAGCAGCAGCTGCTTCAGCGACATCAGCGGCTTCTTCGGCGGCCTCAGCGACAGCATCGCGGGCTTTATATCTATTGATCGCATCCGGTATCGGAAGTCCTAGCAATGTCCATAGTCCTGAAAAATCAAACAAATGAATCTTCTTAAGCAATCATTCAATCGCAATTGTATCGTCAATTAGCCTTACCTTTCAGCAGAATGTTCTTAGCAGCCACGACGTCACGATGCCAAGTCACAGAGCATTCGAGGTTTAATTGCCAGTTTTTATAGTAACTTTTTACTTTTGACAATAAAGGCTCGTTTTCTTCCAATGCTTCGTTCATGGCGCGTTGCAACAATCGAAATTCCGATAGATCCTTCTTGCCCAACTTTGACACAATTTTTATTGGCAGCAATGTTCTGGCGTCGGGTATGCACCGGCATTTCTTGAATCTGGCCGATTTGGGCTGGTTTTGGAATCGCTTCATACATCTTGCGTCTGTTTGAGATGATCCCCATTCGTCCACCAGCTCTATGGCACAATCTCGACGTTTCTTTATTGACCTCAAAGTCAAACGAACCCCTGGACACCGCACGTGCTTTTTGATACTTATTCGGCTGTCAGGTGGTACTTCGCCATCAGCACCAAAAAGAAACAAAGTCGGCTGCTTATCGGTAACCTTTTCCACCCAATTGTCGACAACACTACTACTTTTGATGTGTTTGTCCAAGGCGAGTCGAGTGTACTTGGCAGTCGAGTAAGCGCAGATTCCATGCTTCATCATCTTGATTCGGTGCTTGATGTAGTCCAGCCAATGTGACCCTTTTGGTGATGGCATCACCGGGTACAGCTCACGGTTCTCTCTGTCTCGGCGCTCCTCTTCGGTAAACTTTTTGGTCCAACGCTTTGCTTTGGCATTTCGCACGTTTTGGCCTGTTTTCCAGTGAAACTGCTTACTCGACATTACGAAGTTAGTCTGAAAATAAATAAATGAATAGTTATTGAATTTTAGCACTTACGCGGTCTATCTTCCATTGATACATATACAACATAAATGTAAAAACTTACTTCGGTGCCAGTTATAATGTTGTGTGTCACTGTGGTGTTCCAACTTTTCAAGCCTGTATCAACGCCTGCAAAATTTTCGAATTTGCCATCCAAAATCATTTCAACGATGCGAGAACGGTCGTATTCTGTGCTATTCGTCTTCTTTTTGGCCGAGTATTGCAGAGACACAGCGATTCCATCGGTGTTTATGGAAAAATCAAACTTCTTTTTTCCACGCACGAATCGCCGAATTTTCCGCATGTAGAAATACTGATTCCACCAATGATCACGCGCAGCGTTGAAATCCTTTTGTGGAAGAATTACCATGCTTGTTGTTCCGTTTTTGTTTTCAACTTCCACTTTCGGTAGCAATTCTTGCGAAGACAACACTTGGTGCATGCTTGAACAATCGATTTTGTAGTGCTTTCGGCGAAAATCACACATCGGCACCACTACTAAATTCCGGATGAATGGCCGAAAGTTTGGATCGTCGAGCATTTGTTTGCGCTTGGGGCGACGCTTTGACTTTTTGCGCTTTCTTTTCTTTCGTTTGGATCGGTGCTGATATGGCCACTCCAAGTTGTACTCTTCTATCTCGCGTTGCATAGATAGGAACATTGGCATGGCCTTAAACCAATGTTTTTCGTCAGTCGTGAGGTCATGCAGATCGATTTCTGGAAACACATTCAGGTCGTTCACCATGTCATACAAAAAGCCACACCGTTCGAGTTTGTTTGGATCGTGAATTGGCACTCTGATGTTTTTTTCTTTGATGATCAGTTTTACAACACTTTCGATGTCACTTTGCAAAAATTTCTCTGCGTCCTCTTCTCCGTCTGTGTTCAATTCGAACACTTTTAGTCTCAAGTACTGGGTGATCTTTTTGTCAGGATGCGTTGTTGAGTTGGTGACGACGTTGTCTGTGTATTGATTGGTGATATGCTTTAGGCCATTGCTGAAATCATTGTTGTTGGGCCAATCGATACCATGATAGTCGTCAAGACCTAAAAATAAAATATGTTTTTCAAATTCAACTAAATTGTGTACTGTGTAGTCAAAACTCGCTATTTTATAAGGAGGTTTAATTGTTTAATAAATCAACTATTTTTATTTATTACCTTCGACAATTGCTTTGAATTCAGGGTCGATAGCTGGCAGCTCTGGTCGTGGTCCTCGTGGCTTTTTTCCTCGTGGTCTGTACGTCGACTTTTTCGGTTTCGGTGGCTGATTGTTTTGCCATAGCACTTGGTTAAAGCAGAGTTGGATCTTTTTTTCTCCACTTCCACCAAAGAATGCGAAATCATTATTCTCAAGGCCTATGCTCGTACGCCTTTTGCACCTCGAACAAGAACAGTAATGAGCCCAAAAAGGAAATTGAAGTGGCTTGCAAACTCAGGTCCGTTATTTTGCTCATCAATGCTTGCTGGAATTGTGGGCGAATGATTGTCTTCAGCGCACATTTGATCGTCGTAATCTCATCCTTCGTTTCTCCCTTCGCTGGTATGGATGGCTTGAAGCGATTCGCCATTTTCCTATTGAAAAAAAAAACACACACATTCGATTTAGTTTGAAAACGAATTTGTATTGAATTTTCATTGATCCATATAATTTAAAAGTGACGACTTTTCACATCAAACAATGTTCGATCGAAAAAAAGTATATAAACAAATATATACATTGAAAAAAAAAATGTGCACCAGCACTGAAATAAAAGCATTCACATGTAATTTGAAAATATCAACCGAATGCACAGATGCAAAACATACGATCAAAGTGAAAAATCCTTTTAACCAATCCACACAAATATTCACATATATTTCGAATTCAATTTGATCGAACGACAACAAAACACGAATCTATCGCTTTTTTTGGTACACACACAAAGTGATGCAACACAGAAAAATGACAAAAATCTTCGGATTGATAACAATGGCAGTGATTTAGAGAGAAAAAAAACATTTAAACACATTTCTTTGATAAGCGAGTTATTGTTTCTCTTCTCTAAACAATGGAACCAATTCAAAATGGCTATCACTGCTTGAAATGAATTTCACCACCTCACGCAACAGAATTATGTACTGCAGAATAATTGTGAAATACATTACTTTTTTCATAAAATGTAATGTTACTGTTAATATGTTCAACGTTAAATAATTATTGGACTAGTTTAAATATATTTCACGTTACAAATGGCTTATATGTCGTGCTATGAAATAAGAATGAATTTCACAATAAGAAGGATATGAATAACTGCATAGAATAAGCAAGTAATTCAAATTTTGAATAAATCGTGTATTCGCTGGCAATTTCTCATCAAAAATAATAATTTTTACCGATGAATTCACCAATATTTTTCACTTTAATTTTCACTGTAAATTAAGTTTACTCACGGTGATTTGAATTCAACAATCTGCTTGGACTCCGGATCAATCGATCGATCAAGTGTTGAACAATTCGGAATAAATTGATACAAAACGCACGTATATCGAAAATAATATGAATTATTAACAAAATCGTAGAATAATTGAAACGTTGAATTGGAATTAACACTGCTGTACTTTATGTCGTAAACTTCCTATTCACAACGCCGAACGTGTTCTCGGTATAAGTGAAGCGGCGATTATGACATTACGAAAACCAATGAAATGAACGTCAAATGTCATAGGGCTCGGTTCACATCAATAATGCTAATTCAATATTTTGACATTAGACACATTTTGCTATAAAAAATTTTTTGCTTCGGGAAGTGCCAATATCATTCGATGCTTTGTATAAATGTCATGATTTGTCTTAGAATTTTTTGCACTTTTAATTAACGACTACCATTTTTTTATTTTTTGACTACGGAAACACTCCGCTGTACATGCTACTATGAATCGGAATGCCATACTTATCATTACCCACTTGATCACTGTAGTTCCACAAACCGCCCACTCTTGAATTTTGCTCGTAAACAATGACATCATGACCATAATCAAGAGCATTTTTTGTACAACACAACCCAGCTGGACCAGCACCGATCACAGCAATTTTTTTAACTTTCTCTCCACTTTTAAGTCCAATCATTTTAATTATTTGAATGAAACGATAACTATACTTACTATTCAATTACAAATGTTCTCATTTCACTAATCTAAAGTGCTTTGTAGTACACGTTTTATATTATTTGTGAATTCAAACGTGATTTGTATGTATATCTGTAGATTTTTTTCTCTCATTCCAACTCAAAGATAAGATAGCAGTAATATATGCGAGTGAATAAACAGAAAAGTATTTCAATGTCGTTGGAACAACAAATATATCATGTGCAATGTATGCTGTATGCATCATCACATCGGTCACTTTGATTAATCAATTGATATAGTTTTATGCACTCAAACTGAACGAACTTTTATTCAAAAGATCAATATGAAATATCAATAATTAATTGAACATGTATTGCTGTAAAAAAGATGCGGTGGTGAAACCGATTTCGATCAAAGACCCATACCTTTTTCCTGCCAGCACTATTTAGTACGATCTAAATAAAGACAGACAGTTATTATTGAACCGAATGTTGATGTTTTATATTTTATATTTTATTTTAAGGAATAAATGAAACGTCCACTTTATATGATGCGTTCTTTAAAATCAGATATTTTTTTTCTTAATTACAAAATTTGTAATATCTCATGAATTGTCCTTGCGATCTAATTCACGTTCAAATCTAAATAAATTTAATCAAATAGTTACATACTGTTTTATCGATAAAAATTCGTTGATTTGTTTGTCGAACAAAAGATGTCGCTAGTAGTCGTACAGATGGTCAATCGAATTTGGAATTTGACATTTTCGGTGAATGAATTAGTGGTAAACAACAAAAGACAAGCGACAAATCGAATAAAATAAAACTTTGCCAGCATTTTTCATTTTAAACCATTTACATTTGGAATTCTATTTAAATTATTTTGCGTTAAATACAAGTCACATTTCCAAAGATGTCTATCGAAATCGAATCAGCTGAGTAGGTTTTGTCTTGCCCATAAATTTGGATCACAACTTACGGCAAATTAGTCTACCTAACTAACCTATTTATTTATTTTACAGTGTTGTTCGATTGATTCAACAATATTTGAAAGAGTCAAATTTAAATAAAACCCTTCAAACATTGCAGGTAATCCAGTCATTCTTATTTACCCGAATTTATTTCCATTTTTATTCACATTTTAATGTCACAAAATCAATCACCATTTCAATTTGGTAGGAAGAGACTGGTGTATCATTGAATACCGTCGATAGCGTTGAAGGTTTTATATCCGATATACACAATGGACACTGGGATACAGTGCTAAAAACGATTCAGTCATTAAAACTTCCCGACAAGAAGCTAATCAATTTATATGAACAAATTGTATTGGAACTTATCGAATTGCGTGAATTGGGTGCTGCACGTTCGCTGCTCCGTCAAACCGATCCAATGATTATGTTAAAACAACATGAGGCCGAACGATACATTCATTTGGAAAATATGTTGCAACGTGCATATTTTGATCCGCGTGAAGCCTATCCAAATGGCAGCAGTAAGGAGAAGCGTCGCGGTGCCATTGCCCAAGAATTAAGTGGTGAAGTATCGGTTGTGCCATCGTCACGTTTACTTGCACTTCTTGGCCAGGCATTAAAATGGCAACAACATCAAGGTCTCTTGCCACCCGGCACACAAATCGATTTATTCCGTGGCAAAGCTGCAATTAAAGATCAAGAAGAAGAAATGTATCCAACACAATTGGCACGCCAAATTAAATTCGGACAGAAATCTCACACGGAATGCTCTCTGTTTTCACCAGATGGACAATACTTGGTTACGGGTAAATAAATCTATTTCCTTCATTTTTTACTTCTTAATCGAAAAAATAAATATTCAAAATTCTAGGCAGCGTCGATGGTTTCATTGAAGTATGGAACTTTACAACTGGTAAAATTCGTAAGGATTTAAAATACCAAGCAAATGATAATTTCATGATGATGGAGCATGCCGTTCTCTCAATGACATTCTCAAGAGATAGCGAAATGTTAGCAACTGGATCACAAGAGGGACAAATTAAAGTATGGCGCATTCTAACCGGTCAATGTTTACGTCGTTTCGATAAAGCACATGTTAAAGGTGTTACAGCATTACAATTTAGCCGAGACAATGGTCAAGTGCTATCGGCTTCATTCGATCATACAATTCGTTTGCATGGCCTAAAATCTGGAAAAATGCTAAAAGAATTTAAAGGTCACACATCATTTGTGAATGAAGTATGTTTTACGGTGGACGGTCATAGTGTTATCAGCGGTTCATCAGATGGCACCGTTAAGGTTTGGTCGTTTAAAACAACCGAATGCACAGCAACATTTAAACTACTTGGAAATGAATTGGCCGTAAATACGGTGCTGCTATTGCCGAAAAATCCCGAACATTTTATTGTGTGTAATCGATCGAATACAGTTGTTATCATGAATATGCAAGGACAAATTGTAAAATCGTTTTCGTCTGGTAAACGTGAGGGTGGTGCATTCATTTGTGCAACACTATCACCGCGTGGAGAATTCAGTAAGTCACAAATAGCTTTACTGCACTTTCATTTGAATATTTATGATTTTATTTTTGAATCAAAAATTTTGATACGATACATTCATTTCAACGTTATAATTGAATTGTTCGTTTTTTTTAACAGTTTATTGTGCCGGAGAGGATATGGTGTTGTATTGCTTCTCGGTATCATCGTGCAAATTGGAGCGTACACTGAACGTGAGTATTTTCTTTGGTCTCATTAAGAAGAAAAAAAACCAAAATAATCCAACAAATCGTTCAATAATCCAATTGTAGGTACATGAAAAAGACGTAATCGGTTTAACACATCATCCGCATCAAAATTTATTGGCCACATACAGTGAGGATGGTCTGCTTAAAATATGGAAACCATAAATTTTGCGACTTATAATTCATAACTGAAAATTAATATGACTTTTTTTCGACACAATTAAAAAGAAAACAAAAAAACCATGCATAAATATTTGATCAAAACATATTTTATCTATTTTCATAGTGCATTAAGAGCGATAGAGAGAAAGGCGTTCGTAGCGCCTCCATGTGTACTGTCAATTGTTCATACAGATATACACGTTAACAAATTGTAATGTGTGCGTGCGCTTTTTTCCCTCTTTATTATCCATACGTATTTCACAATCATACATACATCGTTTATTGACGTTTCCACAACAAATGTCAGCCGCGTAGTTTAGTATATCAAAAAGTACAAAGAAATTACCACTCTCTTTACATGACTATTACAGAAAATCGAGCAAAATAAAAACAAAAATATAACTTGTACCTTATTTAAGTATATTAAACTGTTTTATTTTTAATTTAGTTGTTCCGAATCTTTTTTGAAACGTGAACAACGAGTTTAAAAAAAAAAAAAAAACATATATTGTGAGATAATACGAATTGAATATCATTCCAAGTACAAAAAAAAATCTACAGAAACGAAAATAGATTATTATGGAAAAGAATACCGTCGTAAATGTTTTAAGTAAATTTAATAAACGTTTTTCTACAATAATTTTCGATTTGGACAATACACTCATTTCGACGCGAAAAGCGGATCTAAAGACATGCAACAAGGTAACATTTGCAATCCAATATTTTTCTTCCTCTCTCACTTTTTCTCACCTTCCATATCAATCAAACCGTGAGATTTCCTTTGTTTAGTGCATAGTCAATAACAAAGTGTCGCCGTTTTTTGTGCATTTCCGGAAAGAAAAAAGTTCTATAAAATGTGAAACTTCCGCATAATCTGGTTGCTGCATACAGTGCAGGAGCAAATTACGTAGTTACATATATCGCGTAATTGGCTGAGTTTTTTTTTTGCGCCTTGTGTTTGAACATCTGATTACGGTGCCTTAACATTCATTAAATTCGCAACCAATATTTATGAACTTAGACTATTTGCTTGGCACTTTTTGACGTCATTTTCTATTCATTTCATTCGATTGGCATTTTCCTTTGTGCATGTGTGTATATGTATGTGTGTGTGTTGGTGAATGAATTTTTTTTTGTGAATTGGAACGTCGAGTGTTTTTTTTTTCGCAAATCGATCGATAATTTTTCTATTTTGTTGTTGACACATATGACCTTGACATTCAGAGAGTAATGTGTAATTTTTGTGTTTGACTCAATCGTGTCGCTCTCAGTCGTGTCTCTCCTTGTATAATTGCAAACAATGAAATGAGAGTCGAACCTAACCTCAACTTAAACGCCATGTCTGTCAAATAAAACGCACACTAAACGTAAAAACAATGTAGACGAATTGACAACTTTGGTTTGATAAATTTTGTTATTTTGTATAGATTTTCCACACTCTTAATGTGGTTGTTTTATTAATTTTGAGTGTTTCATTACAAATGAAAGGAGAACCGTGCACGGTGCAAAGCTTGGAACCGATTTCATGGTATACATTTGTTGTTTCATATTTCTCGTTCAAAATTTATGAATGCAAGCGTATGTGTGTTTATAAAAATTGTGGGCCAGTGCAGTGCATTGAGTGTCGTTGTTTATCGTGTGCGACTGGAACGTGCACACCGAATGAACGAGCGTGTTCTATCTAAGAAACAAAAATCAGATCATATCCAGATTTAGATTCACACGAGAGAGAATGTCTAATTTTAACATGTTTATTGCAACCAATCTCACACTCTCGACGTTTGAAATTCGATGAAAAAAATGAACAGAGCACTGATGAAAACGATCCACTACATACTTTATATAAATATATACAAATATTTTTTGTAGAAAGAAAAAAATCGTACACATACAAAACGAATTAGGAAGAAAAATGCCCGACGAAAAGCAAAAGGAGAAATAAAAAATCACACACAAAACAAATATCACAGCGCGCGCCGTTCGGCTACGGCGTTGAAATAGCTTAAAACTTCGACGTAAAATATTCCAATTTTACTGACGACACTCGGCAATGAGATGATATCGAAATAGAAAAACTTCTGACTGGCATGCTTTTCCTTACTTTCGCCGTTCAACACAGAACGACAGAGAGTTCACAGTTGAATATTTTAGTCACATCGTTTGATTCAATGAAATTAGTTGTGTGATACATACGATACGCGATTAATTTTCTGCACTGGCCTGATCATTTCACATTGTGCGCCTTGCTTTTCATAAAAAAACGAGTAATCAAAGTTGAAAGAAGACAATCAAAATCCAATTGTTTTTTTTTCTGTTGTTGTTGTTTATTTCGATTCATTTTAGAATTCGGTGAATTTTTGAATCTGCTGTCGTGAAAAAGTTTGTTTTAATTAAAATCGAAGATTCGGCTACAGACACAGAGAGGAGACACGCAAAAGTAAAAGAACATTAAGAATATGTCGAAAGAGGCTATTTCGGATACGGTGAAAAAGTGCATCGAATGCCTTAAGGATGCCAAAGATGATACGCAAAAGTTTGCCGCACTGTTTATGGTCACGAAATTGGTGAAAGGAAAGGATTGTAATAGTGCATCGAAAAAAGCGCTGTTCGAGGCAATCGGTTATGCATTTTTGAAGAAATTACTGAAGAGTGACAAAGTACCTGACGATTGTCCACCATCCGTGTATAAAAGTGTTGCGCTTACAATTCTATCGGCATTTTTGCAAGAAGAAGAAATTGCAACGCACAAAGAAACATTAGAGAATATACCAATTTTCTTGGACATCGTACAAACGGCCGACGATGAAGAAAATGATGATAATTTAATACTTGTGGGTGAAGCATACAGTTGCTTGCAAAGCATTGCAACCTATGATATAGGTCAAAAGGCTTTAATTGATATTGGTGCGATTGCAAAATTTTCGTCAATTTATGCAAATCAAAGTTTTCAAACGGACGAAGCGCTCAATTTGATCGTTACATTGGTGAATAAATTCGGTCCATCGGTATGGCCCGAAGATCCAAAACCATTCAATGCATTAGTTCAACGTATTGGATTGGACTTTGAAACCGATCACACCGAACGTAAATTTGATTTGTGTAATGTGTTGGCATCGTTGTTGTTCAATTGTCGCCGTGAAATTGTCGTGAAAAATTTGTCCGAAGAAATTTGGCCAGAGAGTTTATTCAAAGGATTGAGCGACATTTTAAAATCAAAATTGGGCAAAAATCAACGTGAACCAGCATTAAAATTGGCCGGCCAAGCTGTTGATGTGCTAAGCATCGAATGGACATTGAACGATGTTGATGATCCAAAGAAATTCTTTTTATTATTACTTCAATTGGCTGCGATTGAGGTGCGCATGCAAATGGATGAAAAAAGTTTTAAAGCGGCTACAGCTCAAGGTGATCTCAGTACATCATGTTTCATCATTTTGGAATTGTCCGTAAATTATATGGCAACCGATCAATTGGATTTGGATCAAAAGGAAAAACAATCGGTATACACAGGTTTGAAGGGTGCATTCAATGCTGTGCTATCCGTGCTAAATAAATTGGATAAGGATAAGGCAAAAGATTCATTGGCTGGAAAGGATCGTGCATTTGCATGCGCAATGGTACGTGTATTGTCAGCATGGTTGGCATTAGAAACATCAGCAATGCGACCGGCAATCTATCAATTGTTGCCATTTATGTTGAAATTGGCCAACAGTACATTCAACGATGTGAAAAAGTATCGCGAAGAAAAACAAAGCGGTGAACGTCCGGCCGATGTACTTCGTGTTATGATGCCAGCTCTGTGCCATTTGGCTGTCGAAGAGAAAGCACGTAAAATTCTATTTCAACAAAATGAAGACCAAGTATTTTTCCAATCAATGGAATTTTACTTTTCAATTGCTCACTACAAACGTCCACCAATTCCACGTGCTGAACGTCTCAAGCGTATGAACGAGCCCGATCCAATTCCAACCGCTGAACAATTGGAAGAGATGAAAGATGCGCGCGCAGCAATTGTTACATTGTGTAATATTCTTATGAATTTAACCGTACTTGAGCCAAAAATTGTCGAAGAGAGTGAAGTCTTCCGTAAACTGCAAGAGTTTATTTTTGAAAATTTGCCATTGTTAAAGGATATATCAGAGAATTTGGTGATGCACGGACATTTGGCCATTTTGGGATTATTGCTATTGAAACAACAGGCAAAACATGTGAAAAAGAATGATTTCACCATTTGCCGTTATATTCAAGCAACCATTCGTTTCTTATGGGATGCATATATTGTTGATGAATCAAATGATCCGACCGCATTAGTTTTATCGATGACATACAAAGAGCATTGGTCAGAAATTACCGAACTTTGGTTTTTGGGCATGCAAACGATGAGCGGTATTTTATCGGTTATTCCATGGATATCGGACTTTGCCATTGAAAGTGGATGGGCTGAAGGAATTATTGAAACATTGAAAAAAGTCAAAATTGGCACATTGCCAGCCAATGTTAAATCAGCCTACGAAGACTTTTTGTGTCAGCTGGTCGACGCAAACAAGACCGTTGTACAAGTACTTAAAAAGGCGGACGCATTACGTGTATGCCGAAATCATCGTTTAATGGAATTGGGCAAAAAATTGTTTGGCGAATAAATAAAATCGTACAATCAAAAGCGAGAAAAAGCGAAAAACAAAATATCAATTATAGCTTAAGTTGTCCAAATTTATCATTTAAACAAAATTATACAAAATGCATGAACATTTTTCAGTAAAGGAAACTTTTTCTTTTCGGTCAACATTTTTTTCTTCTTCAATAACTCAAACCTAATAGCTGTTCTTTTGTAATTTAAATGAAAAATACCAAAAAAATATGTCAAAATAAAGAGAAAAAAAAACGAAAAAAAAGTACGTGAAAAAATATATTGGAATTTGTGTGTGTAATTTTATTTTTCACAACATTTTCAGCATCACCAATATTTATTTATGGCGATATGACCCATTTGTTGTTATGACTGCGACGCGCTCTTACGCGATCCTTACTCTTGGAAATTGTAAATATTTTTTCGATGTTCGTTGTTATTGAATGGTATTGGCCATTTGAATGACGCGATTTAATATCACAATCTCATTCGTTCTGCCTAATCTTCGTTTGGCCTCGACAACGATGAGCAAACTAAAGAAAAATGTGTCGCTGTGAGCTCATCCATTTCGTTTGATCGTGACTTAATGACGACGTTCATCGAATCAGGAGGATATTTTGTTTTTCTCTAAATTTATACATACATTCATCCGACACTCGAATTGTCTAAAAATACACACATTTTGTCGGAAAACTGCTAGCACTTTTCACGAATAAAACTGGCAACGAATTTGCTGTTTTTTGTTATTTTACGGTCATACATTGTGCGCCGCCAAATGAAAAATATGATGATTCATTTTGTGAATTGAATTTTTCAATTTGGAGAATATCCAAGTTATTGCTTTAAACCTTGGATCTATATTGTTATGTATACATTTTTCATGCATGATTTGGCACATTTTCTTCAATGAGGTAATAAATAATAACAACAAAGTCATTTAGGATATACGGAACTGTCTCTGGTGTCCTCTCTTTCTCTCACCCATTCGCTCCCACTCTGAATCCTTTTTCACTCACATCGTAAACATAAAAAAAAACGAATATTATTGATGAAGCTCAATATTCGAGCTTACATATAGGAAATATAAAATTTTACATAACAAACATAATTCATTTTTCAGCGAAATTTTCACAAATCTTGATCACTCTCTCTCTCTCTCTTCTTTTATTATTTCTCTTCTTATTGATCGTTGGGTGTGTGTGTATGTGTGTTCGTATCACATATAGCTATCGATTATTTTGCAGACCAAATACAATGTGCCGAATGATGTGGCCGATGAGATAACATCGACGTATCTGCATAATTTCCGTCGTTGTCCCGACAACATTGATCTATCTCTGGACGTTTGGAGGCAACATTTATGGTGTCAAGCATTATCACAGCATAAATACAATTCACTTACATCGGCTATTTATGAAAAATGGTTGGAATTACGTTACAAGTACCTTGAATTAAAACCTGAAACGCTTGCACTATTGCAATCGTTACGCAGCTGCTACAGATTGGCGATCCTAACGAATGGACCATCAAATGCACAATGGGAAAAGATAAATCGCTTACACTTAACTAAATATTTCGACTGCATTTTAGTGTCCGGTGACTTGCCCTGGGAAAAACCTGATCCAAACATATTCTATGCTGCTTGCAATCATTTGGGCGTTGCGCCCAGTGAATGCGTTATGGTTGGCGATAAATTAGAAACAGATATTCAGGTAGGTTACACTGTGCAATTAACAGGTAGGTATTTTGATTATGAAAAAAAAAACCGAATACACAAGCGAAATGTATGTTCAGACAATTTAAAAGAGGAAGAAAAAATAAAAGTGCAAGTTACCGATAAAAAAGTGCATTTTAAAATAAGTAAAGCAATAAAAAAATGGAACTGAACAAAAAAATCAAATTTAATAAAATAGAAATATATATCGCGCCAGCAAAAATTGTTGGAAAACTTAATCTGGATCCATTTTATGGGTAAAAAACACACACGTTAATTCTCTGGTTTAGATTATAATACTTTTTTTTATTTTTTTGTTGTAATAATCTTCAATTTTCACATTTATTTTATTATGATTTAAAACCAAACTACTTTCGATGCTGAAACTGAACAAACAAAAAAATGCTTTCTGCTTTCTGCTTTCTGTTGCAAAAGAAAACACTACTTTTTATTCTTTTTGGCCAGCAAAAAAAAACGAATAGACACAGACATAAAAAAATCATTTTATTAGTTATTTCCTCTCTGTGTCTAAGTCTATCTTTATGTACCGAAAGTTGATTGCTTTTTTTAAGTTTCTTTTTCAATTTTGAAACTGGGAAAAATCGCTCAAAATTTATTTACGTTTTGAATTATACTATTTGGAAGTTAAATAAAAAGATCGAAAAAAATTCTCAATATGATCACGAAGCATTGACATTCAAACACACAATGCGGACTTGATCATAATTTTTTTTTAAATCTAGAATTTCAAACAACAAAATTATATATTTAAAAAAAGAATAATATATTTAAACTGAATACAATTCTCCAAACTCCCAAAAACCAAACACACACACACAAAAAAAACCAATCTTAGTTTGTATTTCTTGAAAATCGTTTTTTGCTAACAAATTGCCATTTCCTTATCATAACTTGAATATGAACAACATACAGGGAGCAAATGTAGCGAGATTAGGTTGCTCGATATGGATGCCATTGAATGGTGATACCGCAAACGCCAACACACAAATTAAACCAGACTTTACGATCTTTGATTTGAAAGACTTATTGAATATTTTACCAATAAGCGAATATTGTCATAGTGATAATAGTACGATCAAGACGAAGACTATGATGAAGAACGCAATGATGAGACGAAATAGCGGACCGTCGGCAACGATGAAGACGACTACGACGTCTATGATAAAACGCTTGCACCAACCGATCAGTTTGGCCGATCTGGATTTGGACAATGGAAATAGCAACAGTTCAGATGGCAGCTGAATGAAGATCACATGGAAAAAGGATGATGACCACACGTTTGTCCACCTTTTTCTACATCTGCATCATCAAACATGTGAATTTTTATTTTGATTATTACCTATTTTTTTTTCTTCGTTAATTTTCTTTATACAATATTTAAAAAAAAATTATATATATAGTTGGTATATATTTTGTTAGAGATTTTTTTTTCTTGTGTTTATTTTCTTTTTTCAATATATATTTTGCCATGTAGCGCGGAATAATGTAAAAAAAACAACATTTATTTTGAAACTCACGTAGAGGTTGAACTTCTTTTTTGAAAAGCAGAAATAAATAATAAAAGATTCGAACGATTGAAAATCAATACTTGGGTTTTTTCTTATTTATTTACGAAGTGTTTGTTTTGTTTTTTGTTACATATAGAAAAATAATTAATACTAAATGCAAATGAGAATTTGGCAAAGGTAATCTGATATGAAAGACTAATCAACGTGACTTAAAAGAAAAAAAAGAAATAAAATTTATTCAAAGTGAAGTATCATAACCCCATGGATCCAATTTTGAATTGAGCGCTGCCAACGATGATTCCGCAATTTTACCAATAATTTCGGTCAATTGATGTTTCGAGTACACGGTGTACAGTTGACAATTTTCCGATACCAAATCATCAACAATTTGAATGGCACCTTTGTAATCGCCCGACGAATGCAGAATGTTATGCAACAATAAAACCAATTGCGGAATGCACAATTTTCGAATTCGTTCGAGTTGCTCGAAGCGATTTCTTAACGGTATTTTATCCTCATCCAAAATCGGATTTATCGTATCTGGATCGATCAAAAAACCTTTTTCGGACGGGAACAATGCTTTATTTATTGATGACTGGGTTCCTGGTTGAAAATAAAAAAATATTTTCGATCAAAAACGAGAATTTGAGAAAATTAAAAGGTAAAAAAATTCTTCAAAAATTTCATCAAATGCAATTTCGACCATGAAAAAAAAACTGTGAAAAGAGTCTTGAACATACCAGCTGTCCGTTCCAATAAATTAATGCGCCAACATTCAATCTCGCTCAAATAGGTTTGTTTCTTATGTTCGTTGGCCATTCGTTCTGTGAACGGAGCGTTTGGGCCGAGTGTCTCTGGTTCTTTTGGTTTACTGTGAAATTGTCGAAGCCAATCATTATACGAGTCCAATGCTTCGACATACAGCAAATAACATGCATATTCAAATATGCTGCATTCAACTTTGGCCGGAATGTAATCCTTCAATCCGTAATTCTCTTGGATTCGTTGAACAACATTTTGTGGAATGATTTTAAATATCTTTCGAATGCTTTCAACTTTATTTTCGGCGAGAAAATTCCGAATCAACGCATTTGAAAACCACAATAATTCACTGTACTGTTCGGCATGGAAAGTTAACCATTCGAGGGCGGAAATTTTTCTTTCATCGTGCGATGATACGGTGCCGGTAAGCTCTTTGGCTGTGTCTTGTGTCTGTGCCAAACACACATTTTGAACCATTTGACTGACAATTTTATGAATATCCAATCGATTGGTGTGCGCCTCCTCTAATGCCAGCTTACGTTCATCAATGTGATCAATATGCTCCAAGAAACGTGCATATAAATCAATTTGCATATTTTGTGGCAAAGCTGATGTATAAAATGCAACGAGAGTCGGTTCAATTGACTCTTTCATTAGGTATTCCACATATGTTTTGATGACTTTATTACCAATATCACCTTGTTGTTCATGCTGTCTATCGATTTGACGCATAAATAATACAATGTGCGTTATGAAACGAAGCATTTGACCGTCGTTTTTTAAATCATCCAACCAACAATTGATGTTACGCATCAGTTCAGTCACATCGTCTAATATCAAATATTTTCGTATGATTGTCATTTTATCTTCGGCCACATCACGAATATTCTCACGGGTGCTCAACTCATTGAATATCTCTTCGATGGTCATTTTATTGTTCCAGTACTTTTTTGGCATTTCAACATAACTTTTTGAGCTCGTTTGACGCAGTTCCGTTTCAACACGTATATCAATTTGAACTTTGAGATAGGCCCACAATAAATCAAACCATGATGTACTCATTATCGATTTCAATGCATCTAAATGACCACAGAACACACCTAAATAGGCACGAGTATATTCATTCATGCGATTATTTTCAGCCATTTGCCATGCCAATTTCTTCCATAGATCGCGACGCGGATTTCCTTCGATTGGATACTATCATAAATAGATGGAAGAAGATTTGCTTAGGACGTTGAAATACAATGGAGATGAACTGAATTAGTATTTACCTTTTCCAATGATGTATTTGTTGTTTTATAATTTGGGTCGTTATGCAATCTCCAGCCTTCCAAAATTGCTGCTCGCCACCATTGACCGACTCGTTCGCACAAACTCCCTGCTTCATCCAAGTGACCTTGTCGAATTTCGTATAAAATCTAATAAAACATTTGATTAAGATTCATTCGATCCTCGTTAATTTTTTTATTTTTTGAAATGACTCACTTCTTTCGAAATTCGTTCTTCGTCTTCGGCATCTAAATCATGTAATGGTAGTTTCTCTCTGTGTGGTGCATCTGGATCTAAACTTTTTACAATATTCTTTTTTCCACTAAATACAGTTCGATCAATGTTCTGTAATTGATGTAATGTATTCTCCCATGAAACTGTTTCGTCCATAAAATGTCCAAATTTATCAAAACTTCGTTGTGTTTCACACTGTTCAAGCCAATCGACAATCAGCTGATATTCGCGTAAATTTTCATTGTCTTTGTATAACTTTTCGATAATTTCCTTTTCGCTTGCATACAAAAAGAACTCATCATCGTTTGCCTCTTCCATATTTTGTTGATTTAATAAACGATCCTTGTACAAACAATACAATAATTTCCATGTGTTACGCTCTTGATTTAACCACTCAAACAATTGTCGATCACCGGTTAAGCCGCCATTTCGAATGATATCATCAAAAATTTCACTGCACGCTTGAATCATATTGTGAACGGTATCAAATAGTTCAGCTTCATTTGTCCGTCCCTGTGCAATTTCCAGAAAAAAATCATGCAAACGATCGGTCTTCTGTTTGACAATGTTTGGATCCAATTTTGCATACACCGAACCATCCATCAATGTTGAATTTTGTGATGCGGCACGATCAAAAAATTTATCCTGACTGAATGTATCGAATGTTGAACCGTTCATGATGAATGAACGATTATTTTGTTGTTGCTGTTGAATTGATGCAGCCATTTCGCGACGATTTGTCCGCATAAAATCCATTGACTGATTTAAACTCATTTTCGTTGCACAGCTTTAAACACACATAACCTACAAAGGCCGATCAATTCGTTTTTCAATAAAATATATACGAATTATTTTTTCTATATTTTTTAAATGAAAATTTTCAATTCAAATCCAATGATGAACGGTTTTTTGGCGGTTTTTTAACTTACAGTTTTCCAAAGAGAATTTCACTGTTGAGAATCGCGTTCTTGAATTTGTTTGAAAGCAGCTCTCCGCAAATGTCACTGCATGAATCCAATCAGTTGGTAAACCGCGTAAAATTGACAGCGATGACAGTTTACTTTAAATACTCAAGTTATCACTTTAAGTATTTTTTTGATAGATGAATTTTTATTTTCAACATTCGTGAGAGAAAATTCAAATGAATATTGAAATTGAGCAAATGATGTAGAAGACATTTTAAAATTGATTTGAATTGCAATTGGAAGTTATTCGAAAATATTTCGTTATACACGATAAAATCGGCAATTTAATTTAACTTTTCGGATACAAAGTACACACTGTCTAATCGTTTATTGACTTTTGTGCAAAGTGTCTTGCACACACAGTATGTGATAGCGCTCACGAAGACGCGAGTCAAATGTAGTCTGTGTAAAATAATTTTTTTAGTTTGATTCGCTAAAAAGTTGTTTTCATTTTATTTTCTGTTTATTTCATTCAACTTCTAATTTAGTAAGCGAAATGCATGCCAAAATTTAGCAAGATTTATTTAAATTAAGAATCCAGAGAAAAATGTGACACTCTCTCTCTCTCTCTCGTTCTCTCTCGTTCTCTCTCTCGCGCGCGAGTGTATATATACATATTTTGAATGACACTGAACCTTTCAAATGCAATTGAAATACGTATAATATACATATATTTCTTGTCACGTGATTCAACCATACACAAAAATTCTAAAAGGTATAGGCATGTGCAATAATCAGTGTGTGTGCCATCCATAGGGCTTTTTGTGTTGTTGCTGCTGCTGTTGTGACTTGAAATATTTTATTTATCTCGCCTCTTCTGTCTCTTGAGCTAGGTACAGTAGTAAATTCTGCACAGTTGTCAAACTGATTTTCATGTTGTTGTTTTTTTTTGCGATTCACTCGTCTCATCGTCGTCGTCTTCATTTCAACTCAATGCCATTGAAAAGTGTATGTTGATAGAAAAACAAATGTTCGGATAGCGAGTGATTTATGGTCAAAGTGACAACAGAAAAATAAACGACAAGAGTAAATGTTTTAAGTGAAATTACTTGATGGAATCGTGGCATTTGAGTTAAATCGATAAATTACTGACTGAAGTTAGAATATGTGATAGAATTGTTTTTGAGTGGATTATTAATTTGTTTAAACATTTAAGTAATAAGAATTTTTGTTTAAATCACTGTTAAATGATTGTAAATATCCGTTGTATTTTGGGGATAGTACTACCCATTTTTCCAATAAGCGTCTAAATAAGAAAAATTGTTGTTCATATCATTTCGGGTGAATGTTGTGTTTGCGAATCTTCTGCTTCTGTAAATGCTACTGATACTACCGCTGCTGCAATGGTTAGTGTGTGGTTTATGCGTTTCTGTATGTGAATGTATGTTTGTGTATTTTGTTAGCGAGTGCCGTTTTCCATCGAAAGTTATTTTCCCAAATGCAATATACCGTACAATTTCTGCAATTGTTTGTGAGCGAGAGAAAAGAGTGTGTGTCGGCCATGTTTTTCCATATACTTGTTACAACCGGGAAAATCATCTCTCGTGCTCGCTCATCGGTCGTGTAGCCTAGGAGGACATTAGTTTGCCCCACCTTTTTTATTTCACACTCATCTCATCTCACAATTCATCAACATTTTCGTTTCGCGACATTTCTCAACAATACGCGATACGAAATTTGAGAAGTCAATAAAAAAAAGCCAACAAAACAAAACATTAAATTGTTTATAGTGTTTATAACGTGAAATGTATACAGAGAATCTGAAAAAAAACAAAAAGAAGCCTTAAGTTCTAATGAGTGATAAAAAAATTATTGTTTCGGATCGAATTATTATTTTTTTCTGTTCTTGATCGGATCAAGTAAATAATAAACAATAAAAAAGGGAGAGAGGAAATAACGCGATGACGACGAAAGAAGCAGCGGCAAATGCATTTAATAAGCGAGAGTATTTAAACATATATGATAAGTGCATTTTTCTATTATCAGGGAAGGATTAAAACAAACAGCAGTAAACACATATTCACCGACCAACTGAGTGCAATAGCTAAACAAGATTGGTAGTGGCGATTCCGTGCAAGTGTATGAACTTTTAATGAAAAACCTTTTTAAAAAAACACGAAAGATAAAGAAAGAGAGAGAGCGAAAAATTCTTCTAAATTAAAAGCAAATGTTTCAGAAAGAATGAGCAAGAGAAAACGAAAATGTGAGAAAATAATTTGCCATTTTGAAAATACGGTTAATGATTTTTCCGAAAATGTGAAATTTAAATAAGGTGCGTAGGAGAAAATGATAAGTGATCTGCAGAACATGTAGAAGGCGTAAAAAGAACGAATTTAGAAAAACGACGTCAATCGTTGAAGATGGCCTTAATTGGCTTTGATCGATATAACCTTATTATGTACTCTTAAAAGAATATTTTCATTCATTTTCGAGTGGAAAATCATCAACCGTTTTTCATTCTACTTGACATTATTAACCAGACACTTAAAGAGTTTGAGAAATCATTTTCATCGTTGTCGATGTATCTTAACCACCTTCATCCCTACCCCATCATCATTGTTATCATCATCTTGATGCCGCTTGAAAGCCTTGTGTCTCTTCTTATGTACTAAATTCGAAAACTTCTTTTCTTTTCGTATTTTTTAATGCCACATCATGCACAGTTGAATCATTTGCCTGAAGACATTGGAGCATCAATGAACGGAAATCGGTGTTTTTGACTATTCCCCCGTACATAGACGATATTTTTTTTAAATGAATAACAACCATTACATGAGCAATATACATCATTTACATCCTGGAACACAAAATACCCCCGATTTTATAGTTATTCGTTTACAATCGGTCGCTGCATTTAGTCATTGCGCAGCGAAAGTGGTCTAATCATCGAAAATTATTGAAACCAAAATAAAAACAACAACATACAATAAAAATCAAAAAGAAAATTCAAGAAAAAAATTTAAATACAATAATCAAAGCATCACACCATGGCTGACGACGACATTCTTTTTGACGATGTTTACGAATTATACGAAGTGATTGGAAGGTAAGTAAAGACATTGATGTGTATTTTTTTCACTGACATTCGTTTGTTCATTCTATATGTCAGATGTTTTCTCATATTTCATTATTGCTGAAATGCACAACCTTTAAATACACAAATTGATATCAAGTTTCTGCACATCAAGAGAGTGCAAAAAAAAATAACTGAAACGTACAAATAAAATTAAAATATTGAAATTGAATTATTTTTTCCCATGTTTATTTTCACCTTTGCAGAGGTCCGTTTTCAATAGTTCGAAGATGCATACATCGAGAATCAAAAATGCAATTTGCTGTGAAAATCGTAGACGTTGCCAAATTCACTGCAAGTCCCGGTCTCAGCACATCTGGTTTGTTAGATATATAATTCTTTTATGGTAGATTTTTACTCCTTTCTTTCTCGATTTGTCTCTAAATCCAATTTGAGCTATTTATTCTATGTATCAGACCAATTCGATGTCGATTATTTGTTTTTGTTAAATTTTATATTGCTCGAGACAAATGGACAAAAGGATTTTACTGTTTATTGCGAATTCAAAAAAAAAAAAAAAAAAAAAAAAAACAACGGTAAATTGGTTCCACTCATTTTGTTTATTTTTCTTCACAGATTTGAAACGAGAAGCAACGATATGTCATATGCTTAAGCATCCGCACATAGTTGAGCTTTTAGAAACGTATAGTTCGGAGGGAATGTTATACATGGTATTTGAATAGTGAGTATATTTCTGTTGTTTGGAAAAATGTGTGATAAACCCCATGTTTCTTTTTTTTCATTATTATTACTGACAATTACCGTAATTTGATATGCATAGTGTATGTATGTATTACATGTGCATAAAATGTGTATGCGTGAAATGGAATCATTCGTAGAAAATGAATTTCGAGCTTGTGATTTATGTGCACATAGTCGTTTGTTCGCATCGTATGCACTCATCATTTTAACCAACTCAATTCCTTCCGATTACGAAAATATTCTATTTATTAAAATTGGTTTTATTTACAATGTTGGATATTTCGTTTTATTTTAATTGCAGTATGGAGGGATCGGATATATGCTTTGAAGTGGTGAGGAGAGCAGTTGCTGGATTTATTTATAGTGAAGCAGTTGCATGGTAACTTTCCGGCATACATTTTTTAATTAATTCGTTAACATTCAAAATGGAAATGAGCATAAATGCATCAAATTCTCTATATCTATCTAATGCACACACATACGTTTATAATTATATAAATATTTCGAAATGATTAAAATCATCGAATGAACAGAGTGCATTTAGAAACAATAGTGTGTGTTGTGTGTTTTGTAACGTTCATTCAAAATTACACAAATTCTATCTAAATGGTTTAAATTGTAGTAATTTTCGTCGACAGACAGTGTAAGAAAGATATAGATAATTTCGGTGTTTTAATATTTTGTTTTGATTTGAATTGTTAATTGTGTTGCTGGAATATAATTGGAATTATTGTTAAATCGCATCAATAGCCATTACATGAGACAAATATTAGAAGCATTACGATATTGCCATGAAAATGATATTCTGCATCGAGATGTGCGGCCCGCATGCTGTCTACTAGCATCCATTGACAATTCGGCTCCAGTTAAATTGGGCGGTTTTGGTGTGGCCATTCAGCTGCCAAATGGTCGAGACGGTATTGAAACGCAAGGTAAATATTGTTTAGATTTCGAAAATTTATCTCAAATAAAAAGACAAACATTTTTATGTCATAAATTCATAATAAATTCATTTTCGTCTATGCTCGTCTCTCTCTCTCTCTCTGTGTGTGTGTTCATTGTATCGAAATGTCAAAATTTGGACACGTTAAACTCGCGCCGTTTGCACATCTATCCACAAAACCAAACCACTTAAAACACACAAGGTCGAATTGGTTGCCCGCAATATCAAGCACCCGAAGTTATATCGAGAGGATATTATGGTAAAGGATGTGACATTTGGGGTGCTGGTGTTTTATTACATGTTTTGTTATCGGGACGATTACCATTTTTGGGCTCGGGTAGGCGCTTACGTGAGGTCATCAGTAGCGGTCGCATTGCGGTATCGTATATTTTTCACCTTTCTCCTCTCTCTCACACTCTCTGTCTCTCTTTCTTTCACTCCATTTCTTTTCAAAAACACACTCACATACAATATAATTGAATTTGAGGTTTTCTTTTCTTTTATTCGTTGCCATTCACAAATTTATCAAATTTCTACTTCACATTAACGTATACACATATTATTTAATGTTTATTGCAAACAGTTTAATCTATTGCTTTGTTTCACACAATTTATACTTTTAAACCGGATGAATTTAATCAAGCTTTTGAAATTTGAAAGCGATTAAACGAATAATGGCAAAACACACACTGCCAAATTAATGTTATTCAATTGAGTTTTTCTTCTTGTTTATTTGCAGCTGGAAGCGCCTGAATGGAAATCAATATCATCCAATGCCAAAGATTTAGTATTAAAAATGCTTGCTCCAAATTTGCACAATAGGTTAACAATAGAAGAGGTTTTAAATCATCCTTGGATGCGAGTAAGTCCGCCTTCTCTCAATTTACATTGGGTATTTTTTTCTCGCCTTTCTTCCCATATGACACATACAACAACACAATCGGAACCATAATAATGTTAAAAGGAAGCAAAGTTTTCTAACGCCGCTTTTGTTTTCTGCATTTGTATTCATTTCAATAAAAATAGAAGGAGAGGAAGAATTCAATTGGATATGCCATTTATCCGTTCGAAATACAATTTCTCGTACATGCTCTCTCTCTCTCTCAGTATGAGATTGCATTTGAAACTTATTCTCTCTCTATCTCTCTTTCACACATACTCCATTGAAAAGAAACAAGAAACAAAAAATTGTTTTCTTGCCGTTTCATGCAAAATTTAATGGATTTCATTTGAAAGTTTGACACTGCCGTTGTTATAATTCAATTTTCTTCCGCAATTTCAAATGCAAAAAGCAGTGTGTCCATAATATATAGAAATATCACTAAATAGTGTCGATATCTATACTATATCGGTCCACTATATATGAAAGATATTGCCGCACGGCACCGTATCGCACGATCGAAGCCAGTGTAGACGGAAAAAATCACAAATTGCCATGCGGCAGTAGAAAGAACTGTGTGTATGCGTCAACATGTTTGCCGTCCGCACTCACTTCTATCGTGAGCTACGGTGTCTTGCGGAATATCTTACATATATAGTGGACCAATATAGTATAGATATCGACACTATTTAGTGCTATTTCTATATGTTATGGACACACTGGCAAAAAGTGTAATTTGATTAAAATCCACGATTTCAAGTCACCATTATTGATTTAGCACAACAAAAAAGTGTTTTATTTTAACATAAAACCTTGTTTAACAACTTTCAGAAACTAAAGTTTACGACTTGAGTTCAACGGGAGAAAAAAAGAACAAAATAAAAAAATGGAATGCGAAATTAATTGAAAAAAAAACACAAACACAAGAGAAGATAGTAAAATTCAAATGTCATTTTAAATTACAGGATCGTGAAAAAATACCAAAGCAACATTTAGCTGATACAGTAGAGGAATTAAAACGTTTTAATGCTCGAAGGAAACTGAAGGGTGCCGTTCAAGCAATAGCCGGTGGTTTGGCTAATGATCCACTGTGTTGTACCGATACTGATTCAGGTAAACTCTATATGCTATTTAAAATGCAATTCAATTTTTTCTCTAATCAAAATCACAAAAAAAAGACAATAGTAGTTGTTAATTAAAGAAAAACACCGTTTTGCTTTTGTTACCATCTATATAAAAGATTTGCTATGAAAAGCTATGAACCAAAAACGAATGCTAAACCTTTGTAAAATGAATGAAACAGTGTTGATGTAAATCTTTATTTTCTCGCTTGCAGTTACAATTGGAGTGGCATCAGAAACATTGAATGATTGGGCCGATGAAGAAGCTGGTTTAGAGGCTGTTCAAAGAGTGCTTGATTCACTGGATGATATTCATGCACTACAAGATGAATTTCTCGACGAAGATGTTCTCAGAGACATGCTCATGGATAATAGACTGTGTGTTTTGTTACAGGTAGACACTAAACACAAAATGGGCAAACAACAAATTGCCCATGTATTTATGTACATTATCTACTCGATAGAGCCCAGAAAAGCCATTCAATTTATTATTATATTCACAATGCAACGATATAATTTTTCAAATGAAAATACATTAAATGGTTTGTGTGTTTCCGTTTCGTTTCTCTCTCTCTCTCTCTCTCTCTCTCTCTTTCTTCTTTTTGATATACTTACAGTTATACGATACAATAAGTTCGATTGAAATGCCACAGGGACGTGTACCGCCCGGCGATGGTGTGGCGCGTTGTCGTGATGCGATTGAAGCTATTATATCGGCACCAGGGCACAAGTACAATTGTGAGAAAAACGAATTGTTGCAGTTGCTGTCACAATCACATATTCAGGTAAGTGAATATAGTGTGTAAGATAAATAAGGGAGAGAAAAAAAGCACACACAGAACAATAACAATGTGTTTGTGTGTATGTTTGTATCGCATTTTAAATGTGACATTGAATTGGTAGGCAGGCAAGTAAGAGAATGAAGAAAAAGTTGGTCGTTTTTCTGTTGCTGCATGAAATTCAATTTCGACTTTTGCTTTGCCATCTAAAGAAAATAGATTTGGGATTTGTTTGTATACTTTTTGTTTATCGTATGCCTTTTTCTCAAATTGGAAAACTTAATGTTTTGTGTGAAAATCTTCGAAAACATGAAAAGCAGCATGATACGAATAAAAAAAGTCGAACCAAACACAAGAAAACTAAGCGAGAAAAAAAGCAACAAAATCCAATATACAGTGATCAGAACAATATGGTTTTAGTTACGAACAAGAATAAGATTAGAAAAAAGAAACTAAATAGCGAAAAGTACGCAAAATGAAAAGAAAAAAAAATTAAATAACCAAGTGTGAGAATGCATAAAATTGAATGAATAAGGCTCAATCCCGAGGGCATATAAGTCTTGAAGAATGAGAAAACGATCTTTGACATTAGCAACAAAACGAAAGTAAGAAAAAATAGAACACAAGCACATTTTAAAAAGCGCTTTTGTGTTCGCTGCCCTGTTCAGTGTAGTCGTTTTTTTTTTTTTTCATTCTGAGGTATGGAATCTGCATACGACTCAAAATGCAATTTAGTTGATTTATTCTTTGTGTCGACCAAAAATACATGTCGTATAAAATAGTGAAGGAAATTTCGGAAAAGAAGACGAAGCATAAAAAAATCACAATGTATGTAAAGAGTCTCAATGCAATTCAAAGTTGACGGCATTTATGTGTTTTTTTTTGTTGGTTGTCGTCGCTGCTGTCGCCGCAGCCGCACAAAATCAGTGACAACTAATATTTCATTGAGTTAGTGTAGGTGTTTATGCCGTTTAATATTGTTTCAATTTCTGCAATGCATATAACTTTTTTTCATTTGTGGCAAGAGAGCAACTTGATAAAGGTGCTTTTGCTTTACTTCATCGTATGTCTCCAGTATTGCGCTGTACCAACCAGCCAGAGTTATGCGAATGCGAGAGAAATGCTGCAAATTGAATATGATATGTGTGTTCTGTTTTTTTAATGTGTGGCTGCTCTCTGTTCGGTCTGTGTAATCAACCGTCACTGACAAGGAGCAAGCGCACTATAAGCTTTCTCTTTCACTCGACTCTCTCTTTCTCTCTCCAAATCGCATAAATTTTGTGTATTGAATGCGTATATGTGTATTGTAAGCTCCATCGCAATGGTGATGTTGTTGCTGTTGCTGTTTGAAAAGCTGTTTGTTACAATCCCTTCAAAATTGAGAAGTGGAGGCTGTGAACGAGAGACGGTTACAATACGCATTATATACTCCATGCTCTTATACAACGCAAACACATACACACAGATACGAAATACGATTTCTCAATGACACCGAGACGCGCACGGCACAATCTGTCTATGTGTTTGTATGAAATTTGTATCTGGCAGAAAATCTGTGTTGTACTTGTATTGTTATATTGTTCGTTGTTTGTTTCGCGTATCTCACATCCAAAAAAAAATATATATAGAGCTTTTGCGACAAGCAAAATCTAGGATATGCTTTCTGCTCTTTTGAACATACAAAGATCTATATTTCTCCTCATTTCTCAGCCATATTCCTTTTTTTTTCCTCGTCCTTTTTCCCTTTATTTTCGGGGTACACACATTCATAGCGTGTGTTTTATCAACTAAAATCAGTCAAAGTGCGAGAGCGGGAGAGAAACAGAATAAAACCGTGTCCCGAATGAACAAGAATGAAAAAAGAGAAACATACAAAACCAGAACAAAAAATTCATATCGAGTATAGTAGAGAGAATGTGCTTGAACGTGTTAGAATCCTCTCGCAGTACAATTATGTGTGCGTTGTGTTACTGTACACAAATTTATTTATCCGAACTAATTGGAACATCATCGTAAACTATCTTAGTTGCAATAGTCATTTGGTTATGGACCATACGTATTTTAACAGTAACCATCGAGACTGTAATAACTAGTTATATATAAAATATACAATTTTTTTAAATTTTGTTGGATTTTTTTTCTCGATAATCTATTGGTCTCGTTCCCTTGTCGAAGTGTGTGCTTCGTCCAGTGTAAAACAGTCATTTCCAATTGATATAAACGAAACGAAGCAGAAAGTAACGAAGAAAAACATTTTATCGCGAATTTGTGTTTGAGTGTCTTAAAACCATACGAAAAAAAAACATTTAATTCAAATTAAACTAATGTTTCTGTCTGTCTCTTTCTCTCTATTACTGTGTCTTTTCGTCTCGTGTTGAAGTTTGTCAGTCAAGTGGTGATGAAGACCTTGAGCAAAATCATATCACAATCACTTTAAATGAAAAGAACAAAAAAAAAAACAACGAGAAGCGATTCAATTTACACAAATTATTATTACTGCACCTTAATAAAATCAATAGAATTGCTACTCTTGTTTGCTCATTCTTGTTAGTTTTGTTTTGTTTGATGTACATTTGAACATGCATAAAAATTCCGCGATATATGCCTCGTTCGTGTTTAAAAAAAAATTCCGTGCAACAAACAAGACACACAGACACAACAGGCCACATTTTATTGACCATTTTCTAAGGCGTGTATTGATAGTAATATCGCCAAATGGAAATTCAAATGCCATTAAATATTTGATTATGATTTGGTGTATTGATGCATTACCATCACACACCGCGGATACTCTATGCCATTGGGGATGCCATTTATTTCTTTTGCCCTTTTTTTTTGAGTCCATGCTATGCTGCTTTTGGTGCTGTTGCTGCTGTTGCTGCTGTTGCTACCCTTATAGTTGTTGTTGTTCATCCTTCGTTTCTTTCGGAACCTTTTTACAATCACATACAATCCGAATTCGGTTTGAAACCTCCAACTGAGAGTTTAGTAAATCGACAGTAGTCATGGAATTGAAAGCTACGGCATTCCTCAAATCAATTTCGGTACTCGAGTTTACATATATATACACACATTTTTTTTGTGCTCATCATTATCTTCATCTGGCTTGCACGGATTTTTTCTCGTCTCCCTTCAGTCAGCTCATCGATACAAATGTATACTATATTCTGCGTTCAGTATGCATTAAGTTTCCATGATACCTGTTTCTGCGTGTTATATAAACACGTAATATACGCCTCATACCTCGTACAAACTCTCTGTTGTACTCTCGTCTGTTGCCTTCAGTATGATTTTTGAAACAACGCCGAGCGCAGTACAACACATTCACATCGCAATGACACACAAAAAAAAACATACGAGGGAAATCTTCCAGCTCGTTCTTTCACTGTCGTTGATGTCATTTTTCTGCTCTGTTTGATCACCGTGTATGACTGGCAAATTTATGAAAATTTAATTGTTTAACGTGTGCTCTCTTTGAATTTTCTTTTTAACATTTTCCGTGCCCATTTTTCCCATGTGCTCTTTTATTCTGTCTCTTTTACTCGGATAACATAATTGACACCATCACTTCAATTTTACCCACATTTGCCTAAAATCTGCTCCAGATTAACTCCATTACATTTTTTTGTTGTTTGTTCATTCGTTTCGGTCGTTGTTGTTGTCGTTGCTGTGCATCGCATTTTTTCTACATCGCTAGATAAATCCCAAAAAAGAGAGAAGCACAAAGAGTGTGTATGAGAGAGAGAGAGAGAGCGCACAAAAAAAGAGAAAGAGTATCAAAGTACCGACTTTTGCGAATAAAGATATTCATGGCGAATGAATAAATTATTTTCGATTTACACCAAAATGGATCATAAGACCGCCTCTTGAAATATAAAATCGATTTACAAAAAAACACACAGCAAACAAACGACGTGCGACGAAACCGTTTTCAGATTTTGATATATCTGCATTCAGGATATTTTAACACCGGGCTCCTAAAGAAAAGAGTGCCCAATTTTATGGGCGAGATCGAGAGAGAGAAAGAGAAATTTAATACTATATTACTCACTTTGAACCAATAAACCAAGTGAATAATAAATCATTTTCTCTACGATTAAATATTAAAATGGCTCTTACTTATCGTATACTTACAGCTAACATGTAAAAAGTTTTACACACAATCATAAGAAAAAAATATCCAGAAGTAAAAAAAGACACAAGTTTAACATTGGCTGTAGAAAAGTGTAGAAAAAAAAGAGGCCGAAGGAGTAATGTGCTAATAGAAACATTCTATAATAAAAGAAAACGACAAATAAAAATTGATAAGATGGGAGAGTAAATATTCTCTCAATAAAATAATGATGATGACGATTCACGGAAGTTAAAACTCAGGATAATATTCCTAAATCTTAAATTTCGTCCAAAACAAATTGAAACACATAAAAGAAACGAAATGGCAGATTCATTTTCTATCTAATGTCAGTAAATACTAGAAACAAAAGTGAAATGAAATTCCAGTGACACGACCAGAAAGTATCAGAACGGACAGGCAGACATTTGTGGCCTCTACTCGAAAGTAATAGTTATCACTGTAAAATTGTAAAACATAAACAAAACAAGAAAAATTGTAAAAATGCAATCGTAAATTCACGTTGGTTTCAAAATATTCTTAGAACGGAAAATTCGAAAGCGAACAACAAGAAATCCAAGGAAATAACACACAACTGTGATCCCGCAATAACAGAGAAGAAAAGAAAAAAAAATCACATACACAACTCAATTTATGGCCATAAATAGAAGTTACTTGAAATTTCCAGCATTTCGTACATTTTTGTTCCCGTTGTTGTTTGGTTCGTTTCGTTCCATTCTTGTTCTTGTTGATTATAATTGTTGTTGTCTCGCCTCTGAGTCAAAATAGCTGTGCATTTTGTTGAATACATCGTGCAACGTGCATGAGACAGAAAGAGAGCGGAAGCAAAAGAAAGAGAGTGAAAGAAAGAGCGCGCCGCGATGGTATAAAAGTTACGAATCAGGACGGTATGGGCTTTCAACAATTCACCATTTACATGGAATGCACAACTACTATGAACACAAACAAAGATCTTAGTGCAACAACAATCTGGGAATTTGAATAAAATACACGACAAGTCGAAACAAAATTAAAACCAAACTAATTTATTCAGTACGAGCATTTCGGCAACGACGACCACAACGACGAGGACGTCGGACCGGTATTTTAGTTTTCGATTGCATTGACGACAAGCACGTCGCTAGAACCGAGTGTAATTCTCGATAGCATAAATAAAATTGCGTAACATTACACGGGTATTTTAAAACTTTAACAAAAATTTATTCGAGACAATCATCACCACCTCTGCCTCATCGTCTACAATGCTCTGGTAGCCAAGATAGTTTTGCCACAGACTCATTCTGTGGCAATGGTGGCGGCGGCAGCGGTGGTGGCGGTGTCAATGTCATCGGTCCGAATTCGGCGAATCAATGGCCAACCTGTACATCCGACACAATTTGTCCACATTCAGCCGCTGCTGCCGCACATTTAGCCGGCGCAAATATCTCAGCAATGCCACCAAGTAGTTTAATGCAAGCGACCAGTTCAATGATGCCTATGCCACCGATGCCACCAATGTTTGCCAACGGTGGGGGTAAGTGATTCAATTTCGTTCGCTTTTACAACACGCACATATCCGTCCCCTATTGAGATCAAATGTAGATCACATTTCAACAACAAAAGGAATGTCTTTGTTGTTTTTCTTTCTTTCTTTTATTCAATACTCACAAAAAAGAAAAAAAAAAGAAAAAGAAAAGCACCATGTGCATTTGTGATGCAACGTACAAAAGAAATGAAATGATAATAATAACACAATATTATTGTATTTGCACAACGAACAGTATCACGATGGGGTCCACGAACATCTTGTCCCATTCACAGTCCATTCCGTGGTCGGGTGCCAAACGGAATTTGTTCTGGGCATCAGGTAAACATCATTGTACTTCCTTTCATTTAAAAAAAAGTTTCCTAATTCTCGTCATCTTCAAAGTAATCCATCACATAGAAAATATACCACCGAAAGATTGATATCAACAACCTTCGACTCAAAATAAAAAGATTCGAAAAAACTTTATCAATTTTGATACTTTTTACGGTTATTTTATACGACTTCTCCGCCTCCTTTTTATCCACCAAAGTAGCAATAGATTTATTGAGTGTTTGAATTTGTTCATTGTCAATTTTAAATTAAAGACTTGAATTAAAAATTAAAATGGTTCCGTTCTTTAATATGATATAGCGTTAAGTGTAATGTTGGCATTGGGATGATTTAAATTCATTTCGGCTACCATAAATAATTACTGATAAAGATGGTGATGGTGATTCGAAGAGGGTCTCCCGTCAAATGATGGTGAAAACATTTTAAAGTAATTAAAAATCATTTCTTAAGCAATGTATTCCATGGGTAACAACAATAGATCGATTTAGAAACAAATTACAATGCACATCAAATGTAATTCATAAAAACTAGAGAAAATTAGGTTGCAGATAGATAGAGATGGAGAAGGAGGAAGAGAGATGGGTTTGCTACTTTATAACGACTTAAACAGAAATAAAAATTTATACCCACGCATGCGCTGCGAGAAGAGGTTGGGGAAGAAGAAGCACACAAGAAATATTCGCATTGTGTATCGATTCTGGTATCTCTATTGTTAGCAGGTGTTCCATATGATGAAGTCCATATAAATTGAAATTACTGCAAAATTGATCTGAATACATAAAAAAAGTTGTCAAAATTACATGTGAATTTTATTTTTCTGCACCATTTTTCTGTCTTTGTCTGATGGGGGATATTGCTTGAAATTTCACATCGAAAATACGTACAAGACGGAAAAAATAAAGTTTTGTACAATAAAAGCTTAGAGCAGAAATGAAGCGGAAACAATGAACGAAACAATGTCAACATTTGACTTGGCAAACGTAGACGAAAAAAAAAAAACATATATTGCATTCAAATTGTTCATCCATAAAAGATCAGAAACAGAAAAAAATATGTTTATAAATTGAAGTTGTTTTGCGTGTGCAAGCGAGTGTATAGTTTAGGTACAGAATGTCACTTCAACCATATTGAACTTGACATTTTGATAAATAGATCATTGAAATGAGATGTAAAGAACGGAACATTTTCTTATATTCTTCCGTTGATGTTCGTTTGAGGAAATTGGACAAAATATGAAAAGGGACAAAAACAATGTTTATTCCATTTTTGTTCGAGTTAAGCTGTTCCCGTTAAATTTATTATCGCATTAATAATATACACGACAAAACAACAATGACAATAGAAAAATGATTTTTTTTTTTAGTTTTCAAGTTGCGCGTAAAAAATAAAACGTGCATGGTAATGTAAGAATAGCTTCCTGTTTCGAGGCAAAATCAATGCAATCAGAAATGGTTTTCATCTTCTTGAGCTTGTTTGTTTGTTTGTTTGCAAGAAACTGGAGTGGTATACCGGAGAGTAATGATGCATCCAAGAAGGAAACCGCATTCAACGCCGACATAGTCTCACAGACAATATTGTATATTTACGCAAATGTTAACTGTAAGACTGTGTCTGTGTTTATATGCAAAATCATCATCGGACGGACGAATGCACAGCGCACACACCCACATATGTATTAAGATGACTATGATGGTTGCTGAGGCCAATTTATCCAGTGTGAAAATCAAATCGCTTTAAATAAATAAGGCTTTTCGTGAAATTTCGAAAATGAAAATGAAGCCCTAATTATATTGCATTAAACACCTGGGACTTCACAAGTTCATCGTAAAATATATGATTACTACATTTCACATTCTATCCATTTGGCGAATTTATGTGACGGTATTGAATGACTTCAGGGTTGGATATCATGGGGCTTAGCAAGCAAATATCAAACAACTTTGGAAAATTGAAATCAAACAGCGACCATAAACGAACAAACAACCTTTCCGAAAACTAATACGTATAAATAGAAAATAAATTGAGTTAAATTAAGCATATTATTATTTCTTAGAATAAGAATACCATTTTCATAGTTTTCTTCGTCTGTGCGTTGTTTTTGGTGCACATTTGTCTAACAACTGTGCAACACCACTTGAATTATAATTAAACAGAATTTTAATAGAATTCAAACGGAGAAATATGATGGAAGATTTGTCTTTTTTTTTGTTCATTTTCGAGTGATCTTAAATTCCAAAACGACTTTAATCTTTTGATCGGATTAAAGTTCATCATGAAAAGATGGCTCATAAAATACATTTAGTTTAGTGCACACTTAATGTATAATCCGTTTGTTACATCAAACTTATTACTGTAAGTGAAACGAAATGTATTTGCCTTACGTGAATACAAATTAAAATGGTATTGATTGACGACCAAAATGTCGATACATACATACAAACACAAACACATGCGCCCACATGAGGGGCACAAAATTTTGATGGCATTAATAAACCTTGAGATCTTATACACACATCCATTAATAAAATCTAAGCAATAAATTTTACGTGATGGGAATGGCCATCAATGAAATATGATTTAGTCAATTATTCAATTTATTTATATTTCAAACTGCATTTCCAATATAATCCGATTGAAATCTATCAATATATTTTCTTGATGAAAAACAAATAACACCAACAACAAATAGGCATTGCTTCACACACACGATGTTGTTGCCAAAGAAGTGTATGGTGACGAAGCGCTTCGTGTAACACCGCCTCCAATACCCAGTTATATCAATGGCGACGACAGTGACAGCGTTGAGAATGGAGAAATCACACAGCACGTCACACGCGTTCGACTTGTTCAATTTCAAAAAAATACGGACGAACCAATGGTAAATATAGTATTAAGATGTGCATTCCATTTCATACACACATTTTGTGTGTATGTGTGTGTGTTTTTATTTAAGCGAAATCTTCGAAATTCAATCATTCTCTCTATTTTCGTTTGTCATTATTGTAGGGCATCACTCTAAAGATGACGGAAGATTCACGATGCATTGTGGCACGAATCATGCATGGCGGCATGATTCATCGCCAGGCTACGCTGCATGTTGGTGACGAAATTCGTGAAATCAATGGCCAATCGGTACAACACCAATCAGTTAGTCAACTGCAACGAATGCTGGTAAGTTTTACAGAATAAAAAAAAAACGAGCATCCATTTTTCATTGCACTTTATTCGACCCGCGGTCTAATTATAAATTGTTTGACAAACTACAAAAGCAAAAAAAAAATTGTGAAAAATGTAAAAAGAAAAATTGAAAGAATGGAAGATGAAGAAAAGAAAACAGCAGTAAAAGTAAAGCATAATGATGGACAGATGAAAAACGAAATGAAATTTAGCAGAGAAACAAATAGAAGAACACTAATGATCATTCGTATACTCTTTTTTTTAAATTTTCATTTTAGCGAGATGCTCGCGGTTCTGTAACCTTTAAAATAGTTCCATCATACCGAAGTGCTCCGCCACCATGTGAGGTAAGTCCTATCTACCATTTCATACTGAAATTTTAGCAAATAACTAACCAACCACTATCATCCAACCTTCACACTCTCCTCTTTGCCCCTTTCCTAATCATAATCTAACACGGTGTTTGTATTGAAATCTCATTTTTAAAATGTTACACTTCATTTCACAAATTTGACTACATCAATAACCGATACTTCATTTGAAATTTTGCGTGTGCCAATTCAGCTCGAAATCCAATTTAATATTTTCGATTAACATTTCCTCGCACCAAAATCAACCGACGAATAACAATCATCATCATCATTTCGAAATTGATGTACACTTAAAATCAGCCAACAATTCACGATTTAATCTTTTTCCATTATATCAATAAGCTGTCAGTGCTCACTGTTCGTATCTCGCTATCTTTCCTCTTCATCTCTCTCTCTCTCTCTCTCTCTCTCTCTCTCTCTCTCTCTCTCTTTTGCTCTCTGTTTAGAAATACATTATAAAACTAATCCAATTTCACACCTGAAAATAAACCAAATATATCGTTTTGATTATATTACCAACTGAATTCTCTCTTCCGCTTCCAATATATTCCTCCGTACTATGTTGATTGTATGGTGTATTAACGTACATATTTAATTTATTCATCCATCATTGTTGAAAAAATTTGGATTCACCGTAATTTTGTTGAGAAAATTGTTTATTTACTTGCTAAATACAAAAACCTCATTTTACGGATTTATGAAAAATTCATGAAAAAGCCATTTCAAATGTAGAACAGGCATAAAAAAAATTTCAGTATATTATCCCCCGACCTCTTAACTAGTGTAATAAAATGAGAATGTCACACAAATTTGGGACATTAGCACACACACACACACATACATAACCGTCAAGCTGGCCACATTTTCTGACCTATCGCATTCATTATGCTTTCTGTGCTCCGAATAGAATGCACAATTCAATGCATAATAGCGTACTCAAATATCTCATACTATGTAGCTAAAAATTATTCATTTATACATTGAAATTATGACAATTTTTGAATTAGTTTGTTCAATTTGATACATGAAAGTTTCGACATTTCAAAATTGGGCATAAAACTGATTATTTAGGGCCGTTTATAATGGTGATTTATCTCTCTCTCCCTCTATCTCTCTGTGTGTATCGTTCGCCTTCACTTTGTGTACGTGGATTTCTTCGGTAATTCGGTTTTAATTTCGTAGTGAATCACCGAGTTTGGCCTGAATATAAGTCGTAATAGTAATCTCTTTATCACATAATTCATACGCCATTGGGATAGTTTCAAAAACGGGATTATGATAAGTTTACAAAAAAAGAGTTGATCTAAACTTTGCCATATAGTCAAATATAGTCCCATTCCTTAAAAGAGACTATCTTTCGGAGCAAAAGTACCGATGTGAATTCGGTTGTTCGCTATACAATGTGCATCGATTTTGATTTTGGTCCATTTATTTTAAGTAGCGCAAGATATTTAGACCAAAAACTTTGCATCTATGTTTGATTCAAAATGAGGAGTAAATACTAAGCACTAAATACACCATTTATACCCTTCCCCCGCAAATCAAAACAACAACAAAAACTTAGAAAGCAAAGAAAAATAGAAATTAACAGTTGTCTATATATGTATATTCAAAAAACCACAGCTTTTCAGGATTAAACCGACACCTGTATTAGTAAGTACTTTAACTCACTCATGTTTCACATTCTGTCTTTTGCACAGAACATTTTATTTCACAAACAAAACGTTCTTCTTCTTTTTTTATCCGTTCGTTTGTTTGTTTTATTAATCATTTTAACATCTGTATTACTCACTTTGTCATTCAATCAACTATGTTGCTTGTTTATGTGTTTGTATTGTAACATTAATTATTCATCAACTAATATACGTTATAAAAGAATCAACAGCGTGTGGCCTTTTCTTATTCTTCCTTTTTTTTCTTCTTTGTGACAAATGTTTGTGTTTAGATTTTCGTTCGAGCACAATTCGACTATGATCCGCTGGACGATGAACTGATCCCATGTGCTCAAGCTGGAATTGCTTTTCGCACTGGTGACATTTTACAAGTAAGCAGATTTTTTTTCCGTTGAATGTGATTTTAAATTGTTAAACGAATTCGTGACTCCAATCATAAGATAAGAAGAGAATATAAGAGATGAAAAATTCAAACGAATATTATGAATCGCGTATTCTTATTCAAATTCGATTTGTTTTTTTTGATTGAAAGCATTTGATTGATGGTATATTTGAAAAGAAACATTTTTCTTCTTTCAATTTTTAGCTTTTTAATTGGTTCGCTCTCATCGTTTTGATTTGCTTCTTTTCAGATTATTAGCAAAGATGATCATCATTGGTGGCAAGCACGGCATGATACGATTGGAGGTTCAGCTGGATTGATACCATCACCGGAATTACAGGAATGGCGCATTGCATGTCAAACAATCGATAAACGACAGGAACAAGGTAAGTACCGCTTTCCATCTTCGTTTGCGAAACAATTTTTCTATGTCGTAAATGTATAAGCTCATCTCATCATTCATCCGAAACAAAATTATGCAGTGTTTGTAGTTTCATTCGACCCTCAGTATTTCCTATTTTGTTTTCTTTTGTTCCACTTTTTTTCGGAAAGAATTCCTATTTATCTCTCTCTCTCTTTCTCTCTCTCTCTCTCTCTCTCTCTCTCTCCACAAATAGTAGTTTTGAGAATTTATACATACATGTGACTTAGAAAATGTTTAGTAAAACTTAAAGGAAAAATGGATTATCAAACCAATGGAAATTTTCGAAAACGAAAAAAAATGGTTCTGTTCTTTTTTCGGTCATCTTTTGTTACTGCTTATTCTTTTAAAATGGGCAACTGCATCGACTGCAGTAGTCTTTAGTCATGCCAACCAAAAGATTTTAATTGAGTTTCGAAAACTTTCTGAGCTGAGCGACTATCCATGCATTTAAGAGCATTGGATATCACATTGATGTCTCTAAAAATAGCTTATATGCCTCGAATTCTTATGGGTAAAGTGAGAAAGTGAGAAAATGTTGAACAGAAAGAAAAAAGAAAACAGGTCACATCTGGTCATATTAATCCCATATCGACATTGTTCGGGATGTATGCCATAAGCGTTGTAATTATGATCGACCAACTTTTTCACCTCCACTTTTACTTTATAGACAGTTTCTCTCATATATCGTTTCAATGCGACACATACACAAAATTTCCATATTTTAAGATCGTAACATTCAATGAATTGGAACTTATGAATCGTGTAATTAGTGTTGTTATGTTCTATAACATAAAATTATAATTCATTACATATTCTCATCGAAATTTCCTACACTTATTCTACTGATAAATGAATCTATTAAAAAGTTCAGCCCAATGGAATATGAGAGTCGGAACATTTTCCGTCGCATCGTTCGTTTATTGGTGTTTATTGTGTGTGTGTGTGTGCTGTCCGCACAGAAAAATGTCAGCACAAAATAAGACGTTTCGATAAGTCTTACTTAACGAAAACTATGTACTAGTACAACACATTAAATGGTACCGTATTTGCTGATATGACGAAGATGATGGTGATGATGATGGTAAAAAAGCGAACAATGATATCAAATATGATGCATACTGTATTTTTTTACGTCATCGGTATGACTTTGAGATCGTGACACACTCATCAAGTTTTTCATTTCGTTGAAATGTGTTGCCTTAGGAAGCACGAGCTCAATGGAATATGCTCAGCAACAGAAACCCGAAACAGGGAGACGGAACGGTAATTTTTTTTTATAAAACAATGCATAACGACGGTACCGCATTTTATAACATTAGAACTGAAAGTATCGTAACCATAATATACAATATTTCGGGTCAACTTCAAAAAAAAAGAACAAAAACCGTCAACACAATATACCAAAACTGACATGATGAAGTGGAACTTATTTCAGTACTTGATTTTGAAGCTTTTTGGTTTTGATTTGGTGATTTCTATGTAATGTTTGTTTTTTGTTGTATTCAACATCAAAAAAGAGCACTCATACACACACACAACTTGTTTCAATCTTTGAAATAAAAATCTTTTGTACTTTGATTAGGAATATAGATGCTTTGGGGCTAAGTTAGTTACAAAAAAGCGGCATCCATAACAACCTACATCCATGATAATGTTCGTCCTTAGAATATACACAATAATCAAATTGAAGATTCGCTCTTTCTTACTTAGAAAGACTCTCATTTCTACACCGCCTTTCTATTGATCAAAAAACAATGATGATTTTACGTACAAAGTAATTTCCAATTGAGAGAGTTGTTTACGTTATATCGTAATTGTTAAATTAGTAGAAATTCGATGAAATTAATTACATTAGAAATAGAATAATCAGGTACACGAATAGACGGTGCGCATTGTGGGTTTCATCGATTCTCAAAATTAATTTGCAACAAAGATCACAATCAACAATATGCTCTAAATATAGATGAAATTTCATCGACGGCGTATATCTCGATTGTGAAATTTGATTCCGACGCATTCTTGGAAACTCTTTGCTTACTACTCTACATGCAATAAAATTCAATCCAAAATTCAATTTATCGATTTTGTATAGAGTTTTTAATTAGATTGCCTTCAATGGAATCCACTCAATGTTTTGTCCAATAACAAAAAAAAATCACACCAAATTGGAATCTCATCACTTTTTTTTCTTTCATTAGAAGGAAACTCACCATAATTAAAAAAAAAAAAAACATATTTTGGTAGCATAAAATCAGTGAATGATAGACATTTTATACAAACAACAAACAAAAAAAAACAATCAATTAAGCAATTTAATGTTCTTAAATGTAAATCGCTTAGGAGAGTCTGGACCAGGCTGTTCCGCTCACGCGGAAGGATGTGACGGCTCGACAGGTATTCAACGCAAACTGGTTTACTTATAAAAACCATTTTCGTTTTATTTTCTCGTGTCTTCTTTTTTGTATAGTGCAATTTTTCTTTCTTTCTTCCATTCATTTCGAAAGAAAAATGTGCCGAACATTTTACAGGAAAAAGAAAGCGTTGAATTTCATTAACAAACGTACATTTGCTTTTCAATAGATATTTTTTTTCTTTTAATGTTGTTCTTTATCTTTTTGGTCATTTGAAGTTGAATCACAAACACTTTTTCATTCACATTTGATTTTGTGTGGGCTGAGTGAATAAGTCACCGAAGATGACATTTAACATTACAACATAAATTCAAAATTAGTTTGAACGTTACGTTTTGGACACGCTATAATTATAAACATATCAAAGCGAACGATATTTATATACTGTATAATGTGTATTTCAGACATGCATGACTCTCCTAGTTTCACAATGATGATGACTCTTGCAAATTTGAATGTATTTGAAATACTGTCATGCTATGCACTTGACAAACATAATTGCTTTGTTTTATTTTATCAAACACTTCTTTTTCATTTCATTTTCCAAATCAAACAACTGAAGCATAAAAGAATAATAATTTTTATTTGAAATTTTTGTGCAAGTCACTTGGCAGCAAGTGCAAACCACACTTAATTGCTATCATTCGGAAAATCATTATTATTTAAATGCACTCACAAGAATTACATTTTTTTTTAATTATATCTATTTTGAGATGTACGAATTAAGTGCACTCATCATATATTCATACACTCACATGCTGCTGTATATAAATGGCTTTTGGATTGAATGTTAGGAAATGTTTGAAATCATTTGAAAATATTGACCCCATCACAATGTACTAATTTACATCACAACTTACGATCCACAATACCATTTTTACATTTTAAACATTCCATTCAATTGGCTTAAATGGATAGTCGAATAGAATTCAAGCAAAAAGAAAAAAAAAACAATCAGTAAGTTCAAGATTATAGTTACTGCACCAACAATTGTTTTAATTAATTTAACCTTTTATCTGAAATCATGGGATAAGGTTAATATTTTATTTCGAACATTAATTGGAATGTTATCGAGACGAAATAGACGAGAGAAAAAAATCGAAATTAGAACAAACGACTTTAATTTGAACACACACATTTCGTTTTTCTCCCAATAGATATTGTGTACGTCTATGAATTTCGATTTTGTTTTGGGCATGTGTGTGTGTTTCAGAGAATGGAATTTTTCAATCTTTTTTTGATGTCGATTTTGATGATGGAATCAAATTTTGATTGAACGATTGATTACAAAGGCCAATAGTGACGAAAGAGAGCCGGTTGAAGAGATAGGGGTACTTGAAATTCGTTCTAATCAAATTGATTGAAGATTCAAATAAAATATTCATTCTTGGCCGAACCGATCGATTCCGACATATTCAACTCAATTCCAACTACATCATGTTCATTGTAAATAAAAATTCACAACACAACATAGTTTTACAGCAACAGTGTTTTTTTTTTTGTAAATTCATATCGTTTTACCTGAATTTTAGCTCTATCTTCCCCTCACACAATTTCGTTGAAAACTGACATTTTCGTTTATCGTAGATGTTAAATAAACACATTCGTATATACAGTTATACACACTTGTACATATTTTATCAAATATACTATATTGATTGATTGATTTGTAGTCACTTGTTTATGCAATGCATCTAATCCAAGGATTTTTTTATTTTATTTGGAGAAGAAGATGAAAAAAATCGCCACTCAGATATGCACTGTGCAATAACTCGAAATTTTATTAAAATCATCCAAATTGATGAAGATTTGGCATTGGCATTTATAGGTATAAAAATATTCGAAAAAGCAGATTTGCGAACGAAAAATTTGGTTTTAGGATTCTTAAATTGAGAAATCTAAATTACTGTCGAAATATTGTTGATCTGAAAAGCGATTTTGACAGACATATTTCGTTAATTATAAAAGTGATATTTATATATGTAATATAATATATCATATCGAGGTCGAGTTAATTCATATGGAAATCTCTTTTGTTTTAAATATAAAAAAAAAATTGAAGATAAAAAGCAGATAGATATAGGAGTGGTATCTCATTCGTTTGATTGAATACCAAACTGTGGAGAAATTGTTGGGTATTGCATTGCAATATAAATTGGAATGCGTTACACAATTGTTCGGCTAGTGTTCTCTCTGACTGACATTTCGGTATAGTTATCGGTGATGATATACGTTATACGATACATATAACTATGTGTGATAGTAATGAATACCTTTTGTATATGCCATTACAGTCAACTGCTCAATTTTCGGCCGAAAGAAGAAACAAACTCGAGACAAATATTTAGCGAAACATAATGCAGTATTCGATCAACTCGATCTGGTTACGTATGAGGAAGTGGTCAAAATTCCACGTAAGTTTATTTGCTTCTGTCCATACAGATATTTGATAGAGTCGGTACTCATGCATGTACAAAAATGTGTAAATAAAACATTAATGAGTTGTCTGTTTTTGGTTCAACGCTCTTCTGCTGTCGATATGTAGAAAAGATAGCGAGAATGAGCATCGAATCTAAGACGAACAAATTGGCCGCCTCATCTAAACGCATTACAAACAAATGAACAAAATTTCCTAAATTGAAATTATGTTCGTGCTGTCGATGCGGTAGATGTTTTACTTTTATTTCATTTGTTTATGTTTTCAATTTCAGTCGGTGATCCAGCATTTCAACGAAAGACCCTTGTTTTACTTGGAGCGCATGGTGTTGGGCGACGTCATATCAAGAATACACTGATTGCAAAGTATCCTGACAAATACGCTTATCCAATTCCACGTACGTATTACATGCCACTCTGGCTATCTGTTGTTAATGTGCATTCAGTTGAAATATACAGATAGGATAGATAGAAAAAGACGCACATACACAAAATAAAAATAAAACTTTTACACACCAAAAATGTTCAAACTAATTTGATTATGTTGCGGAGTTGAAGGGGGTGGATTGTAATGGGGTTGATTTTTATTTACACATTTATACATACATTTTACAGATACAACTCGAGCACCACGTCAAGATGAAGAAAACGGACGCAGCTACTATTTTGTATCGCATGACGAGATGATGGCTGACATTGCCGCCAATGAATATTTGGAATACGGTATGTTTTTTGTTTGCTATCTCTATTATTGATGATGACATTGAGATGGAAAGGGAAATATTCAACCGAAGAAAAAAATCACAACAATGAACAATCATTTTCACTCAACTTTTTTCGTTGTGTTTTTTTTTCTCTTACTCTGTCGAATGCAGGCACTCACGAAGATGCGATGTATGGCACAAAATTAGATACAATTCGTCGCATTCACAACGAGGGAAAAATGGCCATATTAGATGTTGAACCACAGGCATTGAAAATTCTGCGCACATCTGAATTCACACCGTATGTCGTGTTTATTGCAGCGCCTTCATTGAATAACATCGCTGACGTAAGTTTCATTTCATTTATATGCATATATTTTCGGCATTACATACAGCAGGCCACCGGCAATTTTTCAACTTCATGTTTAACAACATTTAGCAACTTTTTTTTTTGTTCGTTTTCTTCATCTTTTTTCAACATCAACATCAACAACAACAAAAAATAATATAATCTTCCTTAACCTATATACATTTTCTCTTTTTACAAACAACCATCGTCATCCAAACAACCATCTACCTACCATCAGTATGACGGAAGTCTCGAGCGATTAGCAAAAGAATCGGATATGTTAAAACAGGCGTACGGTCATTTCTTTGATTTAACCATTGTGAATAATGACATTGGGGAAACGATTTCGGCACTTGAATCAGCCATTGAAAAAGTTCATTCAACACCACAATGGATACCGGTTTCATGGCTCTACTGACAAGATGAAGAACTTGAATTAGCTGAATCATGCGATGAATGCATGGACGATGAGTGCGATTGCGAATATTGTGATATAAACGAGTCAAATTACGAAATGAAATGAGAGCAAATCAATAAAAAAAATAGATGAAAAACAAAAAACTAAACAAAAAATATTAAATTAAAAGCATTTTAGTTTAAAAAAAAGCAAATGCATTACACACACTCAAGTTAAAATTATTCGAAATGAAACAAATTGAACAACCACTAAAAATTTAATAAAATTTAATAAATTTTTATGCCAACAATTACATTGATCTATCGAATTTTTCAGAATTTCGACATCATTGGCATTAATATACATATATACACACACACACTTAACTAAATAATCGATTTGAAAACTAATTGACTTGGAAAATTGATAAAAAAAACAAATTATGATAATTATTAAAAACAAATTGTGTAGTAAATGAAAAATTAGCGGAACAAAACAGACGACATGCGTACCGACGTGCTACTGTAACTTGAAAAAGCAACGAACTGACCTGATATATGACTCTGATTATGATATCGAATGCATAATTTTTTTTCTTTAAGAAAAAAACACTAATATTAAAATTAATAAACCAAATAATTGGTACTTAATATTTAAAAACAAAAAAAAGGAACAGAACTTAAATGGTTATATTAATGTATAAAAAAAACACACACACACTCACACAAAATGATTAAAACACAGGATGACGAAATATAGATTCGACTGTAGATTGTTTTTAATTGTTCTGATTAAGTGAAATGATGCATCTCCAATGATGTAAAATATGAAACATTTTTTTTCGTAATAAACACAAAATATATATATTTAACGAATTAGAGAATGTGAGAATGAAGAAGAAAAAAAAAAAGATATACAAAATAAAACAAAAAAATAATATTAAACAATAGCCAAAAATGGAAAACAAAATGTTAAAAGAGGTTGTTTTTTCTGTATAAACCAAAAAAAAATCTTAAGAAAAACTGAAGAAAGAGAGAAAGTAAAAAAAGAAGAATTTTATATATTCATTACATGACCTCTGCTTTATTAGTCTAAAAAGTTGAATAAGTATGAATAATTTTTCTAGAATAAATACACTGAGTTGTGTTTCGTTTCTATGTGGGAATGCAGCGGCACGTTTTAGTTTCGTGCGCACAACGTAAATAGCAATCTTTAATCAAGGAACGATTTTAGCGCGGCAAAGAATATTGGCAAAATTGGGAAGACTGTTTAAAGACTAATGTTGATTTTGTCATTTTGAGATTTTTTTTCTTCTTCGTTGCATCACAGCGTATAATTCTCATGATGACAACGATGGTGTTGCAGTAATTTTGAACCAAAGAAAATCGCAAAATGGCAAATTTTATACAATATTCATCACTTAATACCGTTTTTTTTCTTTTCGGCCCAAACAAAAAAATCAACTTGAAAATAAATAATCCTTTTTAAGGAACCATCGTAACTAAGCTTATGAAGAGGAATGAGTTTTGTGTGTACGCACCGATTTTGAATTTTAATACAGTTCAATAGCTCGAATATTTCAGCAGTTCAAATGCAAGCGCAAATAAGAAATTACAATATTTTAAATTTTCGAGAGAATTTTTTCAATGCATAGACGTTTTTTTTGAATAAAAATGTTTCAAATCTGATTCTGGAAAATTTATGGACAGAGCTTCAAACTCAATGACTCAAAAATATTGAAAAGTAATTACAACCATTCCATTCAAAATTTCTTTTGAACAATTATATTCAATTGGACAGTGATACACACTAAACTGATAAATCTATTTTGGTTGAAGATTCAATGTGACAAATGTGAATGTAGCTGTTATGATCGAGAGTTATTTAATTTACAAAACGCCTTGCACAAAGGCATCACCATTATAACAAATGACAAGGTCTTTTGGTAGCGTATATTTTAGATTTTTATCACAGGCAAATATGTCGTTGTCTGAAAAGAACATTAATTTGTATGGGGGTTCATTGCGAAGTTCGGTACAGATATTATCTCATTTTCAAGATAAGATATGTGTATTAAACCATACTAGACAAAATAATGTCTGAAATGACCAAAGATATGAAGAAAAAGATATGGTTCAAATCACTCAATTTTCGCCTGTAATTTCCAATTGCCACCTGGGAAAAAAAAGAGTATCTTCACCAAACGCGTAATATGGACCGATTAGTTCGAATGCATTAAAGTCTAGAATAAGGTTGTTGGTAAATATAATTTATGGATTGATAAGTTAAATGAAATGTTCTTTCCAGACAAAAGAGCTTTATAAATGTCAAAATTGAAAACAAAAATAAAATGAATTAAACCGTTGTCGTTAGATTTAAGATTGTATGAAAGTCGCATTGAATTTCCATTTAACCAAAATATTTATTTCTGTTCAGTGACCTTGTTCTTCTAATTAAGTCTTCAATTTATCTCATTTAAAGAAAGCAAACTCATGCGATGTACAGCAGATATTTAAAATTATTTGTTGCCTAAACGTTCCCAACCTATCTGTATTTTAAGGATACAAAAAAAAAAGAACTGATCGAGAGAGATTCAATCGGAATGTTTAATTGCTGAATATAAAATCAAAAACGAATACACACACACACATATATACACATAGTAAAAAAAGGAAAGAAATTAATCACAGTTTAACGGTCAGGACAGCCTATGTGCTTTGGATATGGAATGTTCAAAACGCATGAACATACACATATTTTGTACATGAAACGCGTGCTTTTTTCCATCGTAATTTCACCGTTTCTTTGTTTTGTTTTTTAATTTTATTTCGTAGAACAAAACATATTTGATAAATGACATTTATCCAGACGAACAAAAATTGAGACCAGAAGCTTTGCATTCGGCAGATAGGTTTATTATCATATTTATTAAAATGACGTTCATTACCCATTGATCAGTGTACCAAAATGCTGATTTAAAAAAGAAATACGATTAGTACCTTTGTTGATGTTCCTTTTTTTTAATAAAACAAAATATATTACGAAAAAAAATTATTGAAAAAGAAAAACACGCGCAAAAGATTCCCACGACGAAGAATTCGTTTAGCTGTCTAATTTTGTTGAAGCAAAAAACAATTTGAATTCATTTCTCTTCTTACTTTTTTTGTTGCTTGTTTGTCATTTCAAACACTGTTTGTAATTGTTGCCATCAAATCCGTTAGCACACAAAATACAAAAATTTAAAAGAATATAGAAAGAGAACAAAAATAACAACAGAAACAAGAAAAAAAGTCTTCAAAAATCCGCATGTCTCCACAATTTAAATTGAATACGGCACATCCATAATGTTGAGTGCGATGATGCTTCCGATTTGAATTTGTTCCCTTTCTCCAACACACCCAATTAATTCAGGTATAATAAGACAAGAAAACACACTATACACCATTTCCAAACGATGTTTTTATTTCCTCATCAAAAGAAACAAAATAATCACAATTCCAAAACACATATATAGTCTTCAAAAAAAAAAAAAAAAAAATGAAAATATATTTCCTCAGTAATATATAGCATATTTATATATATACAGATATCGCGGTGTTTTGTTATCAATACGGTGTTGACAATTTCATAGATAAAGAACAAAAACTGGTTAAACAATGTTCATGCAATGATACATGTCCAAACAGTTTGATGCGGAAAAAACGAAGAAATAATGAATTTAAATTCAATGCAGACATTTCTCAATTTAATTAAATGAAAGTTGAACACGGCTTACGCCCTGTCTGTCTTTGTAAGAAATGAAATATTATTGCATCAAATTCGTTTTGCCAGTTCGGAACAGTGTGAACATAGAAAAGAAAAACCCAATATAAATGAGGATATTTCATTTGTTATCAGGATTCATGGTATCAAATTCAATTTAATTTGAATTCTTATGCAATACAATAATTGTTTTATATGAATAAAAGAAGAAGAAGAATATTATGTCGAATTTTTGCTATTTATCGGTTAAACAATCGGTTAGAGTTTAGTGTAGTGCCCCCAAATCGACATTTACCTATCTAATGGCCAAGTGCTGTTTGTCATACAAAGTCGTTTCGTATAGCACGAACACAATCACTTTTTTTAACAAGAAAAACAAAAATACAAAACAACACTGAACAAAAAAGATAAACATAAAGTACAAATTTTTGTTCAAATTTTTTTGTTCTCGCCCTTCTATGTTTTCCATATTCAGACGAACAACAAGTCTTTTGAGTTTGTTTTCCGTTATGTGATGTTTTTTTAAGTGATATAGTTTCTTTCTTTTTAAATTATGAACATTTTATTTATGAAACGATGCAGATAGATGAAATATATAAAGAACAATCAACACGTAGATTGAAAATGCAGAAATATAAATACAATACATAAATATATACACATATATATGGAGCTGAGAATGAAAATAATTTAAATTAATCATATCTTCTGGTCTCGCTTAGGGAACTTTCTATGGGCAAGATCAGCAAACAAGTGGTCGCTTAAATCATTTTCATTTTCAGCATATATGGACAGAAAGCAACACACATTATATCATTTTACAAACAGGATTATAAAATAACTTCCAAACTTTTCATATTTCTTCCATCGATTCATACGAAAATGTAAGTGAAAATCAGTAACTCAGTGAAAATTAGTAAGAATTAAAGAACTGGCGACACTTTATTATGTTTGCTATCTCTTTCTTGCACATAACAAATTGCAATTGAATTTGGCAGTTAATATGAATTTGGTCACGGATTCTTTATGTTCTTTCACTTTGGCTTTGGATTTTATATGAGTAGAAAAGTCTTGAAAGCAAATTGTCAATACCGGAGTCAATACATATGATTGACGCAAAAAATTAGCGGCTTTCTGCGATGACTGATTCGAAAATTATTTCTTAAGGACTGGACATACCATTTGAAATTCTGAAAACAACAAAAATATGAAATCGAATTCAGGCAATGTCTGCTTTGTTTCATCAAGTAGTGTGATTTGAACTAAGCAAATTTAAACAAAACGAATTAAAAAAAACCATTGTATTACCCAAGAAAATATATGAAAACAAAATAAATGGAAGAAAAAACGACCAGAAAAAGAAAACCAATAAATCGCTCAATCTATATGTGAGCCTGTCGAGAGCATGCAAACGCTCAGTTTTAAATTATTGATTTGAAATTTGATTTTGAGTGCATTTTCCCAATTAATTATTTACTAATTTATTACTACGGCAAAATGTTGATGGCCTCTGCTCAAGTGAGTTTTACCACGTGAGTATGATGCTCGCAATTGGTGCAATGGATAAATGCACTCAAAATCTCATTTTTAAATTATTTTACTTTACTACCTGACACATATTATTAAAGCTAACACAGACACAGACACAAACAGACACAGATATGTTGGCCATAAATATTCTTCTTTGACCGAAGTTAAATAAAAGAAAAATGAAAAGGAAATAATTTAAACAAGTATAGCAAATGAAAATGTATTTAAAAAAAATGACAAAACAAAAAAATTATAGTTAGAATTTTATTCTGCTAAACCGGAAATGTTGACACAAATAAATTACAAAAGTGAAAATCTGTAATACACGTGACATGATGTTTGATTTTTTTTTGCAACTCCTGAATTCAAATTGGTGAAAATCTTGAAGGATATGTTATGCGTAAGTTTATTTTCTTTATCTGGCGGAAGCAATCTGGTCACTGGCATTAGAGATGGTGAAATCTTACTAAGAATTAAAGATTGCTACAATTGAAATCTTATGCTTGAGATTGAGAAGTAGCAAATTTACAGCAGGTAATTTTGACTGCAACAAGAAATTAAATTCAGTGAGCTGAACAGGGTAAAAGGTTGAAATTTCTCATTTTTTATGGTTTAGTAGAAAGGTATAAAATGTTTGGTTTCTTTTATTTTTCATTAAAAATCTTTCGTATATTTAAAAATGCCGTTTAGCTTCAGGAGATTTGCTTTTAAATGACAACGAGAGAGAAAAAAAATGATGAAATGGGTGCTAGAAAAAACTGGGGTGTAACAAATAAAATTCGTCGTTGCCAGTTTGTTTATTCGCAATTTTAATTTTTGAAAACAAAACTATCTTCACAATTTGCACGCACTGTTTGTATAATGATTTTATTTTCTCAATTAATTTCTTTTATTTATTGTTTAAATAATATTTGATAATATAATTTGCATATAGCGTGAATCGTTGTGACATCTAACACTGAATGCATGCATCATCATGATGTGTTGTATTTCAAATTAACAATAGAACATCTAATTCAAAGAAGTAATTAATCTATTTATACGCCTATAATTATTTTTTTTATTATCACAGTAAATAACAAAAGCCACATTTCATTTTCCTTTATTTGCTTACGGATTCTCTTTCATCTTTTTTTTTGCTGAATGACTTGAGTTTCGTTGGATTTTTTTTTTCTTCATTTTTTGTGTGATTGGGTTTCATTTCAGTCTTTTTTAAAATGTAAATTGATATTATAGTATTGCGGATTGAATCATATGACCCACGATAACGATATGTTGTTGATTGTTGTTGTTGTTTTTCGAATTTCATCGATTGTTTCATTATATCTAGATTGTATTGTCAATAGTGGAGAAAAAGAATAGCGGGAGAGAGAATTAAATGTCAAAATGTCACAAATATAATTGTGATGTCTGGCTGGCTGCAAACTGATGCGCATTAGTAAGCAGCAACAAAAAAAAAACAAGACACACAATATTCCTTGTAGTCGATTTAGGATGTATAATTGTATATGGTAATATGTGGATTTAATTAAATTTTCAAACTCAAAATAATTAACACAAAAATCATTGAATCGCATGATCCAAATGATACTGAATTCAATGAATACGATTGCAATGTGCGACTACAACAAACGGATGCTTTCAACTAACAACTATTCTGTTACGCGTAATTCATCAATTAAGATACTTTGAAGGTAATTTAAAATCGCATGCTACATATAAATACTCAGCAAAGAATTCTGAATCACATTCTAAAAATACAATAAATAATAGTGTGCTAGAGGTTTTTGAACGACTTTGTTTTTTTTTTTGCTCGAAACGGTATTTCAATCGACCGAGATTCAGATATTCTTTTTGAAGTTGCGCATCATTTTTTCTTAACAACCAAAACAACTTCTCTCCATTGTATTCAACAATAAACTTCATAAATTAGCGTTTATCGTGTGTTCGACATTGCCAAAGGACAGCCTGAAAATGGTATAAATTTGGTAACCAAAAACACCAACGCGCTTCTTCCGTGTACGCATCGCAGGCGTGTCAGTGTTTTTGGTTACAGACACCATTGGGCTGTGTGTCAACGGTGTGTCAATTGAAATTTTACCAAAACATAAATCAGGAATGTGCAAAGAGTCCTCATTGCACACAATGGTATTGTCGATCGATTTTAAAACATATTGATTTCCCATAGTTTAAGATAATTGTCAATGATTTCTTGGAACCATTCTCGTTTTTTCGGCTCTTTGAATAGTGTTGTTAACGCTTTTAAATCCAAAGACAAGATCGCCTCATTACCCAATAGATTGTCTAATTGGCGCAATAGATTGCCATTGCCATGCAATTTCAATAGACTTACATAAGTAAATATATAATATGATAGACGTAGTTTACGATGTGCCCATGCTTCAATCGTGCTATTGCCGCTCGCCGCACGAATTTGCCCCAAATGTTCAGCATACCACGGTGCAAAATAATTGTACAAATCAAGTCGAGATAACGCCGCAACGCCTCGCGTTTTTAAACGATCTTTGATATGCTGGTAGTTTTGCTTTGAATACACAAACACCTAAAAATGAAAATTGACAACAAAAACAATTCAATTAGCATATTTTGATCAATAATTTGTCGAATTGGTAAATGTGCACGAAAAATAAATGACTTAAATCATTATACCTGATATAATGAATTACCTAGGGGAGAATCACAAAAAGAATTATTAAATAATAGAAAAGCAATTTTTAAGTGCATTGCTTATAATGACTTACCCGTAACATAAGAATTTATATAGTGGGTCCCGAAGCTTGACATAAACTGGACGGTTTCCGTTTGATTGCCTAGTAAATGAAATCGAATAGATTTTTTTAAAAATACATTTGAATAAACGAAGATCGTTAACTAACCTGGTGTCATATTTTCTATTTTCTCCGATACATCTTCGTGTAGCATTTGATTTGGTGGTATCGGCTTTGCTAGACGTGCGGTTTCGCGAAATCGTGATACACGCACTAATACATAACAATAGTCACCTTTGATGAATGACGAATTTATACCCAATTTACGGGCGGCCACTTCTGGTTGCCTGTTCCGATAAAAGAGAATAATGGATTTTCAAGATAATTCGATTTCTTCATGGCATTTTTTTAAAGCTTACAAATTCAACAGCTTAAACGATTCACAAAAATATAAACTTTCAGATATTTAGCAATCAAAAGCAAAACCAATGCAAATATAATAAATCAAATATATCTGAGTAAAAACAATTATTAATTATTAATTCAGTAGAATTTTAAAATATGAAGAGATGCGAGCGAAGCGAGTGGTCACCCTTATTTCTAACTATTTAAAACTTTTGCGAAAAAAAATAAAACTACGTAAACGGATAAGATGATTATAGATTTTGATGTGGAAAAGTGAATACAGTTTGAACAATTGTACACTGAATATAATAGCAAACATAAGATTTTTTTTTCGACTGGAGTGTGCCATGCAAAATTTTGTCTACCGATATTTTATTGACTCACTGTACATACCATCCACCGGTGAAAGCTTGCCATGGATATTCAAGTCGTTCAATGGTGAAATCGCGAAAATATGCTTGAAATAATTGTTTTTTATTATCGCAAAATTCCATATGAAAATCCCCATTAAAAGTGCCCGGTGTATTCTCTTCCGTTGCTTCCACTAATTGATCGATACCCTAAAAAAGCAATTGACCATATCATCAAATAAAAATTATTAAAAATATAAATAAATTTGAAAAAATCATCTTATAGACATAAAAAAGAATCAAACACATGTGTCGAATGTGATGTAAAAGATCAAGGAAATGATAAGGATATAATGTAAATTTAATTGTGGTCGCACACACATGCACACACTTACTCGAAATACATTGTATGTTGGCTCTTTGAATAGCCATCGTTCGGTGTCGTTGTATGAAATCACTTTCATTGAAATGCCCAAATAGCCATAACGAACAAAAACGTTAATGGTTTTACCGACGCGTAATCGTGATTCAATTTTGCCCATGCACAAGTTATTGATCAGCAAGAACAACGTGCAGAATCCAATAATTTTATAAAGCAAAGTCATCTTTTGTTTTTCTTCGTCGTTTTTCGTTGTATTTCCGCACTATCGCATTACGGTCGCGCATTCAGCGAATCTGAGCTGGAGTTGAAGAAAGAGAGAGAGAAAAAAAACACGGTAATAAGATATTGTTTGATGGCCTTACTTGCCCACTACATTTAAATGAACTGAATGACAATGATCCACGTAATACACACATACTCTTTTGATTTTTGTTATTCTTATTATTACTGGTGCAGTACCTTAAGGTTTCTAAAAAAGCACAATGACCCAAAACACAATTCACAAAGCAATAAAAAAAAGTTTTCTTGGATATTTTTATGACTTGAATTCTCGCGTCTCGTTTTTAAAGTTTTTGAACTCTTGATTTAAGTCAATGATGCGGTTTTTTTCTTTTTCACCATTTTTACAAATGTACACATACACCAAATTGTTCAATTGTCTCTTCTTTGCACCACGACGACCGTGTTCTAAATCATTGTTTATCGCTCTGGTAAATGGTGTTATTTTCCATTGAGATTCACAATCATTTTCTTATCAAACTGCGTAAGCTGACCAATTAATCCATCGAGTGGCACTAAACACTTCTTTCCATTTCGTTTGCTTGTCAAGCCAACTTAATTTCCATTTCGAAAAGTTTCAAAACAGCACGAAAAATTACACTAAATCTTATTGAAACTTTGGTATTTTTTTCTTTTGCCTTTTCAAACACACAAATCTTGCGCTGCTCTCTATGTCCCGTTATTCTGTATATATATGTGCATCGCTTTGTCACCGAGAAGATTGACGTGTGCCAACAAAACACCAACCAAAAGTGATCGCATCAAATCAATTTGTGTTCTTAACTTAAGACGGGACACATGACGTGTTTGTTGTACAGCGCAACTAAAGAGACAGCTGTAAAATGTAATTACAATTTACAATGTGCTTAAATAACAACAACAGTGCCAACTGAAAAAAACAACAACACTTCACTAAAATCGACTGTAAAAAAGCAACGTTAAACGAAATTGAAATTAAAAAAAAGTTGCACTGATCGAAATGAATGTGAGCAATCATTGGATGGAATCGCTATAAAAGTAAATTGTGTGGAGTATTTCGCTTTCTTTTTTTTCTTGCTGTTTTGTCCACATCTATATTCGAACATAAAACGTGCGCCCGCCCAGCATCATTATTGCATTGTGCATATATTTATTTTTAAAATATATTATTAAATATGTGTGTTTTTTTTTGTTTTAGTGGTTCATTCATTTCGAGCCATTCAGTTTATGGTGTTGTTATCGTCGGTGTTTTTTGATTCATGCATTTGATTTGATGCATCCGAAAATTGATTGATAGAAATAGAATAAAGTAAAACAACAAACTTAAATTAGACTGTATACCGAATGCATCGAATGCGAGTGCAAAAAATCACACATACCAATATGGCTCATCACAACGGCAAAAACAACAACCAGCAATGGCTTTATATGTTGCGTTTAAGGGGTTTCATCACTCACCGCCGTATAGTTTCCTTCTCTTCACAATTCGTACATTCAATATCAATCATGGATACACACATCTATATATATATATATATATATATTTAGACACACATGTATTCCAAGCCCATACATTGTATATACAACACAGTTGTAAGTCAAGGTAAGCGGCTTTATTTCGGTTAATTATTTGTTATTGAAAACGTGAAAACGTTATGGCCAATTGTAATCGTACATCAAAGTGCAAGAGCGAGATGCGAAAGATGATTTTTTTATTCCCGTTCACTGTAAATGTATGCATTTCGGTTTTTATGTTAAGTATGAGTGCGTTGCATTGTTATCTGCTGCAGCATAAGTACGGGCTCTATTGTGTTTTTATCACGTTTGATAATAAAAAAAAACAACAACAATCAAACCGAAACTGAAATTTCGCTCAAATTCATCGGTATTTTTCACTCTCTCCCTCTCTCTCTCTCTCCCTCTCTCTCTCTCTCTCTCTCTCTCTCTCTCTCTCTCTCTCTCTGTTGCATACACTCTATGCGCGCGCACGCTCGTTGCATCTAAATGAAGATGAAAATTTCGGTTTCATTCAATGCAGACGATTTTCCATTTAATTTTTGATTTGTTTTTTTTTAGAAAGCAATTCGAGTATTAAGATTGCCGCAACTGGTTAATGGATTTGTGTGAGATGATGCGAGCGGGTGCGCACGCATGCCTGCGCTTATTAATGATCACCTTTTGTGTGCACAGATCAACTTTTGGCAACAAAGTCGTTTCGTTTGTCATCGAGTGGGTTTATTAATTCATCTCTATATTTGCATTCATATACCGACGAAATTATAGTTCATGTTGCGTTTTTTCGTCTTTGCATAAAAATGTTCCAAATTCACTGCTCTTTTTTTTTTAAATTCATTTATCGCACAAGGTCACGCTAAGCAAAAAAAGAGCTTACTTTTTTTCGAAAAAGCAAAAAAAAAAACCTGAGCTAAGAGAGGGTCATGGTGAATAATGTGTGTGTTATATTGGGAGGGTCATATCGAAACATAGAAAGCGAATAATAAAAAAAATTATGCACACAAATTGAAATGAAGCGAATAACAGACGAAAAAAATTTCGTCGATGGAACAAAAGAAATAAGCGATTTTAGATGACTACCTAATCTAATGGTTGAAGGTCAGATGGTTGTTGAGTTTTTTTTTATTCATTTTCGCTCATTTTTGGTGTGTACGGAGAACATAGCGCAGCACAGTGAGTAACTCATGTGTCGCATTTTAAATTCATCTATCATACTTTGCATGTGACTCAGAATATCAATTTCCTGAAATTGAACGTGCGGTTTCTTACGTTGTGTGTTGTCGCTTTTTCAACGTTTGTTTATTTGTTTGCTTTATTTTTTCTTATGTGATCGCGTGGCTGTTTAGTAAATTGAACCGTGTGGCTATGCACAGAAGATTTTTGCTATTTTCAGCAGCAGCAGCAGCATGTTGTTAAAAATGTTGGTATTCGAACGAGAACAGAGCGAAATGTGCTCACGAGATCACATAAAAATACACACCACTTCTCAGTAATATGAACAATCAAAATTGATTGTTTAAAAGGCAAAAGACCTTAATTTGCGGGTATCGTTCGGAGCCCAATGCTCTAAATTGACGTAACACTAAGCAATCGGTTGACAATTGGCATTAGTTTTATGTATGTTTATCTCACTCATACACAATGCTGCAATGTTGAATAAACAAAATAAAATGCGCGCACGATTTGTCAAAACCTTCATGAAACAAACAAAAAATATAAAATCATATCCATAAACTTCCACCTGTTGATTATGCTTTGTTTGCGATATTGTTTGAAGCAAAGAATCGAGATCGTTGTTCCATACTGTCTCTAATACACATACACTCTACAACATCTGTTTGCCATATTACCGAAACCGACAAAACAAAATGCCATGTTTTGAAAACAAACTCAAGCATACACACATTTTGATGACACTGTTTTCAATTTTCATGCTGGCCCACTGTTTTGGCGAATGAAAGATGGAACGGGCTGGAAAAAAAGGGAAAACCATACGATGCAACGTTATATATGCATGCATTTGTAATAAACTGTCAATTGAAATTACGAATTACGGTAAATGATGAACTAGACCTTGCTTAATCAATATCGTGTGTGCGTTTGTATATGGATATATATATATATGCTTTATTACGGACCATATGCATATACCATGCTGTGTGCAGTGCACGGTTACGGTTTAAATGTAATTCAAATGGCTTATGAATGAAACAAAAAAGATGAGAAAAAAAAACTAGCATAATCAGAATATTAGGCATGAATTTAATCGAAACGCATACGACAATTTGCTTGAGCATGGTGCTTACACCACTTATTTACACACGAAATTTGTTCAGTGAGCCGTTTGCTTGCAATTAATTTGAAAATAAGTATTATACGTGTACGTCTATTATCTAATTACGTTAAATTATATTGTACTCCGTTTAGCTTTCCGCTTGTTTTTTTTTTCTTTTCCGTCGTTGTCGTGGTCATTGTCGTCACCTTCTTCTTATATTTCATTTTGATTCTTCTCTCATATGCAAATCGCTTTTTTTCCAACGTCATAGTTATTATTATTATTTGTTGTTATTATATTGCAAACTCAAAATATCTATATATATAAAAGAATGAATGAAGCACGTTGTTTAAGAAACGGTTACCAGAACGGATATTACTAAAAACTTCGTTGACTTTTGCAAAGCGTATCACAATTCATTGCGCAATTTGGTAATTGTTTTCCTTTTCGTTTTCCAACAAAAAACAATTCAGTATGAATATCCAATGAGTGTCGAAAGTTCTTTTGAATTCAAATATTCGTGAATGTATCATTTTACCAAGAACATCTTTGAAGTGGAATAAGTTGTTTCGAATGAGCATTGATCATTGTTACTATCCGAGATGTGCTCAAATAGGAATTTTGTTAGTTTTCAAATGATTTTTTTGAAATCAGATAAAAAGCGCCGATTCCATAGAGAAACTTGTTCGACGACAGATTGATTACTTGTTCGCGTGTCATCAATTAAATGACCGCTAAAAATCATTGTAATTCATACAAAAAATAAATAAATCACTAATCAGTGGCATTTATTTACATTTTTTTGTTCTATTACATGTTTAAATGGCAAAAATAAATTAAAATTCGTCGATGAGTCTTTTATGTTTGTCATTGAAACTAGGCACAATTTTTCGAGCTTTGAAAATTATCACACAGCGCACATTTTTCGGTGAATTTTATTTTATAATTGGCAACAACAACGTCAGCAGCAGTAGCAATAACAACATATTTGCGACATGAAATTTTTGAATTTATGTTACGGTCGTTGATCCAAAGACGCAGTCAAAATTTAAAAATGTGTTATTCAATTTAATTTTTTCTTGTCTCTCTTTTTCTCTCTGATTCTCAAAACAATAGTTTATATGCATTTAATAAAAGTCAATTGGTTATCGAATCAAAACACTTGATCATGAATATATACGTACCTTCTAAATTTCGAATGAAAGCAAAAGCATAAAAACACTAATAGCAAAATTTAAAAATCAAGTTTGAATTGATATATCAGTTATCAATTGGGAAGCACATTTACGCACTTGTATTGTCAATCACACACACACATACACACACATCCAATGCACTATTTCACTGAATATGACCTTTTTTGGACGCTCTTCTTTTTTCTCTATCTCTCGATCGATTGCTTCTAATTCGTGCACATTTTCGTCGTGATTCGGGGAAAAAATGACATTAAATGAGATTCAAAAGCCATAAAAAAAGAGTTCACAATACGTTTTATTCGGTTTATTTTAATTCGGTGTGAATTGTATTCATTCTGATTGAGTGTAGCATATCACAGTGTGTATGACTTTTAACATTAAAATTAGTTGACTTCTCGTTAACACTGATTGGCGATGTGTGGCCTTTTCTTTATATCATCAAAAGCATTTGTGAAGTGTGTGTGCTTTTTTTTAAAGGCGAGACAAAAATGCTTTGATCGATCACTTTGAGAACTTTGAAAACGATCTTCGTTGTCCGTCAGAAGAGAAGAAGAAAAAAAAGACGGACTCAAGCACGAAATATACACGAAACGAAGACGAAGACAAAACAAAAATCGCAACCAGTGCTGTCTGCGTTTATAATACAACTGCTTGAAATGTTAAAACATCGTCGACGCTATCGGGGCTTTTGTCACTTGTTCACAACTGGCTAAATACGGCAGTTAAAACCAGCTGACGAGACACCTCTATCCGATTCATTCGCGGTGTATTCGGATTTTGTAGTGATGTTGTCGCAGTTGTTTTTCTTCAGTTTTTTTTGTTTGCCAATTTTTATTAGCTCTTGTTTTTCTTATGATTCACTAGGTTCTCACACCAGAAACAGCATCACCAAGTAGCATTACCGATTGAAATGTACTCTGCCATTATCAATTCAAATAGATGAGAGAGCGCACGCGCACGTTCACTGGTAAGAAGATCGTTAAAAATAATGCATCTTTTCAAATTCCACGAAATTCATCATCACCCCAATGAACCGAATCCATATTGAACCCGCATTCTTTTTTTTCTCTACAAACTTAACGATGTTTATGATTTGGTCTTATCTCTCTCATGCACGCATTCGATCTCTCTCTCACTTTAACACACTCACACATTCGCCCTATCTCATATGCATTGATTGTTGGATGGAAAATAAAATATTGAAATTCATTGCAAATTATTCATGCTTCCGAAGTAATCGTACGATTTATTAGTTTTTAGCTATTACGATGAAACAAAAACGGCAACAGCAGCAGAGAAAAAAAATAATTAAACACACTAACCTTTTGCCCACTTTGTGTGTTTCGCTGAAATTAAAAATTCTGATTAGGTCAATCTTAAATGAAACCTTACTATTCAGCACACACACCGTATGAAATTGAGATGTTTTTTTTTTCTCCTCGTTTGCTACCGATTCACATTAGCTTCGTTCTCTTTTTTTGCGCAACCCAATGCTACGGTGAAGCACTATAAAAAATGGCAATTAGTAAAAATTTCGTGCTCTATTGTCATATTTTACGAGATCACACCACAATATTTGAAGTTTATAAGTGACAAACTCAAACACCATAAATCGGTATTATCGCTTGACCAAACCATTCAAAAGAATCTATTAGATAATACTGAAGGTCAAAGTATCACATTGAGACCGGATTCATTGTAAGTATCTACACGCTATACATTCATTTTGCATTAGTTTTGTACAATATCGTGATGGATTTTCGGCTGATGATCAGTTCACACACAGAAAAAAATATGACTAGTTTTTCGCATCGAAATTATGAATAAATAAGATTTTAAAAGAAATTGGAATACACACATTTTGATTGGGCATGTCTAGCATTATGGGAAATTTATTTTGAATGCATTGTTTACCTCTTGATGGTTGTGTTGATTTTGAAATGCATAAGATTAGGTGTTATCGCCCATTTAATTATGTATTTCAAAATGATTGAGAAATCGAAGTCGCACACACAAAGAGATCAGTAAATTTGATTGACATTTCCAGCTCTCAAACGCATAAATAAATTACAATCAATGTTTCTGTTTGATCATTTAAATGGTTTTTCTTTTCTTTATTGCTTCAATTTAATTTCGGATGTTGATTCTTAATTATAAAATAAAAGATTTATGAATTACTACATGTTAATAATAATTGTTTTTTGTTAGGTTTTTTAAACACGTTCGCTTTCGCCCATTGGTGTGAATACAATTTTAATTGTAATTGAAACCGAGCAATTCCTATATCTACTTGTCGTTTTTTAAGTTCATTTCTTTCATTCGATTGAGCTTCATTTCTTCGTATTTGTACATTATTTTTTTTTGTTCTTTTTCTCCTTTTTTTTTAGCATTGCTAAAAAGTTTATAAAATTAAAGAGATCTTTTATGGTTTTCTCATTTTTTTCTCTCAAAAAGAAAACAAAAAAAATATGTAGCGTTTAGAAATAAACGATAAAATATAACTGAAACTTAACTACATCTAACTTAAGCAAAAGGTATGCATTTTGTAAATGTGCGGATGCACGTGTGAGTTATGAATCACAAATATATTCTGGGGGAAAAAGCGATAAAAATGCCATAGCATCATTTATCAAGCATTTTAATTTTTGTTTTATTCTGGTCAAAAGTGTTTAATTTAAAAATCATATGTGTGTGTATGTGATAAAATCAAATGAAAATATGTCTTATTTCTTTTCATGAATTTAAATGGGTTATAATTTTCCACTATTTTTTTATGTGATCAAATAAAAAGATTTTCGTTTTTATCGCTATGAAGATTTTTTTTGAATCACCGAAATCGAAATCACAAAAATTTATTACGTAATTAAAATCCCAATATATATATATATATATATAAAAATATGTTTGCTTTCTGTTCGGGGGAAAGAGGTGAACCTAATACATGATAAAAGTCCAATTTTAAACTACAAAAGTATACAAAAAGTTCTTTTCGAAAATGTCAACTGGAGGTACCAATATTGAATTTAATCACTCCACCCCTCAATTAACGATACACTCCTAATTATGATTTGAGAGAAAAAAAGGTTAAATAATAAACTCAGAGGTCATAAAAATGTCCATTTATAATGGATACAACCTTATAATTAGAAATTGATTAAATATTTTAAAGAACAATTTGTAAATGTTCATGAAATTGCAGTTTTATTCTTCGTAGAAATACGTAAACACCTGATTGAATTTCTGCATTAGGATAAAATAAATGATTGCCAAAGTTGATGATTGAATTCATTTGCTGTACACACACACAGTCGTTACGATAAAAAATATCTTCGATTTTATTGCAAATAAGAATGCAACATTTTTATTTATTTATTTTTTTAATTTCTGTTGATGTAATATTTACAACAACAAAAAAAACTTTATGTTTCAGCTTATTTATTTGCAATAAAATCAAACCGCAACGATTCATATGCATGTATGTGATGATTGAAGTACATAAGAACTGATTATTGAAGGATTGAAAACATAGATTTAAATTCTATTATAGTATGCAATCGATAAGTGTGGGTATATCTGTGTGTATTTAATACAAAGCACAAAGTGGCTGAGAAAAAAAGTGAGGACTATGATCGATGCTATGACCCAAACCATGAGTTTTATAATGATATAAATAATACTAAATGTGATGTGTTTTTCTTCATTGTTTTCATGGTGCGTAAAATAATAATGATGACCGTATTGCTTGTTTAAAAAAAAAACTCAAAAGAAACCCGCTTGGGCTCATATCTGTTTAAAGGACATTTGTCATTCCCGGTGGAAAGATTGATGATGTTGAACTGATGCCCTTTAGTTTCCGTTTAACAGTGTTAATTGGCGGCAATGGCATCATCGCAAAATCGCATTGTGTTGCCTGTGAATAGTATGAATACATAAAATCCGAATTGGAATAGTGAATGTTTGAGAAATCCGATGTTAAATTGTATGGTGACGATAGCGGTTTACTGGCATCGTCTCCTTGTTCATGGTTTTGATTTGATTTTTGCTCTGGTTGCTCTTGATCCGAGTCCGAAATAATTGGATCGATTAATTCCGATTTGATGTTAACGAATTCAAATTCATCCTCAAAATCGAATGTTTGATGCATCAGCAATGATGCTGCACGTTCTAAATCATCAGACGTATTTAACGGTAATGTACGATTGTTTACCGTTATAGTGGACAAATCACTGCCTGACTTTGTGACCACAAATGGCATTGTGCATGTATCATTGGTTTGTTTCAATAATATATCTGTGTCGATTAAGTCATCCATTTTTCCATTATCACCTGAATCATTTAGATTCTCTTCTTTTACAATGCATTCATCGAGTTCGATTGTACTCAATGTGAGTCCAGTATCACTACCAACTTCTACCAGCCGTTCCTCTGTGTCGATACTTAATGTTAGAGCAGCATCGCCGCCAACTCTCAAACATTCATTCATTTCCATTGCGTTCAATACCAGTTCAGCATCATTACCAACTTTTACAATGCATTGATCCATTTCGATCTGATTCAAGGTCAGTCCAGCATTATGATCAACACCTATGCATTCATCCATTTCAATTGTATTTAACGACAGTGCAGTATCATCATCAACCTTTACTATGCTTTCATCCGTTTCGATGGTATTCAATGCAAATCCAGCATCATCGCTAATATCAACATGGTTGTAACCGGCTGTATCACTATTTTCCTCTTTATTCTCTTCTTTCACAATGCACTCATCCATTTCGATTGAATTTAATGCCAGTTGGGCATCGTCACCACCACCACCACCACCACCACCACCAGTACCATCACTACTACTTATTTCGGCATTATTGCGATTTTCCTTTTTATTCGAACGTTTTGGTGCTTTAATTTTACTCGATTTATTCGTTTTATTTGTTTTATTCAAAAAGTTTGGCATTACAACCAATTTTTCTCCCGTTTTGTGATCGACCTTATGTCGTCGTCGCGTATGTTTCAGCCAATTGGGAAAATTCGTAAAGTCCTTGGGACAATGTCGACATTTAAATGGACGATCGCCTGAGTGGACGTTCATGTGTTGCTTTAGTTTTGATGTGCTCAAGAATGTTTTCGTGCACAATGTGCATTTGTGAGGCCGCAATGTGGAATGCACCATCAAATGTAGTTTTAGATCGCGTTTTGTTTTGTATAATTTTTTACAAATTTCGCACTCAAATGATCTCAAGGTTGTATGTTGTGTACAGTGACGTAATAATTGAGATTGTCCAACAAAACTATCAGAACAAAAAAAAGACAATATGTTATATAGAATAATTGTGAGATTTTATCAATTTGGTTTTAACTCGAATCAAATGTGTAACATATATCAATAAACAAATCGGAGCCCAAATACGAGTTCTTCCAATTGATTATTGTTATTTGGCATTGTTATGAAAAAAAAATCGAGTGCTCTCAACGTTTCCCCTTCAAGGGATTCGATTCGAATAGAATACATTTTGCATATATACACACCTTTTTCCGCATTCGTTGCATGAGTGTGTTTTCAACGTGTTGTGAACCTTGAGATGATTGATTAAATTGATTTTTTGCACAAATTTTTGATCGCACACCATACATCCATACTGTCTATCGTTGCTATGAATTTTCGAATGCATACTCAAACTGCTTCTATTCTTCATACTGAAAACAACGAAAACAAATATGTAAAAAAGAATCCCTTGCTAATTCTACTTATGTTTTGTTTGTTTGTTCGCTTACATTTTCCCACAATCGGCACACTGATACAGTTGTTGTTTCTTCGTTTGTGTGTGATGTGTGCGACGATGTGCTTTGAATTGAATTAAATCGAAAAATTGTTCGTTGCAATCCAAACATGATTTGGCTGTGCTGAGATTATGTACGGATTCGTGTTTTTTCAACAGTTTTTCCTGTGAGAATTTCTTCGCGCAAATGGAACAGGTGAACTTTTGTGCGCTCGAATGACGATTAAAATGACGTTGATATGATCGTTTATTTTTCATTTGTTTGTCACAAATCTGACATGTATATATTGGAGTCTCATTGTAGGCTTGCCTGTAAGAGAAAACGACAAAAAAAGCGAACTTGTAAAGAATCCATTAAGTGTCAATGGTTAAGGTGAACTGGTGTTCTCAAGACATACTTATAGTGCATTTCGAATGAGTCGCGCGACGTAAACACTTGTCTGCATCGATTACATAAAAAGTTTGTGGTCGGCTTTGTATTCTTCGTAGCCACATCATTGTTTGAATCACAGCTACTCAATAGATCCAATTCATCGTCAACGGCGGCCATGTCTGATGATGGAATTTCCATGCCGATATCAACATAGTCAGTCTCTCGTTTAATTTCGATTGTAGCTTTACTCAATAAACTATCACAATTCAAAACAATATCACTTTCATCGCCTTTGCTATTGACACATTCCGTTTTAACAGGTACGGATGCAATATCGTCCGGTGATTTTGTTTCTTTGTCGATTACATCGACATAAATTGGCAACGGCATTTGATTCGATAATTGTGGCATTTTCTTTGTTTGTGTTTTATTTTTACCGCGCTCAGGCACACAATTTCTGAATCTTTTATTTCATTGTCATTGAAATTTGTTTGATAATTTTGATCTCTATTTCATTCACGCTCATATTATTGTATCGCCATCACTAATACGTACTCTTTTCAGTTTTTTTTTCGCGTTATTTCTTTCTTTCATCAAAATGAAAACAAAAACTCTTTTGTCCGTTCGCGCGTATATTTACCGCAAAAACAATCATCAAATTTTAAATCTTTTTCAAACAATGTACACCGATTTTATCATTTACACCATAGAAATCACAAACAATTTAATGTGTTTTGATTTTTTTTTCCACCGAAAATGTTGTTTTATTTATTGTTTACAAAATGCAAAGTTTTCCGACACAGAATTTCATTTGATGGTCCGCCATATGCTATTTGTCATTTACAATGGAGGAAAAATGGCCGCCGAATTGAGTCGAAATGAGTATGTTGTGACATATTATTATAAATAACATTGTGTATTTGTTTGTATTTTCTTTTATTGTTTGAAATTTCTAGCATTTAAACGATACTTAAAATAAAGTACGATTGTAATTGAATTTAAGTTTTTTTTATTGTTGTAAGAAAAGTAAATGGGAAAGAATGATACATTTTTTGAAAGACATTTTTAATTAGAACTCAACTGACTTGCAACGAAAATAATGAAATTGCCTTTTTGCAAACAAATTGTCGAGCTCCATTCACTGGAATTCTCCAGCAAACGTTAAGTACGTCAGCCATATAAATCAGTCGGAATACGTCGGAATTTACGTGGCGTTTAAGTATATTGCTCAATGTTATTTCATTCACTCACAGCAAAGAGTGTGTAAAGTGTCAATTTCGTACGATATGCACACACATTTTTTTTGGTATGTTCAATAACATCTGTCACTTTAACTAACAAAAAAAAGACTCACAGGTGTATTGAACACTTATTGTTCATATATATGACTTTTTTTATATTTTTTGGTGTGACAGATATATATATATATACATAGTGAAGAAGAGAAAAAGAAACGAGTTACAAATAATTCGATGCAATTATTACGGAAAATGTTTGTGCATTTTTGGTAGTGAAATTTCGTAATTGTTAGCGTAATACTTTGGCTAACTATCTAAAAAAAAATTTATTGTCTTTCATTGATAGTAAACTAAATTACTCGAATGATATATATTCGTATGTGTGTATAATTCAATAATAGATGTGTTTCGTGTGTGATTTTTTATTCGTTTATTCAGGAAAAACTGCTTGTAAACTGTGATAATGTTTGCTTAATCAAGTTTAAGACAAAACAACAAATACTATTTCTCCAGATATAAATAAGATTTTTTGTTACAAATAATTTCACTTACAAATGCGCCGTATATTTTCCCATATCGAATAGGAATTGTCCAAAAAAATCGAATTGAGACGGAGGAGAGAGAGATAGAGCACCCTGCTGCACAATAAAAAAAAAACATGGATATGTTATAACAACATTCGTATAAATCGAATATTTATATTGTACATGGCCTATGTATTATTACAAACTCCATGTTCAATGAGTTGACGTGTTAAAAGTGAAAATTAAAATCAACAAAAACAAATTCCCAACATTTGTACGATATCAAAAGAAAAACCCCAACAAAATTTTAAAACAACCAATCAGCCCAAGCAATTTATCATCAAAGATAAAATGCCCAATATGATACCCCCATTGGTATGTAATACACCACCACCGATTGATGACTTAGAGAGTGATGACGATTTGAGTGCACCAAACGATAATTATGATCATTTTGATGGTATGACCTTCTACAGTGAGAAAAAAAAAACTACTACTTGAAAATGCAGTTCGTATAATTTTTGATATTTAACATTTATTTCAGATGAGTCACTGCCGTCATCGCCTCATCAGCTGAAACATACAACACTCACAACGGCGGCGACGACGACGACGTCGTCGACCAACATCACTACCAGATTGTCCGATGTGGTTGATGATCCGACGAGCAATAATAAACCAGTGACAATTGATTCACCATTAAGCATAGAATTAGACCTTGAATCACAGCATGTGATTGATGATTTAGATAATTTCAGTGTCGCACCCGATGAAGAGCTTCATTTTGAAAGTGATAAACTACGAAATGGCAACGACAGTGCGATCGGTGATGTATATTCAAATGGTAATAGTTCAACGATAACAATATCAAAAGAATGTGATGCAATTGATAATAAGCAAAACGATATTCAATCATCATTGGATAAGACAAATCAGCAATCGAACCACTCAGACGGTGAAAAAAATGAATTCAATGGCGATAATGTATTAGCAATCGATCAACAAGATAATTTATCAAGTTCACCGTCATGGAATTTGGATTCGATACGACAAACACCCGAACTGCCCGAATTTACACCGGAAACGGAATTCGGATCATTTTCCATACACGATGAATTTGATGATATTGAAACCAATCCAATTGAATCGATTACAAATGAAACAAATGAAAGCTACGAAGAACGTGCAACATCACTACCTGACGAAGAAGAACGTGATAATGAAGATGAAAAAGAAGAAATAACATCACTACCAGACGAAGAACAAACGCCCACATCACAAATTGTCGCCGATGCCAATGACTCAGGCTTTCGAAAAGACAATTCAGTCGATGATTTTAATAATGATGATGATGATTTCAGCACAAATATTAACGATTTCAATGCGGACTTTGGACAATTTGCTACCTTTGATGATGCAAATATTGTGCAAGAGAATTTCACACCAAACGAAATAACATCACCATCCGATCCTACTAAGAAATGTGATGAAATAGATAATTTCACGACCAATGCATTCGATAATGACAATGATGTCAATGACGATGACGACGATGATGATGAATTCGGTGAATTTAGTGACTTTCAACAAACGCTACCCACTGTGGAAACACAACCAATTGTTCAAAAAGATACAAATGTGCTATTAGATAGTGAAAATATCAAGCTTAATCTTAGTTCTATATTGACCGCTATATTTCCAATTTCGGAACAGTGTAGTGATGCAATTGATAATTCATCGTCATCGTCGACATCAATGGCTGGTTACCAACATCAAGATTGCAATATTTATTATGGTAAAGAGCTGTTTGTTAACAAACTAACCACACAACTAAAAAATGTAGATAATTCAAACGCTTTAGCCCATCAATGGGCAAAATCAACGAGTAAAACCGTATTGGTGAAAGCCTTAGGAATTGATTCACGAAACATTGTAAGTATTGATTATTAAATTACAGTGTCTTTGAAATGTGTCTTGTATTGCTTTCGATATGTTGATAATGAATCATTTTTCTTTTCTTTCAGCTATACGGAGAGAAATGGAATAGTTCAGCGCCAAAATTTGCAGCCAATTTGGGATTAAGTCCATTGGAACCAATGAAAGTGACATCATCCGGTTCACATGAAGGTGATTCAAAAGGAACAAAATCGATTTTAGATGTGCCAGCTGCCCAGTTTGACTGGAATAGTTCGGGTTTAATAAATCCATTAGACGGTAAGTTTAAAACGATCAGATTTGCATAGATTATAAGAGAATTAAACTGGCGTTTAGCATAATTTTACAAACCATTGGTTCCAATTCGCACCAGTTATTGTCTCACAAATTGTATAACTCTTGTTTGTCGATTTCTATTTTCTGTGTCATTTTGTTCATTTTATTTTCTCTATTTTAATTTTTTTTCTGTGTGTGTTTTTTTTTGTTTCTTTCAATTTCAATGCAATCCATGCAATAAAAGAAAAAATCAAAAGATAATCATCAAGTTGCTAAAAGGGACCAAGAATTTACTTCACACAGAAAATGAAGTGCTTTTATTTTATGTGTTCCATTTAAGAAAAAAAAATTTAAACAAAAATTAATGGAATTGTGTGTTTATATCTGTTTTGTGTTGGGTTTCTAACATTTTTAACGATCTTTCTACTTCGATTTGATTGTGTTTAAAACGTATCATATGGGTTTTTTTTTATTCGTAAAATATTCGCATATTTGTATTCAGCATTACACGCACACACATTACTATTGGACCTAGAACAACTAGTGGTGGTGGCAAATCTAGATAAAATAAATCTTAATTCCTCCTCCTCTGCATGTTCCACAACGAACTCGGCACTAAATTATTCATCAACATCCAAATCCGTAACAACAACAACATCATTATCCACTTCCACACAACAAAATATTTCGGCCATGACTGAATTGAAACTGGTCAACAATACCATCAACCATAATATCAACAACAACAATAACAACAAAACACAACGTGCAACAACATATCAACATGATATCGCAAATATGGTGGCTATGGACAATGCAAAATTAAATAAAATCAATTTCACAAAATGCACTAACGGACTCAATCAATTGCGATTTGATACTAATCACAAACCAATGGTGACGGGCATACCACATCAAATGAATAAATTTGATTTGTACTTTAGTAAGTTGATCATTTGTCTTTTTTTTTTCGTTTTTGACTGGCCTCACTAAAACCAAAAAACAAATCATCCCCCCATTTCAGTTCATTAAACATAGAAAACTTTATTTCATTGTTCGTTTTATTTTCTGCTTTGTTCATTTGTTTGGTTAATTGGGTAAAAGTGATTATTGATTTGATTAGTGGTTGTGGATTCATCGCATGTTATCTTTTAGTGCATTAGTTTTTGGTTGCCTCGCAATGACGGCATATTAATATATTTTTTTCTCTGTTTTTTTAATTTAAGTGATAAGTCACAATTCACTCTCGAAATTTTCTATTTTTATTTTTCTATTTCCCATGTGCAAATAAAATGTCTGACTAATGTCACTGACCGCCAATTAGTTTTATAGTAAGCTTTAGTTTCTCGATCATATTGATTACGTTTCAAAAAATCTAGTCAGACACTTTTTTTTCTGTCACATGGACCGTGTTCTCCTTTGTTTTTATTTTTGTAGTTCAAATAATTCCAAACTATCCATGTTTTCTAAAATAAAATATTTCGTTATTTTCTTCAGAACTGTTATTGGCACCGCGAAAAAAGTGCGGGCAGTAGTGAGTGTTCACTCTTATTCCATATAATTTTTTCAAGTGTCTCACCTGAATATAAGCGAGAGTAGCACTTACCGAAAAGTGTCCGCACCTCCGCGGTGCCTATAGTTTATAAGCTATAACAGCTCTGCTTTTCTTCCGCTCTCCAATACATGAACATTTATCTTTTCGTTCAAACTAACTATTTGCATCTTTTTTGTTCTGAAGGAGCGCAAAAATCCGTACATGAAGAAAACATTTCGTTAGAACAAAAATCAATCGATCAAGGGAAAATAAGTCAACAGCAAACGCAACCGCAACAGCAGCAGCAGCAGCAGCAGCAGCAGCAACAACAACAAATATCGATTGAATCAATTACACCAAATGGTATTACATCATCTGTAACAGAAGTAGCACCAATTTCATTGGCCATGGATCCAGTGGCAAAAAGTGATTTTCACATAACCGACGAATGCAATGATGGTCGATTGGAGCCATCGCCCACATCAGATTCATATACCGTGCCCGGTAGCAGTGGTACCATGAAAGAAACACACATATTTACACCAAGCAAACCGAATGGAAGCAACGATGCGACATCGTTATCACCACCACCTCTATCACCATCAACTTTGGTCTCAAACGGTGCATCGAAATCGATTCCATTGGACGACAATGAACCATTCGCCAGCGATAGCATTGTTATTAAAGAGAGTGTTGTGAAAAAGGAGTATCGTGACGTTGAATATGAACCGAATAAATTAATTGCATCGGCCGATGATTTTAGCGATTTTCAATTCGTTCAACCAACCTTTGGGGCCACAATAAATCCAGTCATTGAACCATGTACGAGCCAATCAAATGTAAAAATGCAATCGAATTCAATTAATTCAAATCTTCCTGGTTTGTCGATGGCGACAAACAATGAAATGGTATCGAATGACGGGTACTTGAATAAATTGCCAATATCATCTCAATTGAATAGTTTTGATAATTTTAAGAGTTCAGTGCCGTCGTCATTGCCATTGTCAAATGAACAAACGACTGACAATGCTTTCACAAATTTAAATCCACTGAGTAACGGAAATCGAACCGATTTCAAATTTTATTCATTGAATGATCAATTTTCAACGTCTAATACACACAAAAACATTCCATCCGGCAACATACTTAATGATACTAATAGCTACGGTTGTGCAATAACAGATCCAATGGAAATATTTTCTATTAGTTCTACCGATGAAATACATTCCCTTTCTACAATAAATTTAGTACAAAATGCATCGTTTAATTCACTCCAACAACAACAACAACAAACGCAACCATCATTGCAGCACCAGAAACAAAATACCAATTTTGTTGGAAATTCGGGTATTTTAATGCCACAAACGGCGATCGCACAATCATCGTCAACAAATAACAATGCATTAACAATCCAATGGCCCGAACCTGGCATCAATTCCGACGAATTGAATGAGCTTGAACGACGTTTTTCTACTCAATCGATGGAACAGGTAAAGGTCGACAACATAAATGATCAGAAAGACAATACCGATACAAGTGCAGATGATGAATGGTCCGATTTTGTTTCGGTCGTCCAACCTCAAACGCCAATTACAAATATTTTAAATAAAAATCTACTAAAGCAACAGCAACAAAGTAATAACGTTGAAGAAGACGATTGGTCTGAATTTGTGTCGTCAACACCGCCAAATTTACAACGTTCACAAAATTCAATTGGAACAATCGACGCAACGATGGCAGCCAATAATTATGAATCAATGTTTAAATGGAATGCACCATCGTCTTTCCAATCGGGCGGCATTAAAACGTTCGGCAACTATGTACAATCAAATGCAATGCGACAAACATTGAATAATTCATCGAACATTGAATCGAATACATTTCAAATCACGCAACAACAGCAACAATCGATCGCACCAAGTATTATATCATTGCCCGATTTGTGCTTTGTTGCGCCAAAAAGTCTAATAAATATGCCAAATATATCCAAAGCGAAAAAATGATTATTATTGAACGATGCGACGACGATGAATACGGCTGTCAGTGGTGGTGGTGGTGATGATGATGAGGATGGTGGTAACAGCGGCGGCGACGCAAATTCCGATGAATACATTGCCCATTTAAATATGTGAGCTTCACTTCATACAAATACACGCTATGTAGACTAGAATTTTATTTATTTGCCGCAAAATGAATACTTTTGTTTTAAGCAACAACAAAAAAAACCATTTATTAAAGAGACAGAACATTGAACATTGCTTATGGGCTCTGGCTTTATGCGCGCTTCTTTTTTTCAAACAGTGAAAACAATGTGACAAACAACATCAACATATTATTCCTAATTTGCAAAACTTGCGCCGACCAAAATATACTATTAAATGTTTATTCTTCGCAAATGTCACAAATGTAGTTGAAGGATTTGCCAATGGAAATTCAGTTCAGCCAAAGATGAACACTCGAATAAATAATTAGTTAATATTAGATGAAAAGTGAAAAGAATAAAACAAATCAGAGAGAAATCAATTGTATAATGTTTATAATACTAGAGTGATTTACAATTTAGTAAATTGAACCGCCCTCCCTCGTTCGTTAAATAGTATTTGATAGTGCACCTATGCATCAATTCGTCGTTTCATTTATTATTGTTCTTTTATTATTATTATTTTGTCATTCATCGATATATTAGCCGCGTTTATATAGAATATAAAACAATCGAACGAAACCGATCCATCCTGTTTATGTTGTGTATTTTATTTGATAGAAAACACAATTTTTTGTTTGTTTTTTTGAAAAAAAAAAGACATCATTTTTGTTTATGTTAATAATTTTTATTTCTTATGGATAAGATGAAATCCAGCCATTATTTTAAAAAAATAAACACGTTGACTTAAGGAAAAATTATTTTTTTTGTTGCTATCGCTTTAAAATAAATCAAGTTTTAATCAAAATCTTAGTTTAAAAGAAAAATACTTCTGTTTAGTAAATTTCACCATTTGAAGGAGATGAAAAAAAAGAGAAAATAAAAAAGCTAATGTTTAATATATTTATTCAATTGCGTTATTGCGGTGAATGTGCCCAATAGTCTGAATTATATGTATATGAAAAATAAATGAAAAATAATTATGAAAATGATTTTATTTTTGAAATTTAACATTTCTTCAATTGGATTTTTTACAATTGATTTTCTTTATTTCGAGTCTTTGAAAGAGCCAAGAAAAAAACAATGTAATTTCTATTTATTTCTTTTTCAGACAAATTTAACGTATTTTGAATATAAATCATTTTTTTCAGAGTTTTTTATTTACTGTAAATTTATTTCAGTATTTTTTCAAACATTTTTTATTTATTTTTTTAATTCAGGTCAAACTATTTTATGAAAAAAATATCAATTGTTTTTCAATTTTGAATAAAATATATAAAATATTTAGTTTAATAGCAGCACTGGAACATATAAACAGCGGCTATTCACCATGAAGTTGGTTGTTAAGCGAGATGACATTCAAGTTTTTCGATAATTTGAATGTAGTGTGTCTCTCTTCACAGCAACGCCTCGTATATACTCCGTCTGTTTGCACATCTCTATGTGTGCGTGTGTTTGATTCGCATACATACAACCGCAGCAAAAATCAACCATAGTAGTTTCCATCATACAGCGAGTTGAATATTGGGTGCAACGTACATTTTCACAATTGTTGAAATTATCGAACACCAATACAGAGACACACGGTCCGAGTGAGTAAAAAAGCAACTTTTTCCTTCGCCATATTGCTGGCGTACCTGTCAATTCATAATGTTACGATAATAAAATATTATTTTATTTTTTATTTTTCTCATTTAAATTTAAGTAGTGCAAATCGAGAAAATTTATTAAATTTCCAAAACTGTGTATAATTTCAATAAAAATAAACCATTATATTTGCTTCGAATCAACACAAGAGAGTAGTGAAAATAAGGTGCGACACAGTATTTGCTGATCAATATTGCAAACCAGATTCTTCTATAGGTTTTTTTTGCTTCTTCTTCTTCTTTTCCATCCCTATATATTGTAAGGCGCTCTTAGTGAATTGTGTGAGCGCTGTGTGTGAGTGGAAGAAAAAAAAAGGTTCTTTTTTTCTCAATACCGAACAGATATATCTATATCTATATCTATATGTATATAGTGTGTATAAATGTTGCGGCTACGGCCGCAACAGCGGCTATTGCTGCTGTTGTTGTAGGCTTATGTATGCATTTGTAACCATATGCATATACGTAATATATATTGTGCATCGAGTCATTTACCGAGGTTTTCTGCTTTTACTGCTGCGAAATATACGCCTGTACGCTCGAATTTTGTACATAAAAATGTAACGGTACACAGATTAAAGACAAATGGAAACATACAGCGCTCATTATTTTTCCGTAGCCGTCGTCGTTGCTGTTGTTGTTGTTTGTTATTGCGAATGATACAAAACAAAAAAAAAATAAGTGCACATATACAGTACATTAAGCAATATATTTAATCTCCGGTTCGTTTCATGTTCGCATACATAATGTGCTCGCCTATCCAAATCAAATTGAACAATGCTTTTGCTCGGATTTCGATGCGTTTAAAAGAGATAGATCTAGAGAGAAGAGAGAGCGAGAGAGATTTTCACCGGTAATCATACAACAGCATATGGTAGGCATTGTTTGTGACTGACGATTGCCATACTGGAATCAAAATAACCAGCCATCCAACCAACCAAATAGCGAATAAGTGCCGCGCATACAAATGAAATAATCTAAACACAATAAAAACAAAAAAGAACACTATGATTTTTGATATGTCTGCTTTTTCTCCTTAAAATGTTTTTTTTTTGTTTTTGTTGTTGTTTCTCTTCTAGTGAATAAAGTCGTCAGAATTGGAATATATTGTAAAAATAGTTTAGCTAAAACTCTAAGTTTTGTGGTTTCGCTTAAAATGTGCAAAACCATATGCTCGATGCACTCCAAACTTCTATATGAAGGTTTATGTAAACAAATATTCACAAAAACTGCACATTTCTCATTTTATGGCTCATTATTTTTAGTGATTTCAGTGCGCGCGAACTAAAACTCGATCGCACACACACACACATATCAAATGTAATACATCAACACATTTTGAAAAATAATATAGAAAACGTTTCTGACTTTTTCCCTCATAATCATCAATCTATATACAACGATCATTCATTTAAAATTCTCTTTTCAGTGGTGGGCACACAGTGGTGAAGTGACAACCAATACACATCACATCGATTCGATTTTGTATTGAATTTTTCAAAAGCTCATTGATTGTTTTGATTTGAAGTATTCATACATTCAAAAGAATACAAAAGGAGTTTTCACTTCACACATCACGTCAAGGGGGAGAATTTTCCGCAAATTTATCAAAAAGCGAAAAGAAAAACAAAACCATAACCAGTTCAAGGAGTTTTTCCATTTTCAAAATAGAATACAGAGAGGCAAACAATGACATGTCAACCAGCTTCATTTGTAACCGGCGATCCATACATGTTCATCGACTCACCGATCACAACAACATACTTTCATTCGCCGGTATCATAAATTCAAAAACAAAACAAAAAAATACACACAATGTTCACTTTATATTAATAAGTATTTCCATTCACCAACATACACAATCATTTTAAACTCTCAATTACAAACGTGAAGAAAATTCTTCAAAAATGCTTCTTCACACAATGCTCTTATTCAACTCACGATTAAGTAATGTAGCATATGTTTTTTTCCCATTGCAATGAAGTGGTTTCAAATCTTTAGAAATGAAACAATAGAATGTTACACACCCTGTTTTAAGTAGCGTCACTTGAATTTTTTACATGTATATACATGTCGTAGACAATAGACGAAAAACAATCTGACTGTTGTATCTAATGATTTTATTTTTGTGTGTTGTTTATGTATTTTTCCAGACGCCAAAATTAAGTACACCGATGAAAACAACGGAACAAATATCAAATGAAGGAACGTACGCATCAATACAATCTCATCGTCACGAGTTGAGCCACATAAATGAGCCAGGCAAATTAAGCCCGGAAACAATATACACAAAACAGATAAACACACCACATTCAATAACCACTATATCAAAAACAATCAACAATTGTGAACCAAGTAAATGGAATCGTTCGTTGTGTGGTCAAAATACAACTGTTTTGACAGCAAAAATTGCAACGCCCGTCGCATCCACAGAGCGAATTGTGAACAAAGCCAAAGATTGGTATTCAACAATATCATCAACAGCATCAACACCATCATCATCAATAGCGGCGAAAAAATTCAATCACATAAATTTGGATTTGGCCAAAGAACAACGGAAACCAATCATAACGGAAATGTCAACAACGGCCAAATCGTTTAACTTTGAACATGCCGCATTGAGTCAAAAATTTAATCATTCCAGCAGCGATGTAAAAACGAACGCTTTTAATAGGGCAAACAGCATTGAACAGCATCAACATCATAAAATCGAACCAAAGCAAATAAATCCACAACAAAAATTGATAAAATCATCAACATCATCGATCGAAATTTATCGCCGGCAACAAAAACAACACCAACAACATTTTCAGACGCAATCATTCAATGGAAATGATGGCCATGCGGTATCTGATAACGCTGTAACCGAATCTTTACATAAAAGTATTACAACCATCAATTCACAATCGAATTTAGGAAATTCATCAACGTCAAATCAAACAAAACAAACGTTATTATCATCGTCGTCGTCATCGTCGTCGTCGACGCCAACATCCGAACGACGTTCAAAGAAACAAAAAGCCACCGTCAATACCAAACGTGATGAGAAAATAAAAAAACGTAACACAAACGGCGAAAAAATAAATTTTCCAACATTACGAAAAGTTAAATATGATTTAGCCCAGCCACGTACACCGTTAAAATCCAATGAAAATGGAGGAACGTTCGATTCGACCCATAATGCGTCGAATAATGCAGAGAGATTATCTGATAAACGAATGGACAAGGAATGGCATTCACCTGAATCGTACATTTATGATGATATCAGTATCACCGACACAACATTTGCTGCTGCTGCCGATTGTGGTGGCAACGGTGGTAGCAACAATTCAGCCGGTGGTGGTAGTGGCAGTGGCAATGCTGAATTTGCATCGTGCATGCAAACATTTTGGTTTCGTGATATACCTAATGAGAATCTGCTAACGCGCGAACAACGATTGGAAAATAAACGCGATAACCTTCGTCGGCAAGCATTTCAATATGCACAGGCGCAACATTTTCGGAGTACGATTTTAGCAAAACGACGTATAATTACAGTAACAAAAGCATTAGCCAAATTTAAAAATGAACGGAATAAGTAGGTTTTTTATTTTCTTTAAATTACATAATTACGTTTCGGTTTTTTTTTTCTACATTCGTTTTGGATTGAACACTAACATCATATGTATTTATTTTTTTATTTTGTAGAATTGCGCCCACGAAATGTAGCGTTCAATCGTGCTCAAATGCAGCATTAGCAATGACTGCATATTGTTATTTACACATTACGCTTAATAAGGATCAAAAACTATTTCATCCTTGTACTGCAAAATTTTCGGATAATTCACAATGTCGTGTACCTGTTTTCGATATAAGCCATGAGCTGCCGCTATGCCGTGAACATGCATGGAAGCGCGTAAGTTTTTCTATTAATGAATGGACTTTTCCTCCAAAAAAAAAATTCTGCTCATTTCATGTTGTCGGATTTTAAAATATCGAACATAGACCGACCAATTGACAATTCGAAGAGAATTAACCAAAAACCCACACAAATTGACAATTAATCAAACTGCTTGTATTTTTACAGGATAACTATAATCGAATTTCCCAAGAACAAAAACCGAAGAAAAGCTTAAAAATTAAGACCAAAACAAATGAATCGGTGCGACAGCCGAAACGAAATAAGAAGAAAAAGCGACGTAATCATTTGGTGGTGGCCGAATCGCAGGTGATCCCAAAGCATTCACCGATACCGCCAACGTCGCAACATCATCATCAAAATCATAATAATCATCATCATCGTCCTCATCATCAACCACAACAAATAGAACAGCATCAGCATCAACATCAGCAACAGCAACACTCAAAGACAATAGGTCAATTTAATGTAACAAAACAAAGTATGCAGCCAACAATAAATGTTGTATGGAATCAAGATTTGTTCCGAAAAAACATTGAAAATCCGATGACATCAACACCAACGATGACAACAACGGCACAAATAATAAGTGCAAAGGCACATACACCGTCAACACATGTAACCACCGGTGGTAACCACAATAAGTATCTACCCGATAATGTGATGGTTTATCAACTCAGTAATTCAATGCCGAACGCATCAAAGATAAAAATTCAAAATATTATATCGGTCGGCGGTGAAAATAGTTCGGCATATGAAAGTTCAGAGGATACAGGTGTCGGTGAACTGAGTGAATCTGAGTTGATGACCGCACAAGATGGCATCGGTATGTTTTCTCTCGTGATTTTAGATAAAAAAAAATTCTCACTTCAATTGTATGTTTGGGCATTAAAAATTCGATGCCTTTCTCGATATTGTTGTTGGGCTGTGTGTCAAACCAATATTTGATCGCATAAATTCTATTTTTGCATTCAGAAATCCCGCTGAGTGATGCTAGACTCCTCGAAGAACATGATTTAACGAATGTATTAAATCAATTACCAGTGGACGCTTTCAATGACTTGTTCCAAGGTAAACAAAATATTCAGATTGAAACCAAAACAAACGAAAAACGCACAAAAAATTCGATTCAGTTTTATATTTTTAAAATTCGTCTGAAGAATTTTTTTTTTATATTTCATAAGGAAATTATGATTTATTTATCAACAATTGGTTGTCTTTTCCCTCTTTCTCTCTTATTCAATTTACATATCTAAAGTGCAACAACATGAACACTATGAGCCCACACAAAAAGAGCAAGATGAATTGGCGCGTGCACTTGAGGAAGTCGACGAACAGGTTAAATCGCTCGAACAAATGACCAGTTCAAGTAATTTTCTCGAGAGTTTTCTCGATGTTAACGATGAGATACTGGACGGTTCCGATATTTGTGACGAAGTGTTAACAACCGCATCGGTTAAAAATGATATACGTGGCCTCGTGCATACATAATACTAATAAAAGAAGAAGAAATAGCCGCCGCATATGACAGGGATATATAGATATATATACAAAAAACACAAACACATGCATATATATATTTAAAGGCATTCTTTATGAATAAAAAAAAACATTCATTTAGAATAGGAAATCTATATATATATTTAAAATGAAAAACAACAAAAAAAACTAAACTAAACAAGCTGAAATCGTTTCATGTATACACAAATTGCACGGACTCTTCTTAGCTGTGAAAGGCTTCTTTTACGTATATATATAATTGTACTAGACTAATAATTTATCTAATATCATATCTTTTTTCGGTGGAGATGTTTTTAATCCTTTGTGTTGCAACACCAACATTTATCGTTTCTTTTTTGTTTTAAATAAATTATTATTTTTTTATTTAAAATCACATTTAACTTGAAGAGAAAGAACAGGAACATATATATGAGTAATGCACTTTAACAATAAATTTTACATGTCTCAATAAACGTGAAAAAGATGATGAAAAAAGAAAAAAAAAACAATAATTCGCTGCCATCTAAACAAATTGATTTTTTCCTATGGATTCCAACACATTACATGTTTGTGCATAACATGTGGATACACTTTCATCACAGATGCAGTGATCGAGTTTAGATTCATTCTTGTTTTTGGAGAAAAGCCTTGATTTATCGATGAACAAAAACAAAAAAAAAATTCCTAGCAAAGCATCGATTTTAAACAATTTTCAAGAAAGTGAATTATTTTCTTGCGATAAATATAGCGATTTCTAGTCAAAAAAAAAATAATAATATTATAATTCAGTTTTTTTCTTTTGGAAAATTGTATTTCAATACATTTGTCGAAAATAAAATTTTGAATTTTTCTGAAAGTGATCAAACCATATTATATTTTCTTATTTATTTATTTTGTTCAAATAAGAAATATGTGATTCTTATATTTTGCGGTATTTTGGGAACGTACCTAGAGTTGATCAGAAGAAAAGAATGGAAAAAATGGAAATTAATCAATAGGTAATGAAACAGAATGGAAAATGAATTGTAGAGTAATGGAATAGTAATTTTTAAGTAAGTATGCCTTGTAACGTACTTTTAGTGATGTACTTAGCGAAACACACTTAGACATAAAAATATTTTATATTTATTTATTTGTTGTTCAATGAATGTTCTTCAGTTGCTGCCAATTAAATGGTCGAATCACATAAAATCCCATTGAATGACACATAAATTATAAAAAATGTGCTGAAAAATGAAGGAAAGACCAAACCGTTTCATGGTTTCATGGTATGATTTAAGTATTGACAGAACACATTTTGACAGAACACTCGCTATCATTCGTGATTGCCAGTAACCAAAAATAGTTTCATCACCGTTCAAAAATCAATGTAATAGATAAAAACCAACAGTTTTATAATATTAATAATATCAATAATAACATACGATAGTTGTAAAACCCAAACAAAAACAAAAATTTTCGTTCATTTGTAAAAAGTATAGAAAAATGTTGAAAAATTTTATAACACGTAAGGTGTACGATCCAATAATTATATCATGTCGTCAACGAAGCTCTTCGGATCCTATTCTAGGCTTACTAAAATCAATGTTGAAAGGAGTGAGAGGTATGGTTTTTAAAATTTACTCAATATATTCGATGTTTTAATTATTGTGTGCTTTAAAATTGCAGCAACTCAAGAGTTTGCGCTATTAGAACGTGGAGCGTCCAGATGCTGGGACCTTAATGGTGACAATAAAAATGTTTTTATCGGTGGCCTTGGACCGCTGCGTTTAGAGGAAAGTCGAACGACACATGCAGCTCGACTCATCGACTTTGATAATGAGGTGAGGCATGGCCCAGTTTTAGTAACACAATATTTGAATATGAAACTTATTATTTCATCATAAAACGTATTTGGATACCCATATATGGAATACCCATATATTTCATTAAAATCTCATTCAATTCCAGGCCATAGATAAGTTACACATAGAGATGAAGCAGTGTCCTACGCTGTTGGCTGCCAAATTAATTACAACATTTCCGAAATATGCGCTTTCTAGAGACAGATTGCGCGTTATAAAATTATCAACCAAAAATTATAAAGATCCAAGCCGCGGTCTTCTCGACGTAAGTTTATATTAACTTCACTCGATCATCATTTCGTTTATGTGTAATCACATTTTTAAAAATCATTTGCAGTGTCTCATTGCTTGTGATGCAATTTGTACCGTAATACGTAATAATGATGATTTCGCATATTATTCGGGCGATGTGTTTAAATCGGAGTCAAATGATAGTTTTATATCGACTTTCTTACGTACGGACAACAAGGAATTACATGCATCGATCAAATTTATTGACGGATATATGGATATTAACAATTTGACGGAAAATGACGTTGGTCTTATTTACACCGATACAGATATGACAATGAATAAAATTAAATCACGTCTTGAAAAAGATTCATCCAGATTTTAATAAAAAACGAAATAAAATTGCAATTCAATTGATAATTATATGTGATTATTTTTATTTGAGTCGTTCAACTTTTTCTATGTTATAACATTTTTCGTATTGAAGTGCAGTATTCAAATAAAAACACAAAAAATGTATGTAAACCTTTTTGAAAATTAATATGAAGCATCAAGCTATGTACCATGCAAAAATGTCACATTTATGAATTTCTTAAATGTCATCCATTTTATTAATTTTCAATAATTGAAGACATTTCATTTCGTAAAAGTGTTGTAATTGAATGATTTATTCAATGCAGCTTATAATTCATTAATCAAATATTCAGCCGAACTAAACGGCAAGGCAAAACGAGAGCAGCACACACACACACACACACACACACACACACACACACACACACACACTGCTGGCCTAGAGCTGGCAGAGCTCAAAACGGAAGCAGTCCTAATCACGGGTCGTAAATCACTGGAGTATATGAAAATAAAAATCGGCAACCAAATAATTAGCTCGAAAGACTCGATCAAATATCTAGGG